TGTAATCTTCCTACATATACACTATCCCATGTGCATTTAGTCCTTAGTTCTGCAAATGGGTACATTGGTATTTTAGAAGGCTTATGCAATGTATACTGTTTAGATATACTGTACCTAAATCCCATTCACGGCATGTGTTTTTAACCCCTTAAAACTGCAGCCAAATGTACAAGTTGTGATCCAAAAAAAATTTAAACAAACCACAGAATTTTACTATATGTCTGTTCAACAATAATTTACTTCTTTCATATTAAATGCACCCACACTTATTATATATCATTTTATTCAGGGGAAACAGGGCTTCCATTTAACCTCAAATATTTAGGTATGGAACATAATTTAAAATGAATAAAATATAAAAATGAGAGAAAAATAAGATTTAAATTTTCTTAGTTCTACGTGACATTTTAACTGTGACTGTCATAATACTGTTTGCTTTTACTGCAATAAAATACACATATTTGTATTCAAGGATGTCTCACGTGTAAAACAGTACCCCCTATGTATAGGTTTTATGGTATTTTGGAAAGTTACAGGGTCAAATATAGCATGTTACACTTTTCAGTTTTTTCACATTGAAATTCGCCAGATTGGTTACGTTGCCTTTGAGAGCGTATGGTAGCCTAGGAATGAGAATTACCCCCATGATGGCATACCATTTGCAATAGTAGACAACAACAAGGTATTGCAAATGGGGTATGTCCAGTCTTTTCTAGTAGCCACTTAGTCACAAACACAAACACTGGCCAAAATTGGCATTCAAATGAGTTTTGAGCGTTTAGAGCCGCCCAAATAGGGACAGCATAGAACATCCTGCGGTCTTAAGGGGTTAATAAACTATTACTTTTTTTGAGCTTTGAAGTTTGAAATTGGTGTTTCGAATAAAAAGTATATAACAAGCATTCATTCCGCTACACCCTCTTGATTTATCCTAGGGCTAGAGGGATCATGCAACCAGCCAATAGGTCCAAAGACTCTGTCGCTGGGATTCCTAAAAATAGACACAGGAATCCCAGTTCCAAATAGGACTAACATACAATACTTTTAGTTAGGACTAGCCCATATGTTAGTTACATCAACCTTGCTGTGACAAACTAAATAAAATACAATTAACCAAATCATATCAGAAAACATACAGAAACTTATAACATAACATATTTATAAAGGGGTGGGAAAGACAATAATTAACGTAAAATAGTTAACTGCAGAATTAGCAATATGCAATTTTACCTGAATATGCAAATTAATAAACCTTGCTATACATATAGCTGTTGCTACCAACAGAGGGCGCTCTACAGGCTCCATAGCCAAATCCACCTAGTAGGTAGCAAGCATCAGCAGGACAGGAGGAAATATTTTACCAAGGCTTGATAAAGACCTGGATACAGGTCGAAACGTTGCGGTTTTCTTTTTGATCCAATAAATCTGCTTGGTCCCTGTCACAGTGAGTGCCTGAAATTTTTGTGTTTAGTTTTCTCTGCATATGATGAAAAAAAAATAGAATGCATACTGGGCAATTTAGCTCTTTGAAGCAAATCGATCACTTTTGTAGTTTTATCCTTGGCCTCACTCGAAGGGATGAAGTCAACCTGATCCAGGTGAACCATCCCAGACCATCCCAAAAGGTGGAGGCAACTTGCCAGGTGGAAAACAACTTTAGATCATAGCTCAGTAATGAAATCAGTCCATAATTCCCACACTGTTCATGATCCTTACCAGTTTTTGCTATCAATGAGATGTATGCAGAAAAAGTCTGAGGTGGTATTGCTTGTCCGTCAGCTATAGAATTCTAGGTAGAGAGAAAATGAGCAATCATGTTTTGTTCAAATGTGTGATAGAATTGTACTGCAAGGCAATCCGGCCCTAGGTTTTAATTTAAAGGGGTGGCTATAAAAGTTGCCACAAATTCTTCACTTGTTATAGATGCTTCTAAGTTCTGTCTATCTGTCGTGATAACGTGTGTTCCATGCGTGTAGAGAGATAGTACAGCAAGGAAGCTTTATTCTCTGGCTCTTTTGTTTTTTTGTGTTGGTATGTTATAGAGTGAAGTATAGCACCTTTGAAATTCTTGTGCTATCTCCTCAGTGGTATGGTGCATTTTCAGTATAAAAGTCACCTGGTGACATTGTTTGAGTAAATTGGCTAAATTTTTACCACACGTGTTGCCAAATTGATAATAATTAGATTTAGTGAGAAATATTGCACGGTTGCTGCCAGCATCCAAAATATTATTCAACTCTTTCCACTTTGTGGTTAACTTGGTGACAGTGCCTGGCAGTAGGAACCTTTTGTGATGCTGCCCCAGGGCCAGACTGGGGATACAAAGCAGCCCTGGAAAAAACATGTATGCCAGCCCCATAAGTCATTGCGCCATATGTTGTTGCATCTAATATGTAAGGCTATGCCTTGCCACCCCAGATGATTGAGTAATACATATATATATATATATACACACACACACACACCACACACACACACACACACACATATATCTCTCTCTCAAATATATATTGCTTTTTCTAATATAAAATATTGGTCCTTTCAGAGTAAAACATTTAATTATACAGTAAGCGTACTCACATGAAGACACAGACAATCTCACTGACACACACAAGCTCATTGAAACACAGCCTCATAGACAAACAATCTCACTGATTTACATAAGCTCATTGACATAAAAACAAACTCACTCACTAGCAGGCACACACACAGACACACACACACACACACATGCAAGCAAACTCACTCACTAGCACACGCACACACACACAGCTTAATGTAGTGGTTCTGGTGTCTATAGTCTGTCCCTGCAGGCTTTTCAATGTAAACACTGATTTTTCAGAGAAAAGGCAGTGTTTACATTGCTTCCTAGTGACACCTCTAGTGACAGTCACTCAGACAGTCACTAGAGGTGCTTCCTGTGTCAGTGCTGCACAGTGTGCAGCACCTACATTCAGGGCCTCCACGCTCTTGATGCGCTGAACATTCCCCATAGAGATACATTGATTCAATGAATCTCTATGAAGAGATGCTGACTGGTGTAGCGTTTTGCAGCCAATCCTATAGCAAAGCATTGGATTGGCTGAGATTATCAAGCTTGATGATCTCAGCCATAGAGGCAGGGCCAGTCGAGGGGAGACCAGCACGGCGTGGGAAATAAAAAGGTGAGTAAAAACACTATTTTTCAACACACTCACACAGACACACACACCCCCCATGACACACACATATACCATGACAGACACACACACACCTTGACAGACACGCACACACCATTACACAGACAGACCATGACACAGACACACAGACAGACACACACACTATGACAGACACACAAACCATGACAGACAGACACACACCATGACACAGACAGACACACACACATACCATGACAGACAGACACACACACCATGACACAGAGACACACACACACTGTGACAGACACACACTTACCATGACACAGACACACACACTATGACAGACACACACACCATGACACATACACAAACACCATGACACAGACAGACACACACACACACCATGACAGACATACACACCATGACACAGACAAACACACACACATATACACTCACACTGACAGACTGACACACATTATTGCTACCTGTGGGCGACCGGCCAGGGGGTTGTGCAAGGCAGACAGCTGTCTGTGTTGGCGGCCGCAGGCGGAGCTGTGCTGGTGGCCGCAGGCAGAGCTGTGCTGGCGGCCTCAGGGGAGCTGTGCTGTCTCTGCTCTTCTCCCCAGCGCGCCAGGGCTGGAATATGACGTCAGATTCCGGCCCCGGTCTCATAAAGTAGAGAGCGAGGGCGGAGGAGCAGAGCAGAGCCAGCACAGCTCCCCCTGCGGCCGCCAGCACACCCAGCTGTCTACCTGGCCCCAGGTGCCGACGGCCCACTGGGAAATTTCCCAGTATCCTGGTGGGCCAGTCCGGCCCTGTGCTGCCCTAACCTTCGTATAGTAGACTAGAGATCTTGTATCTACCTCACTCTGTCCAACCTATTCTCAGCTCCCAATTCCTCTGAGCCACTGAGCTAAGTCCTAAAATAAGCACTAGACTTAGCTCAGAGAATACGCCGTGCTGCGCCAAAACGCTGCACTGTGCCAATCAGCATCTTCTCATAGAGATGCATTGAATTAATAAAATTCTATAAGAGACAGTCAGCACATTCACACACAGCACTGATCCAGGAAGCACCTCTATTGACCTCTGAGTGATGACTAGTAGATGTTTTAAAAGGCAGTGCAGGGACAGGCAGTAGACACCAGAACCCCTACATTAAGCTGTAGTTGTTGGGGTGACTATTCTCAGCCCGACAGAGAATGCTGGTGAATCCAGTCCTCCTCATTCACAGTGCACCAAGCACCATTCTCTTGCTGTTAAATTAATATCTCCTCCCATTGCTCACTATAGAACCACGTGTTTAAAAGGTGTGGCAAGGTAAAAGAGCCATTGTTATGAATGATCTCCAGAGGAAATAAATAAATAATGAAGCTGCTTTCATTCTATAGTGCATTGTGACATCGTGTAAAATGGCTCATACAGACTGCGTCTACTTAGGGAAGTGATGGCTAAGCCTAACACCCCATAGTTCTAAACTCTAATCCCTAGCCAATATGTGTCAGGGTTAGCTATCAGTGCTCTAAGGAGTAAAAGTGATTTAGACTGGCGGAAAATGAAGTCTGACACAGCCATAGATACATCAGTGAGAATATCCATCTTTCAGTGTGAAATACAACCAGTAACTATGTTGCGCTTTGCTTCTGTCCTCTCTGATTCCGACTGATAATATGGCAAAGAAAAAAAATGTTTATTGGAAAGGCAACCTGTTGTTCTAGCCGCATGCTGGCCACCTGAGGCAAACTGGAGGGAAATATGACTGTCTGCAATGTCAATATTACAAATAGAGGCAGCAACGTGCATAACTGTGTCCCTCTGCCCAGCTCGTCCTGTGTGACACACTGTATATATGAGGTAAATAGACAGCAATGAATGGGGATGGAACACACATGTCATTGCCTACGTTTATATATCTGCAATGTCCCAGCATGATATAACATGCCCAGCTTGAGATTCTTAGAGTGAACCCTACAGTGTTGCTGCTTCTTGAAGAATCCATGGACTGCTTTACCACATGCTGAGCTTCCATGATTTACAGATATATGGATCTACAGGTGGCAATCGTCTACCAGCAGCAGAGAACTGAAGGGTTAACATTCTCTTTAAATTCGAATAGAACTATTGAGACATTTGGATTGTGAAACAGATCCATTGCTGTAATCAGGAAAGGTGGGGGAGGACACAGTAAGAGGGGGCAGTGTGTGTAAAGTCGCATTTAAGTAGAGACATTGACTGACATCGTTGTAGATGGACATGTAATGTGAGTAGTCAGATCTAATGTAAAGTATGGAGGCTGTACAAGCATGTGTGCTGTTAATATGTTGTATGATATTGAAGGTTAATGTTTGTAGTGTTGTGCAAAGTGGAAAATGGGGGAGAGTAAAGTGTGGGGGGGAGGGGGGATTGGAGGTTCAATGTGTATATTTTATTACTGCAGCAAAGACAGGCACGTAAAAACAGACTAGTCAATGATTGACCGAGAGAAACAGGAGGGATACAGTGACATAGGTGGGCTGATACACACACAAGCTGGATATAGTAAGAAAGGAACACACAGAGCGAAAGAGGCAGATAGAGGGATGGTGAAGGACTGGAGGGAGGGTGGTGCAGCTGCGTTGTTCTGATCACACATTCACTGCTGTTGCTATGGGAGGAAGGCATTTCAACGCACCCAAAAGATGCTACATTTCCAGGGGTGGGAGAAGAGACACTATTGCTGGGGGTGGGATGTTATGGTGCAATACAGGATGAGATCTGGGCTGAAACAAAGAGGGTATAGGCAAGGACAGCATTGGCACCTGGTGAAACCACACTTGGAGTCTGAGCAACAGATTTCTACAGCAGCTACTGTGTAGACACGGGAGAGAGGAGGGAGATGGGGAGCAGAGAGGCAAAGATAGTTTGTGCAAGAAATTGAGACAGAGGGCATGTAATAATAAAGACAGGCAAAGGAGAGTCACAATACAAACTCGAGGGAGAGGGGGTTGTCAGATTGGGATAAGAGGGATGCGGAATATTTGGAGGAGACTGGAGGTAGTTGAGAGGTTTAGGATATGGTGGGTGGAAGGCTGAGTCAGGTTATTCATCCACCCTCTATGCTTGGGGAGGGGGGGTAATGAAATGACTCATTCTTTTTGTTTTCTGACACTTCAGCTTTAAAACACCTTTTGCAGAAAAAATGCTCAGACCTATTTATCCTCTGTCTCAAGGTTACAACTTGCAAAATCTCAATATTTTGTTTTATAGCTGCATTAGTCTCTTTGCTTCTAATACCTATATTTTATTCATAGCTATAACTATAGCATTTCTTACATACAACATCCGTTTTTATATGGTTTAGAATTAGATACTTTGGTTCTAATGCTCTGATGACCTTAACATAACTACTATAACTTCTATTAACCCTTTTTATTTCCCAGATTGCTGTCACCTTGTGCTAAGTAAGGTATCCCTGGTCTACCCAGAAGCCTTTTCTTTCACTTCGGGCAACAATGGCAGGGGTAAGATTCTGAATTTCTAAATTAATTTGATAGTTACATTGTTATAGCCTTGGGTAATCTCCTTACCTGCATAGACATGCTGATTAATGCAACACTGTGCAACTGCATGAATTAAAATGAATGTTGTTTTTTTATTAACCACTCCTTACATCTCACAAATGTTTTTAAAAAAACTAAGCAGGGTTTTTTCAGACTTGTCTACAGGACCCAGTACTAGACCAGAATGTGAGGTTATCCCTACAGCTGTTAAAATGTGTGCACCTTTAATTAACTCGTGCTAAAACAGGCAAAAGTTTGGTTTCTGAAATCAAGTCTAAAAAAAATAAAATCCTAGGTAAACTGTGATTTTGATATGTCTGTGCCCAGTTTAAAATCTATTGATCTTGACATTGCCAGAGTTGAAAAGGTTTCCCGTTTCTGAATTTTGTGAGCAGGAATGTCCTGGTATCCTCTTAATGTAATAGAAATATATTTTCTTAGAATAATATTCAATAATGGTGGGTGGAATGTTGTTCTAGAACAACTTTTTGTTTATCTTTCCTTCAATAGAAGCACAGCCTTCATATATTTTTGTACATAATTTAAGCCTACAAAATACATTTTTACTGTATTGAATTGCTGATGATCTATAAAATAATTGATTCTTCTTTTATCATCATTTTTATTATTTTTGGCATTTATATAACGCTAACATACTCCGTGGCACTTTACAATATTATAAAAGGGGGTAATTTAACAATAAATTAGACAATTACAAAATGTTACAGGTACAGGTACCCTGCTCATAGAAGGTTACAGTCGAGAAGAGGTGTAACAACAAGGTGGAAAGTAGCAAAACTGGAGAAAGTGAGAGTGGAGTGTGGCCCTTAAAGAGAGACCAAGAGACAGGTTTATGAAATAGAAGTAACACTCGGAGGCCATAAGCTTTTCTGAAAAGATGGGTTTTGAGGGACTTCTTAAATGATTGAAGACTAGGGGTGAGTCTAGGATAGGCAGGCCGCATATGAGAAGTCCTGCAAGTGTGAGTTAGCAGTAAGAGTGCAAGCAGTGGACAGAAGGTCACCGGCAGAGCAGAGAGACCAAATTAGTGAAGAAATATAACAAGGACTACAGTTATTAGGAGATGTATAGATAAGGGTTAGTATTTTCAATTAACTCTTATAGGATACAGGAAGACAATGTAAGGATTGGCAGAGGGGTGAGGTGTGAGAGAAGCGAAAGTAGAAAAAAATAATCCTGGCAGCAGCATTCATTACAGACTGTAGCGAGGCAGTATGGCTTCTGGGGAGACCAATTAGGAGAGAATTACAGGAACCAATCTGAGAAATTACTAAAGCATGAACAAGCTCCTTAGTAGCATGTAAGAAAGAAAAGAGCAGACGCGGGCAATGTTTTTAAGGTGGAATCGTGAGGCATAAAGGTGAGGCCATATTCAAAGATAACACTAAGACAGTGAGCTTGCAAGGAGGGGCTTATGCGTGCACCATCGACTTGCAGTGAGAGCTTAAGAGGAAAATTAGTATTAAGAGGAGGAAATCAGAGGGAATCCAATCAGAAATGGAAGAAGGCCAACCGATGATGAGGACAGCAGAGAAGAGATTAGAAAGGAGAGATATATCTGAGTGTCACTGGCATACAGGTGATAGCAGAATTCAAAGGAATTACAAAGTTTGCCAAGAGAGGCAGAATAAAAAGAAAACAAAAGTGGACCAAGAACAGAACCTCCAGGAACTCCAGCCAAGACAGGACGAGGGGAGGAGGTATTATTAGAAAAGGAGACACTGAATGAACGTTGGGAGAGATAGGAGGAGAACCATGAGAAGACAGTGTTACAGAGACCGAGAGATTGAAGAGTTAGAAGGCGGAGGACATGATCAACAGTGACAAAGGCTGCTGGGAGGTCAAGAAGAATTAGTATAGAGTAGTAATCTTTGGATTTAACTGTGACTAGATCATTAGTAACTTTAATCAGAGAGCTCTCAGTAGAGTGGAGGGTGTGTAAGGCAGCTTGAAGTCGAGGAGAGAGTTGTAATTGGGATAACTAGGTATATCCAGATAGATTGGGATAGCTAGGTAACAGGTAAAAACAAGTAGTTCTAGACGTTTTGATGAAAAAGGGAGCAGGGATAGGGAATGGTAGTTGAAAAGGGAAGACGGGTCAAGAGATGACTTTTTTAGGACTAGTACAATAGTAGCATATTTAAGGGGAGCAGGGACAATGCCAGAAGAAAGAGAGCAGTTGAAGATACACATTAAAGACAGCACAAGACAAGGGAAGAGAGATCTGATAAAGTGAGATGGGACAGGATCAAGCGGGCAAGAGGTGGGACGGAAAGCAATCGGAAAGTAGAGTGCAAAGCTATCGACTGAAAGGTTAGTATGGGAGGGTGGCAACAGCAGGGTGAAGAAGAGAGTTGAAAGTATCAAAGAGACACCTGGGATTGTGCATGAACTAATGCGAGACGAAAAGTATGATTCTTTAGCAATAGTCAAAAATAAAAATTAAGAAGTGGAGAGATGTTTATGTGGTGAGCCCCTACCCACATGCAGTCAAAGATGAGAAATAGTAAAAAAAAAAAACTGGATATACTTATACTCCTTAATGAGTAGTAGTTACGCATTCAAGAGCACAGGTAGCATGTAGAAGAAGAAATTTAAAAGACTTTTACTATTTCTCATCTTTGACTGCATGTGGGTAGGGACTTACCACCTAAACATCACTCCACTTGATTTTTATTTTTGATTATCTTTAATGTGTGGTGAAGGGAATACCCTGAAGTGTTGCAGCTGGATTATATAATATTTGAGATATCACTCACTTTAATTGTGTATAGGTATATTTTATCCCTACACATTTTTTACTATACCACTTAGCGCTCCGAGACAATCCAATCTTAGTCTTTAGTAATAGTGATGGCTGCGCTGACAGAACGCATGATGAATTTATAATGGAGAAAGTCTGACAAAGTATAAGACTTCTTCCAGCAGCATCCAGCTGAACGGGAGCATCTCTGCAGGTGGCAGGTTGAGTTAGTGTGCCATGATTGGAGGCGAAGAGAATTCAGGTTCCAATTGAGTTGAGGAGGGTTAGGCTAAGAATGTTGGGTGAGGGGGCTCTTAAGAACAAATGATAAGAGGTGGTTATCTGGGAGAGGAAATGGAGTGTTACAGAGATTGAGACTGTGTATACATCTGAAAATATTAAATCAAGGGTATTGCCAGTTACATGCGTGAGAGTATCAGCCCAAGGGAGGAAGCAATTTAAAGAAGTTTTAAGGGTGGAGGTCAAGGGTGGATTAATTGGAATGTTGAAGTCCCTAAGAATTAGGCATTGAAGATTAGGTGAAAAGAGTAGGGAAGTCATGCAGCAAAATGGTCAAGGAAGAGAAGAGGGGACCCAGGAGGGCGGTAAATAATGGCAATGTTTGTAGAGGTGGGTTTGAACAGACGATGAAGAGAAAGAGAAGGGAAGGGGTGGGTAAAGGTTTGAAGGAGCAGTACCCATGTAAGACATGCTGGGTTATTCTCTAAAGTGAGAACTGAAAGTGAATTTTGAATTGCAGGTTAAAATAGCAGAACTGAAAAATTCTCTAAGTTGATTAAGATGCTATGCTTTCAGTTTGGCTGGCCTTAAATTTTAAATTCTCTTTGAATTCACGTTGTATTCTCACTTTATTGAATAACCCTGACAGTGTTTTATTTGTATTGCTTTTCTTTTCAAATATTGTTTTATTACATCAAGATAATAGAAGATTATATTGTTTTAAAGTTTGAAAAAGTATGCCTTAACCTAGCACAACATTTTATGTAATATATGAATGTGAATGATGACTATAGAGAGGTTATGGTTAAAGGGACACTCCACTGCCCAAATAAAAAAATAAATCAATTAATAAAAATCACTGTTTATGAGATATACTCCCAATAAAAACATGCATGCATATAATTATGCATTTTTTAAATTGGAGGTATATCTAATAACAGCTTGCAAAATCTGCAGATCCTTTGTAACCCAGCCCAGACTTTATGTCACTGTCCAGCAAAAGACTTCCCAATGCAGTTTAATTAGAAGTCTTTGCAAGGCAGGTGTTCTGAGTACTTGTCTGCCTCTTCACTGAGCTAACCAACCAGGAAGTTAGAAGTAAGTTGTCTGAGTGACAGCCATGCAGTTTACCAAGCTTAAGTTTTAAAAGAGCCAATTTCTACATAGTAATTTGCATGTTTTGTAAATTAAAAAAGGGGACACACTATTCACACATAAAGCACCTCAACAAGCTGTATTGCTTTAGGGGCATGGAGTGTCCCTTTAATTGATTTAAATTATTACATTTCTTTATTTATTGCTATTAGCTTATAATGGAGGCAGATTCAAGTTAATATGGACTAGTGAAAAACATTGCAGATTTATCAAAGTGTTCGGTTTTAAAAAGAGGTCTAAAGTCTTTAAAGTGGAGCAATTATTATGGGAATCAATGTAACCAGCAGGTGACTCCTCTCTTTTACATTTTTGCTCCCAATGTTTCTTGTATCATAAAAATAGATTATTGACAATATAATTTTATTTTATCATTAGAACAAAACATGCCATAAACCAGATCTCTTTACAGGTAAGTGAACTTAATTAATCTGTTAAGGAAGCATTGCTGACCTGTTTTGCAGCCTTGCTGATTACTAAACACTGTGTTAGCATTGCTAAGCCTAACTATCTCAGCTTGAACAAAACCGGTGTTTGTTATACAACCTTACCTTTGATTTTCCTTGATTGTTATGGTTTCAGTAAAGAATAACCAATCTAAATTAAAAGCACTAATTTATTTTATATCTTACTGCATATAGTACTAAAACATGTGTACAGTCAGGGCTTTATTTACCTTCCTTGCTGCCCCAAGGCCAATTTCCTCAAATCACCATCTCCTTATATATCTCATATTGCACAAAAATGGTGTATGTGATTGGATGGGTGAAATGACTAGTTTGGGAATTTTATTGAATACATTAATGCATCTAGTTTATGGTATGTTTAAATGGTGTACAATGTAATTAGGTGGGTGGTTGGATAATAAGTGGTAAAGGGTTGTGTATGTGTTTAGTCAGTGGCGTACACAAGATCCATGGTGCCCCGGTGCGAAAATTGATCCGTGGACCCCCCCCCCCGCGCGCTCGCGCTTACTCTGCGTGGGCCGGTGCCGCTACACATGGCGGCGGGCACCTGGTCGCAGGGCTGTGACCGCAGTGTGCCGCCAGTGCATGCAGATACACTTAAAGGACCACTATAGGCACTCAAATCACTTCAGCTCAACTGCTATGTTTCACGGAGGGTTAATCCAGCCTCTAGTAGCTGTCTCACAGCCGCTAGAGGCGATTCTGCTGGACGTCCATAGGAAAGCATTGAGTAATGCTTTCCTATGGGCGGTTTGAATACGCGCATGCAGAGCTGAGAGGCGGATCGGGGCGGAGAGATCCCCAGCACCAATGGAGCCCGGCACTGGAAAAAGGTAAGTGCTGAAGGGGTTTTAACTACACACACACACTCTCACGAACAGACGCATACACACTATCTAACAGACACACACATTTACTAACAGACACACACTCAGTGACAGACACACATACACACTCACTTACAAAACATACACTCTCACTGACAAACACACACTAACACATACAAACTAACACTCATTAACAGACACACACACTCACATTTTTTTTTTAATTTTATTTAATCCCCCAGCCTCCCTACCTTTGGGAGTGCTGTGGGGATTCCTGCTGTCCCTGAGGTCCAATGGGGTCCTGCTGTCCCTGGGGTCCAGCTGTGCCTGGGGTCCAGTGGGGCTGCTGGGCGGGCGGGCGCACGAGGGAGGGAGCTAGGGACTATAGTTTGTGTTTGGAGGTGCAGACCATCTCTCACTCTCAGCATCAGGACAGCCTGGCCAGTAAGGGAGATTTTTGATTTCCCTACTAGCTGTGGAGCCCCCTCTTTTTGTTGGCACTTGAGTTGCGCTGGCCTGTAGGGCTGGTCAGGGAAATCCCTTGATATACCCTGTCGACCCTAGCTCGTGCTTTAAGGCCTACCAGTTTGCCAATCACCTGGATTTGCTCCCAAGGTCTGAGAATGGGCTTGCCATGCCACCTCTCTTTTGCCTTTGGCCGTGGTGACTTGTGGGAAATCCGGCCCTGTGTACATTCATTACTAAACAACAACAGTAGTAACACAAATTCTTTGGAAATTAGGCTGCAGGTCAGTGATGTTTTTAAAACAGTACTGTCATGTTTTTTTTTTTTTCTTCTAGTTTTTCTCTCCTTATGCCCCTTGTATCTTAATGGTTGTATTACCCCAATTGCCACATACCTTTATTTACATATTATATTTTCTTTCCTGTCCTGGATCTCAATAATGTTGTTCTCCTCTCTTCATGATGGCTGCAGTTTGCCCTTCTGTGGGATTCTTTTTATTCTTTATTTTACTTGTTCATCGGTTAGACATGTACGTTTGCAAAGCCACAACAGCTATTGCGAACTAGTTCAAGAGACATAGGAATACAGTTGTTAGCATTTGATGACACTGCACATTTTTGTTAAATTTTATATCAAAAGAGTACAAACTTGTCATTAACTTACTGCAATACACACATATATATATATATATATATATATATATATATATATTAAAATTAGTTGCTAATGGAGGCCTCATATGTGGATCTGACACATGCTACATGCACTCTATTCTTTATTCTATGAGCTCATAGAATGCAGATGTTACAAGAATGAAAAGCTCAACTAACTAGACAGGGAGCATAGCCAAGTTTAAATACGCGTCTGTGTAATCTAGCTTTGTTGAGATATGGGTAAGGGTATAAAAAAAAATTTAGAAACAAAATAATCTACATTAACTGACAAGTTGCAAATTCATAGTAAATAAAGACAGCTGGGTATGAGAATACATCTTAGAAGAACAGTTATTTCACACCTCTTTACAGGGGGAGCTGCTTTTGTTTATCGACTAGCTCAGCCTATACCTATCATATAATGAACTGTGGTAGTTATGGTCGTCGGGGCCTGGCCTAACTGCAAACCCCCTACCCTGAGCCAAAAGACAGTCCAAGGTACTTGTATCCTAGGTCCCTTGTCGGCAGACTTGGCTTAGTGTCGGGCCTGAGTAACAGGCTTCTGCAGTGCTCGCTGAGGAAGAGCCTTCTGGGGTTGCAAGCTGTGGGTGTGGGGGTGTCCCATTATGAGCTGTGGCCCAGAAGGCACCTGGCTCACAGCCGGATCGTGTCGCCGAGATTGGCGCTGTTGTAGAGGCTCCCAAACTTTATCTCCTCACCATCCACACTGCGTCAGGGTCTTGCCCAGCTGATCGTGGTGCGGCTGTGCCTCGCAGTGGGTCTGACTGGGGTGTTGCTGCAGGGTGAGTTCCCCATTGTCGTTGTTGGAATCGGCCACGGTAAGCTGGGGGCCCTTCTTGGTTTGAGTGCGTCGGGCTTGGTTCAACTCCGATAAGGCCTTACGCCTGGAGGAAGGTCCAGTGGCCTCTGTTGCAGCTTGCCACTCAGGAGCGGTAGGGGAGGTTTGCTGGAGCGAATGGCTTTGTAAGTGGAGCCAAAAGGCTTGACAAATCCTCTCGAACTTAGCGTCGAAGATCTCCCGCAATATCAGGCCGTCAAGACTTGCATGGCTTGTTGAGGTTGCAGCGTGTCCGCCATCTTAGGTGACCACGCGGTCTCATAATTGCTGAGTTGTACACCCAATGGGGGCTGGGATATCCCTCGCCGGTCCAAGCGTGCGGGCGGGGAAAACAGGGCTGCTCTGAGTCGGGAGATCGTCTGTCTCTCCCAACAACTGGACCGTCGGCCTCAGTAGGCCGCAGGCTGAGGTACGGTGTGCTTCCACCAGGGCACCCAGTTTCAGGCTTAATGTGTAGTTTGGTATAATAAGGGTGGTCCCCAGGTAGCTTAGGGTTGTGTCCCGCTGGATTAGCTGAGGTACTGCAACCATTTTAGTTCAGGTTGGCAGGAGCTAGCAAGATACACATCTGGCCATCTTGGTTGTCACCTCCATAGTTCAGGCTTTACCAGTCTTCACAGCAGGATCAAAGTTGGAAAGAAATAACATGTGATTCATTGTGGGGGCAGCCAATGGTTTATGGTGCATATAGTTATAGATGTGGGTGCTCTGAGAAGACGCAACACGGTCTAAAATAATATAATTCATGAAAGAGTATCTTGTAGCCCCCACCCCTTGCTCCATGATGCAGACCTAATTGCCCTAGGCTTAAATACATCCCTGAGTAGGATAGAGGCGGATGAGGAGTCTGTCACACTCTGTTTCCCCGAATATATAGGATATAGAATGTTTAATTTAATTTGGGAGATGATCATGACTGGCTTAACATCTTTAAGCTCATTAAAAAGGCTTTCTAAGAATCATAACCTCGACAGTGTGCATTCATATTTGGATAGAATTCATTAGCTGAGACTGTCAGTTTATATTCCTCTCTGAGTTCCATCCAAGGGTTGACTAAATTGATATAGCTAAAGCGATATTGGTGAAGAAGGGCTGGACTGTTTTACATTATTAGAATCATTTATTTCTGTTAGCATAGTGCCACAAAACATTTGCAGTCTGTTTACTGAAGGACAGAAGAAGTAACATCACTTCTTTAAATAAAATAAGCCTGTATTCAACAGACAATAAAATGATCAGTTAAACGACTGTTCAAAGGACCAGGAGCTGATAAAACGGAATAGGATAATACAAAATTAAATCTTAATAAAATATTGATAAAATGTCAATAAGGTAAGACCTTTTGGGAAAAAAAACAAACATAAAAATATGATAGTTTAAGACCTCATGACCAGTTTTAGCGCATTATTTCCTTGTATCTTCCCTCTGGTAGTGTTTTGTTATTTTTATCTCCATTGATATATATCTAGCCTGTAGGTAGTTTGATCTGTGGTACAGAGTGTATATTTTATTGTGTATTTTAGTTCACTCCTGCTGATGTCTGACAAGGCTTAATGAACTGGAAATGTCTTCTTAATGGAGTTATTTTACAAATAAGCTTCTTTTAATTCCATTGTAGTTTGTATTGCACCAATTTTCACTCCCATGTCTTTGCCGGGAATTCAAAGTCTCTGCTTATCCTGAGACATTTTCACACCCATGGGTCTGCTTGATACGGAGGGTTCTCTTGTCTGGACTTGGCAGGTGAAAGGTCTGACTGGTACTGTTGAGGTTGCTGCATAGATGATAAAGGCATGTGTGTCATTTGCATTGTAGTAGTAGTAGTGCTTAGAATATCAGGTCTTAATCTACTAACCAATGTGCAAAACGTACTCACCACCACTTGTAACGAGTTCATCTTTTGTGTAAGATGAGAAAATATTTTGCCTTCTTACAAGGAAAATCTGTTTGTCACGCATCTAAAAAGATTCTCTATGCTGATTGACTCTGTATTCTCTAAACCTTTTTACACGTTTATATACGTCATCAGTACAAATGTGTCAAAGGGAAATGACCGAAAACAAATAATTTAAGCAAACAACTCAATCATACATGCTCACTAGTGATGTCCCGAACTGTTCGCCACGGACTAATCATTGAATAAACTTTGACCCTGTACCTCACAGTCAGCAGACACATTCCAGCCAATCAGCAGCAGACCCTCCCTCCCAGACCTTCCCACCTCCTGGACAGCTCACTAAGAATGCAGCTTCACAATGGATGCCGTCCAGGAGGTGGGAGGGTCTGGGAGGTAGGGCCTGCTGCTGATTGGCTGGAATGTGTCTGCTGACTGTGAGGTACAGGGTCAAAGGTTACTCAATGATGAGTCTGCGGCAAACAGTTCGGGACATCACTAATGCTCACTACTCACATTCTCAAAGACACACAAAACTGGCCATTCAAGATGCAGACATAATATAAAATGATACAGCACACGCAACTACCCAGACGTATACACACTAACAACTAATAAAACAATAAAAATATATTTTTTAAAAGCACGCCCTCCCCCCAAACTCACTGGAAGGTGCCTCACAATGTAAATGACTTCCAGCCCAGGCTGTTTATTTATCTGGTGGTACAATGACTGGAGAGCAATGTGTATGCTCTCTTTGAAACAATCCATTGTGGCTTCACCGTGCAGGATTTGTGACCGCAATGTGTATTTTTTTTTTATTTTTTATTACACTGGCAATACATGAGGAAACAGGGAGGCTGCAGCAGTGAAAGAACACTCGTCCTCCAGCAATGGCCCACATGCTAGAATATTAAATTATACTATACCATTTAGCATGACAGGGGAGTGGGGGGAAAGGCCACAATTTGTACTCGCACAGGTTAAATGTCCACTCCCTTATAGCAAATGGCTGAGTGGACATTTTGAGCCCTGGCAGTAGAATGTATGTTCTGAAAACGTTTGGGATTATGAATTTGAGTCTTTATATGTTTATATGTTTTGTTTTTTTTCTACTAATCTAGGTGGGGAAAAAAGTCCATCAAGTAAAACTTCAAAATAATTAAGGCAGTTTCCAATTATGCCACAAAAATGAACAAAATCCTTCTTGACTCCATTATGGCAATCAGATTTCCCTTGGATCAACAACCTGTTCACATACACATCAATTATATCCTTGAATATTCTGTTTTTGCAAAAAAAAAAAGCATCCAGGCCTTTTTAAAAACATCTATATAATCTGATGACAACCTCTTTAGCTAGACACATCTTTATTGTTCTTACTGTAAAGACCCCTTTCCTGTGCTGTAAACAAAAATACATTTCTTCCAGTCACAATGGGTGACCTCTTGTCTGTTTCATATTCTCACTATTAGATGTGTGAACTAGGCTGAACTTAAAGGATCACTATAGGGTCAGGAACACAAACATGTATTCCTGACCCTATAGTGTTAAACCCACCATCTAGCCTACCTGGGCCTCTCATGCCTCCATAAATATAGTAAAAATCTTACTGTATTCTAACCTGAAGCTGTAACTCTGCATGCTGTTAGGCTCAGAAAAACAAGCAGTCTGCTGACATGTGGTAGCCTGATTCAATCACAGTGCTTCCCTATAGGATTGGTTGAGACTGACAAGGAGGCAGACCCAGCATGATTCAACAGCCCTGGCCAATCAGCATCTCCTCATAGAGATGAATTGAATCAATGAATCTCTATGAGGAAAGTTCAGTGTCTGCACGCAGAGGGAGGAGACACTGAATGTTTGGATGCATTTTAGGCAGCCATGACCCAGGAATGATAACTAACAGCTATCTGAGGAGTGGCCAGTGAAGTTATCACTAGGCTGTAATGTAAACACTGCATTTTCTGTGTTTACAGCAAAAAGCCTGAAGGTAGTGATTCTACTCACCAAAACAAATTCAATAAGCTCTAGTTGTTCTGGTGATTATAGTGTCCCTTTAATGGATGAATGTCTCATTTGTAATGTAATTTATATATATATATATATATATACACATATACACACACACACCTCTCAGAGGTATAAGAAAACAAACTCACTTTTTCTAGCCTTCCTTCACAAGTAATGTTTTCCATCCACCTTATTAATTTTGAAGCTCGCCTCTGCACTTTTCTTAGTTTTGCAATATCTTTATTTAAAGCTGGTACCCAAAATTGCACAGCATATTCAATGTGGGTATGATCATTGATTTATAAACAGACAATAAGTTAACTCCGAGCTATGGACTGACAACCGTCTGGGCCGTTGGGAAATCAAATATAGGTGTATTAAGTAAATGTTAAATATTACTCTCAAATAAAACACTGTCAGTGTTTTTCTCTTAAGTGAGAATTGCTGGGAAAAATTAATTTTAAAATATAGGCCTAAATTGTTCTAGATTGGTGCATCAAGGTCCTACTGCTTTTGTATTGACACACAGAATCAGAGTAAATTGCAAGGTTACACAAATAAAAACTAGCTATTCCTCTACAGGCGGATATAAATAATGATCGAATCATGAACACTTGAACCCAGAAACAGCTGAAAGGGGTAGAGAATTTGATACCCGTTTGTAAGAGTGCAAACATAAATTAATGATTTTATAGCATTCCTAGTTGTTGATTTTTTTGTGTTTATGAGCACTGTATGAGTTTTTCTATATTGTATAAAACTTAACTTAAAATAATGGTTAAAGATTTCACATAATCTATTAAAAAAAAATCTGTCCTCCTTATGACTCCTCACTGGTTTGTTACTCTACATGTAGGATAATGTTTTTCATGAGATATAGTGGATGTTTATCATGCTGAAATGTGACAAAATCTTTCTGTTTTGCAGTTAGTTTGATCTTTGCCATTGCTGCACTTTGCATTACTGGGATTGCTTTTGTAAGCATTGGTAAGTGAATGTTTGCTGCCATCTTTAGGCTATTATGGGGAACTGCAAGGTGTTTTTATTTAATTTGCTGATCTTTAACTTTAACCCCTTAAGGACACATGACGTGTGACATGTCATGACTCCCTTTTATTCCAGAAGTTTGGTCCTTAAGGGGTTAAAATACCAACACCAAAAATGTTTTGTTAATAGTATTATTATTTTTACCCTAATTCCAAAGAAGGATCTTAATGGAACATCACCTTTTTGTGCAAATTTTCCATAATACCTTTGAGGAATGTTTTTGTGTGGTGCGCAAATTACAGTTGCCACCCGTATTGGTGGTTTCGTTGTTTAATATGGTGAAGTCTTATGACCCTTGCCTTTACTACCTCCACAGCCAACACATTAGGTATTACATGTCAAAATGAAATATATTAAAACAGATAAAACATTTAAACAGATTAGATTACAACTACTAAATAAACATACATTTTGTTATCCTGTCTATTTGACTGCAGATACCAAAAATGTTAGGCTTAAAGGAGCACCTTGTAATTCTTCTCTTGCCTTTATCCAGGTGCCTTCTACTTGCACGATTGCATATTGGAGAGACACATTCCTATCTACTTGCTGGTGCAAGGAATAGTCTTCCTACTGACTGGGCTCTCACTCATTATCTTATTTGCAAATGACAAGTTCATTTTGTTTTTCTTCTTTCTTTGCATGATTTCCACCTTTTCTTTCTGCTGGCTCATTGCAGGTAAGTGAAAAACAACTGACTATACTCTAGGCGCTATTGTCATTAATTTGATTTTCAGTAAATTGATAGAACCGCTTGTGTTTGACTTGGTGAAGGAACAGGATATGCATGTTCCAAGTGGTGGGGATCCATTAAAAAAAAAAAAAAAAAGTACAGCAACACGGTTATTTATTTAGCAGTAGTTTAGAACCACTATACTAGACCAAACAATGGGTCGTTGTCATGGTGGTTAAAAAATGGTAAACCAATATTTGCTGTTGGTGTTAATAAAGTTTATGATTGATAACATATACTCAGTATCTTCTCAATGAAATTAAACATGTTAAAAATTGAAACATTGAGTTAAGTTGATATGAAGGCCAATACTTTCATCCATGGGACAGAAGTACTGGTTTATATTATGTAGTGATGCTGAATACATTAATATTAATTATGTTATTAAATTAATATCATGCTATAATGTTTATAATATTTTTACCTTGATAATTAACATTGCACTGTCTAATGATGCTGTCAAAACTAAATCCCATCATTATACAGATACATGAGAAGTAGTAATTTTTGCATTGCCAAAACTCCTCATGATTTCAGAGATAAGTGTAAATACCATACATTTTAAGAGCTACATAAATTGTGTTGGCTTTCATCGATAATTACTATATTAACTGCAGAAAAATCATAGGAAGTAGTAGAATAGTTACATCGTAAAATATTAAACATATCAAACCTTGCAAAATAAAAGCAAACAAACTAAAGTTGAAATATATATTTAAAAAAGAAACAAAGAATAACTACACTGAACAAAATTATAAATGCAACACTTGTTTTTGGCCCCATTTTCATGAACTGAACTCAAAGATCTAAGACTTTTTCTATGTACACAAAAGGCCTATTTCTCTCAAATATTATTCACAAACCTGTCTAAATCTGTGTTAGTGAGCACTTCTCCTTTGCCGAGATAATCCATCCCACAGGTGTGGCATATCAAGATGGTGATTAGACACCATGATTATTGCAAAGGTGTGCTTTAGCCTGGCCACAATAAAAGGCCACTCTAAAATGTGCGATTTTATCACTTAGCAAAATGCCACAAGTTTTGAGGGAGCATGCAGTTGGCATGCTGACTGCAAGAATGTCCACCAGAGCTGTTGCCTGTGAATTGAATGTTCATTTTTGTACCATAAGCCATCTCCAAATGCGTTTTTAGAAAATTTGGCAGCACATCCAACTGGCCTTACAAACGCAGAACACGTGTAACCACACCAGCCCAAGAACTCCACATCCAGCATCTTCACCTCCAAGATCGTTTGAGACCAGCCGGACAGCTGCTGCAACAATCATTTTGCACAACTCGTTTTCTGCACAAACTGTCAGAAACCGTATCAGGGAAGCTCATCTGCATGCTCGTCTTCCTCATCAGGGTCTTGACCTGACTGCAGTTCATCGTCGTAACTGCCTTGAGTTGGAAAATGCTCACATTCAATGGTATCTGCCACTTTGGAGAGGTGTTCTCTTCATGGATGAATCCCGGTTTTCACAGTACAGGGCAGATGACAGGCAGCGTGTATGGCGTCGTGTGGGTGAGTGGTTTGTTGATGGAGTGGCCCATGGTGGCGGTGGGGTTACGGACAATGAACAAACACGTGCATTTTATTGATGACATTTTGAATGCACAGAGATACCGTGATGAGATCTTGAGGCCCATTGTTGTGCCATTCATTCATGACCATCACCTCATGTGGCAGCATGATAATGCACGGCCCCATGTTGCAAGGATCTGTACACAATTCCTGGAAGCTGAAAACATCCCAGTTCTTGCATGGCCAGCATACTCACCGGACATGTCACCCATTGAGCATGTTTGGGATGCTATGGATCGGCGTAGACGACAGAGTGTTCCAGGTCCTGCCAATACCCAGCAACTTCGCACAGCCGTTGAAGAGGAGTGGACCAACATTCCACAGACCACAATCAACAACCTGATCAACTCTATGCGAAGGAGATGTGTTGTACTGCGTGAGACAAATGGTCACACAAGATACGGACTGGTTTTCGGACCCCCCCCCAGACCTCACCAATACAGTAAAACTGCACACTTTAGAGTGGCCTTTTATTGTGGCCGGCCTAAGGCACACCCGTGTAATAATCATGCTGTCTAATAAGCATCTTGATATGCCACACCTGTTAGGTGGATGGATTATCTCGGCAAAGGAGAAGTGCTCACTGTGAGATTTGTGAACAATATTTGAGAGAAAAAGGTCTTTTGTGTACAGAGAAAAAAAGTGTTAGATCTTTGAGTTCAGCTCATGAAAAATGGAGGCAAAAACAAGTGTTGCATTTATAATTTTGTTCAGTGTATAATTAGAATATAATTGTGAGCAATCTCTCTTGTGTACATTTAGAAATGCATTAAAATATTAAGACATTACTAACTCTTTAATATTAAAATAAAGCCTAGCTATGATAATCAACAATTATTGTACCTGGGTCACAATTTCCAGACTCTGGTAATGGTAAACCGACCTGCAATTCTATGATTCTAACAAATATTTCTTCTCTTGTAGGGAGCGTCTGGGTGTTTCCACATTACACCGCCTACACTGGACAATGCAACAATGTTTTGTATCTCTTTACATTTTGGGTACTAATTGTGCAATATATTGGACTCAGCATTGCTTTCCTTTCATCTGTCATATACGGTTGTTTTATCTGCATCATGCTGTGGGCATGCATGGGTGTCAATGGGTAGCACTCCAGAAATGGATGTAAATCTGTTCCCTGGCCAAATCAACCTCTGTTTAGCAATGAATGCTGACAACAATGTTGAGAACTAGAGGTTGAACCATTCATCATTGCTTAAAATGTCGAAAACTACAGGACATATTGTGCAAGATACTGAGAAGAAATCATGTGACATTTTTGAAGGGCTCAATTTGTAATCAATTTTCGCAAATCTTACTGGAATTTCACATTTTGATAGCTTCATGTGACTTTTGCAGAATGCCATCAAAAGGAATAAAAGAATTTTATCAAACCAGTTTCAAGCTGACAAGCCGACCTTAAAAATCCCAGTAGAGGAAGATCAAATGTTGGCATGGATCACGTTTGAAACACAAGATCTTTTCAAATAAAACAAAATATTGTTAGAGATATGAGAATGAAACACTGTATGAAGTTGCAAGCCACCTCAACACTGTGCATTAATGACTACTGCTATCTCAGCTCGGTAAAGGGACACTCCAATTACGCAATCCATTTTCATGCACCTTAAGCTTCGGTTAAAATAGCATACCTGGACTGATATCATGATCAAAATTTTCAGTTTGTTTAAAAAAAAAAAAAAAAGGAAAAATTAGTTTAGTTTCACTCCTAGTCTCAATTCATCCCTGGTTATTTTATTGATTGAATTATTAAGAGTATTTGGGGGAGGTAGTATTAAACAAGTGAATTAAAACTGCAGGCAGCTTCCTTTCACTTGCATGACTGGCGAAAAAGACTGCTGTATGTAAATAGTGAGCCTATGAATGAGTAGCATTGTGAATGCATTCTATTTGCTACCTGGGAAGTTATCGACTTGGCTTAAATGGATTAACTTCAGTGTGAAAGAGAAGGGACAGCTCAGATACCCGGTAAAGAATGTAAGAGGGACATTCAGAGGTGAGTATTTGCTGTTTAAATGAATATTTTATCAAATGTTTTTTTTTTTTAGATCATGAAGAAAAAAGTTATAAACTGAAATTGGAGTGCCCCTTTAATTGCTTTTCATGCTGCATGAATTGTCTGCATGCCGCATTTTGCACTGGTTCTCAACTAACAAGGCTTCAAATAAAAGTTTTTTTGCAAAGCTTAACTCCTCCATAACATGTACAACATAAATGTCACTAAAAACATTCGAGCACAAAAAGTAAAAAAAAAAAAAAAAAAAATTCATGTTAAGAATAATAATGTTTACGTACAGGAATGTATTTCAGTTATAATGAAATGCTCTCAAATAAAGTTTCTTAAATGGACATACTAAACAAAACCACGAGATTTTAGTTTAGTGGTTTTAGTGCATAGCTCCTGTTCTTTTTCTCTGGCGATCTAAAACATTATCGGTTCTGAGAAATGGCAATTTTTACATTTGTCACTAGAGTCACTTCTTTCTTATGTCCTTTAAAAATCAAGGGTCTTCACGTTTGGCATTATCATGTCCAGTGTGATGACGCCGAATAAAGTAAATGCTTCAATAACTCTCTATGAGAAGCATCTGATTGTCAGAACAAGGCAATTATCTATGAGAAATATGGGAGTGGACTGAGATCATCAGAATGCTGTCCAGAAAAGACTGATCTGTCTGGTGCTGGATTACAGGTAAGTTTAAAGGAATACTCCACACACATAAAGTACTTCAATGTCAGGATTATCTCATCTCCACTGCATTATTATCAAAGTGCGAATTTCTATTTGAAATCAGCAATCTTATAAATAATTGCAGAAACACCTCTTTGCCTGTCAGCGATTCAGGGCTCTATGATCTTGTGCAAGCATGCAACAGCACATGCCCAGCTGGGTATTCACACTGAGCTGCACTGCAGTTCAATGTGAAGACTGTGATTTGGAGGCCAAAAAATGGGGAGGGTTTCTAAAGGCACCACAACTTTTGTAAGTTGTTTTTAAATATATCCTCAATAAAAAAAAAAAATGCAGCAATAAATGCATGCATGTTTTCCCACTGATGTTTATCAACTAAACTGTAAAAAAACAAATTGCTTTGGAGTGTTCCTTTTTTTAATTGTAAAAGGGGTCCACAGTCTAAAGGAACATGCTAAGGTTACAAATAATTACTTTTAGCCTTAGACTGTTCCTTTAAAAACAAGAGACCATATTCAGTTATATATAAATAATCTGCAATATAAATTGCTAGAGGGCGACAACAGTGTAGTAAATACTGACACCAAGTAGCGCTTAGCAATATGATACACTCACAGACTTAACTTGCAATGAATAGAATGTATCAAGGCAGTATCTCTTTTCGTTTCTTTATCCAGGTAAACACATGTCGGAGACAAAAACATAGTGCAACACTGTATACAACTCAAATGGCAATTTATTTAGTTGCATTCAATGACTTTGTTGGGATTCTCAACATCAATGATAAGAACCTAAGATTCACGAATGAATTTGGCGGCTCTAGCCTTAATTTAGTATATAAAATTTAAAAAAGAAAAAATCATCGAGAAACTCACATTTAGAATTCTATGCATTTTCTCCAGAACCTGAGGTTGTGCATTTCCCACAGTCATTACACACCAAGACAGACTTTTTTTCTCCTCTTCTATCTCTCACTTTATAGCATAACATGATCTTTAGTTCATCGGTCAGCCTTCTACCGTATATTGATAACCCCTTAAGGACACGATGGAAACATTCCATCATGATTCCCTTTTATTCCAGAAGTTGTGTCCTTAAGGGGTTAACGGCTGAACAACAACTTGATTTAAAAAAAAAAAAAAGTTAAAACATGTACATCAGTACTTGTGAAGCAAATGCAGAAATAATTCAGATTAGAAAGCAGAAAGGTGGGGCTTATAAAAATCAAACTTTTAATAAAAATAGAAAATTAAAGAGAAAAAAAAAAACAGTAAAACTTTAATTCAATCTAAACATTGCACTTACTGTGTTGGTAACTGGATGACATCTTTCAAGATATGAGTCACTCCATAGGCAGGTTTGATGTGCAAATATGGGGTATAGGACATACATTTCAAACTGCAGATCCTATTTGCAACAGACATAAAATAAGTTTTCAATACAATAATAAAGCTTTGTAATGTAGAGGATTGTCGGTCTCATTTGTTTTGACAATAAGCAATAGGAAAGAAAAAAAAGAATCTTTTGACGTATCAAATTTGCTGCTGCTGCTAAATGATGTTAGATTGATGGGGGAAAACAAACAAGCAGCTTCTGTTAACCTGCAGGAGGTGTTCTCATTTGGGGTTATTCAATAAACTACAACAAACTCACTAGAGGCAATTTGGGGTCAAATACAGAACAGTTCAGTGTATGATATATTTTTGCTAAGGAGTGCATACAAAGTACAGGAATGTGAATTGGAAGAAATCAAGGCTGTCAATCTTGTCCGGTTACCCACTCCAAAATTCAGGTGGGGGGGCCGTGTGATCTGTCAGACAGTGCCTAAACATGGTAAGCACAGTCACTGGTTTCCAACACAGTCATAACACAAAGGTACGGTAAGGCTACGCCACAAACTATGAGTGTGTATATATATATATATATAAAAAAGTCTATGTAACGGTACTTTGGGGTGAGGGAGTTCTTTTGAGGATGGGTGCAGATCTTCACTTTTTAGATGGCCGTAGTATACAGAAAGGGACGACAAAAGGTGAAGAGTCTGATAGTGCATTAAATCTCACTGTGTATAGATATAGCAATAAAATAGTAAGGTTACACTCATGTGGTGCAGCTTAGGCCAGCTCTGGTGTGTATAGCATACAGCATATGATCCCCACTGATGGATACAATGTGGGTGTTCTGGGACTTGAGGGATGTCGAGACCCAAAATGACAAAAGAGGCAGCAATAGTGCTCTCAGTAAAATATAATTAAGCAGTCACAGTAGTTATAGGGCAACACTCACATTTGTTAACGCTTAAGCCAGCTCTGGTGTGTATAGCATACAGCGGTATAACCCCCACTTGAAAGATATGGTATGAGTGTTCTTAAAGATGGAGGTGTCAGGATTCCAAAATGACAAGAAGTAAAAGGCAGCGATAATGCTCTCATTAATATAAATGGTCAATAGGAGAAGATGAAAATATACTCACAGAGAGAGAGATGACGACAGCATCAGTGGATTGATCTCCACCTAGGATTCTTTGGAATACAGGATGAAAGAAATAGTTGCCAGGTAGAGTAAAAGAAAAAAATATATAATAAAAAATAATGAAAGTATAATAAAAGATGGCACAATAGTAAGTGACCAAAATGAATTTATTAGTAAAAAAACAAAAACTATAATATACATCCAAACATGTTTCGCCAAAATGGCTTTATCAATAGAGTAAATACTTTCTACCTGGCACGCTTTGAGTTTATATAGGTATGGCAAACTGCAAAACGTTCCCAGGCTTTCCACCTCTCAAAATAACACAAGACTTCAGGCAAGGTAAGCCCCCCACAACTAGAGTCTACTTTGCCATGACAGCAAGGCAACCTTCAGTTCTGCAACACTGTACAAATGGGAGAAGTACAATACAGCATAGTTTGTGGCTTTGCTGGTACTCCCTTCAGAAAGTCTCTAAATCTCAGAATCAATATAAGTAACTTGCATTGCTATATTGGGCTGCAACTTCTGGTTTTAAGCGGACAACCAAAAACGAATAATTAGGGAATGACTCCTTTGTAAATCTTACATTCTAGGGTTGCTGTGTCTCTTGTGCAGAGAGAACTTGTAGACATTTCAGTTCTGAAATTACCTTAAAAGGTGTGAGTCTGAAATGCGCTTTGTAATGGTTCAAGTGTCCAAAAACATTTGAGACTTGAGGGAGGACTAACTGAAAGGCAAGCTACTGAGTTTCTCTAAGCTTTTGTCACTCATATTCTCTGTTTGTGTTGCAATGCAATTTGCTAGGGCTATCTGAAAGCAAAAAGGGTAATTCAGACATGGACTACCATGTTGTGGTTCGTGGTTTTGGATGAATACATTTGCGTATTCATACGTGACAAAACGCTGCACTACCGAACAGCATCTCCTCCTAGACATGCATCTCTATGGGGAAAGTTCAGCGCCTCCATGCAGAGTGTGGAAACGTTAAACATCAGTGCTGCATACTGCGAGGAAAACTAGAAAACAAAGTAGCGAGGCGACTAATATCTGTGCTATTTTACAAGTTATTATAGGTTGAATGGGCAGAAATTCCCACAGAAACAATCCAAATCTTGTAAAAACACTTCCAAAAAGAGTGAAAGCTGTTATAGCTGCAAAAGGGGGGGGAACTACATATAAACGTCTATGTATTTAGAATGTAATGTCATAAAACTCCCTGTTGGTGTAATGGTCAGGTGTCCATATAGTGTATATCATCTAAGAATCTATGCAGTCCCTTCCTTTGCTAAGGAAGCTAATTCCTACACCAAGGTCCCCCTTATAGTTTAACCGATATATGATGAATTTATTCATCCGTGCAAAGATGTGGAACCTTTTTGTCAATGGCCATTCAGTGAGGCAGAAAGGACTGCAGTGTTTTAGTCTGGCAAAATAATGCTATAATCCAGCACATATTGCCTATTATATTATTGTGCAATGTAAGCACACAAGGTCTTTATAAACCAGATTGTAATGACAGCATAGTGCAACATTTAGTCCTTCAAGGGCTATTCCAACCATCATAACAACTACAGGGTAAAAGTACACTGGCGACGTTCCCCGAAAATGGGAAGACTGTTTTACAATGGTTTTCCCATTTAATTGGAACTGACAAATGCTGTGTCTCCACCGAAGAGCAACAGAGCTGCAGAAGCGAGTTGTCAATTTGCCACTCATTCATTAACTGAGAGTTTCAGCTGACTGCTCTATTCCGATGAGTTAGATTCTGTGCATAACAATTTGCACAGGATTGACGTTAGCCAACTTGGAACTCTAGTTCAGGCCTAGTTGATGACACACCAATGACTATGCTGGAAGTAGAGTTGCACTTCTGTCAGCAGAAGGGTTAAACTTGGTATGTGCAGTGCCTCAAAGTGGTTATGGTGTATGACAACCATTTCAGGGGTTACACATTTATGATTTGCAAGATGGTGACTGAAAAGATTATCTTCTTGCTCTTTCTCCCATGCATACTCATATAAATATCGAATCAACCTAGGATCTGCAATAACAGTCCTAGAGGTAAGTAAAACACTTCTATATTTTACAAATGACAAAAACACGCTTAATTTCTCCACCTCCTTTTTTAATAAATTTAAGAACACATTAAACCCCACTATCCCCAAGGCTTTTAGCCCCTGTTTAAAAACCAAAATAAAACAAGAAAAAAAACAAAAACCCAAGAAACGCAAATAAATGAAAACGGAATTTAAATGGGTCTCTCTAGAGGCTACGAATCATAATCCTCTTCCTCTTCGCATACAGCAGGCGGCAACGGAGCTGGCATTGTGGGCAGAGAAGCAGGTACTTGGGGTAGAGAAGGTCCAGAATGGAAATGATGGAAAGTTGGAGCTGGAGGAGGGCTATATTAAAAAAAAAAATAAAAAAAATAAAAAAAAAAAAGAAGAGTGTAAAAATGAAAGAAAGATTCATTGAAAAAAAAAAAAAAAAATGTTAGGCATTATACTCACTGAATCACCAATATCTAGATCTGTTTTTTACAACTGTAACAACTGCACAAACTGGAAAGAAATGGTCTTATATACATATTATTGGCCAGGCTGTCAAGGTACATACAATAATGCCTGCACTCGTCCACTACTTTCTAAACAGATGCATTAAGTACTGTTGGAAAATGTTGGAAACTGAATCTGGAAGAGCTGCAAAGCTTAAGTGTATTTTAAATGCACCTCCACTGCGCCCAAGTAACTAATAAGCAATTCAAAGTGAAGGAGGAATAATACTATCACTTCTCTGACTATCAGAGAAATGATAGTATTATTACTAGCATTTACACTAATCAGTCACAACATGAAAACCACTTCCTTAATATCATGTAGGTCCCCCCAGTGCTACCAAACAGATTTGCATTGAGCCATGGACTCAACGCAAAGCTGTATGGACTCCACAGAATGTGTTCTGTGATATCTGCCAACAAGACATTAGCGGCAGATCCTCGAAGTCCTGCAACTTGTGAGATGGGATGTTCATGGATCGGATGTTGTTCCAGCACATTCACAGATGCTCCATAAGATTGAGATCTGTGTAATTTGGAGGCCAATGCAACTGGAACTTTGTCATGTTCCTCAATCCATTCCTGAACAATATGTACAGTGTTGCAGGTTGCAATATCCTTCGGAAAGAGGCCACTGCCATCAGGGAACACTATTGCCACAAAGGGGTGTATGTGGTCTACAACAATCTCTAGGTAGGTGGTACGTTTCAAATTAACATCCACATGAATGGCAAAACCCAATGTTTCCCAGAGGAATGTTACCCAGGGCATAACACTGCCTCCATTAGCTTGCCTTATTCCAATAACGCATCCTGCTGCCATCTCTTCCCCAGGTAAATGATGCACATGCACCCAGCCATCTACCTGACCTAAAAAGAAAACATGACACATCATGTTCTTCAATTGCACCATGGCCCAGTTCTGACAATTTTCCACTGAAGGCACTTTTGGTGGTCGACAGGTGTCATGATGAGCACTCTAGCCGGACTGCGACTACGCAGTCCCATATGTGGCAAACTGCAATGCACTGTGTGTTCTGACATCTTTCTATCATGGCCAGCTTTAAAGTTTTCAGGTACAGTTGCGCTTCTCAGTGATTGGACCAGACGGGCAATCTTTCTCTTTCCATTTGCATCAATGAGTATTGGGCACCTATGACCACCGATGCGGGTTCACTGGTTTTCCTTCCATGCACCACTGTAGGTAGGTACTAACCACTGCATACTTTGAACACCCCCCCCCAAAAAAAACTTGCCATTTTGGAGATGCTCGGATTCAGTCGTCTAGCCATCACTGTTTTGCCCTTGTCAAAATCCCACATGCATGAAAAAGCAATTCCAGAGGAGAACGTTGATTAACACCTTGCAACCCCTCCCCTCCCAAAAAACACAGCTTTTACAAATAGCAACTGTTACCACCATTAACTAGGTTTGCAGATAAAATAGTTCACATTTAATTCCTCCCCAGTGGATAATTGAAGGCATTATCAACTGTAAATAAATGAGAGAACATGACACCGTCCAATTCACTTTCTAAATTACCTTTGGGACAGAACTAAACTTTTGTTATTACATTTGCAACATGCACCTAAGAAGTGGGATCATAAATGGGCAATTTAATGGGTACACCCTCCAGAGTTGGCGGATGAGCTAACATATCAGTTACTAAACTTCATTTCTATATATATGTAATTCTATATGAAAAAAAAAAATACATATCATAGGGGATATAGAATATCTTGACCACTTGAGACTTGGCATTGCTTTAACTCCTGACACCCAAACTTGTGTCTGTGCTTTGACCATCTAATATTTACATTTATTAGACACTATATAATCACAAAAGTACCTTGGAAAAGTGACATGTGATTGATTTCCTGCAGGAGGAGCAGTACACATCTCTTCCTCACCCTCTGTTTCAGTGTCTTCTGAATCATCCTGAAATACAACAAATGTAAAATAGATATCTATGACAAAAATATTATTGTTAAAGGGACACTATAGTCACCAGAACAACTACAGCTTAGTGTAGTTGTTCTGGTGAGTATAATCATTCCCTGTAGGCATTTTCAGGTAAACTAGCCAGGCCTTCAACATAACTTGCCACTGACAGGCTGACACACTAGACAAATGAATATTTTAGATAGGATGTTTTTGTTTTTAAATGTTTTTAATAGAGAAAGAAAAAAATAAAGTGTCAGTCTTCAAACCTCTTGCTCTGAATCTGTCTCAGATTGCTTTTTATCTTTTCCTCTCACAGTTGTTCCTCCATTCTTTCGACTACTTCCTGGTTTCCGACCCCTTAAGAAAGGAAGAAAAGAAATCTTACATAATGTTAGTGTCTGTATGTGGGGAAAATCAGTTTGATTGCAAATAACAGAACGTCAAACTGTGTAAATCCATTTGCCGGATTTTAAAGGATTCTAATAATAGGCTAACAAGTAAAAGAAAATTGTCTGCACCTGCAAGAAAGTGCTCCAGTGAAACTGCTTGGTGACAAAGTACTGGCTCCCTCACGTGAACTAATCCAGAGGTTTTCAGATGTGATGCAAAAACATGGCCCCTCACTTGCTTCCGGGGTGCAAACTGATCCAGCAGTCGGGCTGCAATGCTCACCGCTGTCTTTCGTCCACTCACGCACTTCATGCACACAACATCATCATGTCAGGTTACAAACCCACGTTTACATCACACAAAACATTAGCAGCTCTCTGCAGTGCAGATAATGTGGGGGCAGAGAAATAAAGCAGTAAAAAGACCAGGAAAATGGGTATGGGCGAGCAAGAAAGGCAGTGGCAGGGACATGGGATTGGGGAGAGACGTTTAAGAGCAGCACCAAGTGAGCTCAAAATAGTTGTTGATAGAGATGTACATGAAGAGGGCAAGTTATATGGTGATTTGCTGGCTAAAGATGTCCAGAGGGTTTAAACGCTGAATTAGTTTATTACATACTCCGATAATATTTATTTCAGTCTATATTTTTTTTTTATTTTTTTAAAACAGCTCATTCTTCTCTTCACAACTTACTTCTGCTGTATTGCATAACAAAATAATAAAGACATTAAAAATAATAATAAAAAAAAAAAAAGTCATGAATTGGCAACATGTTACAGTTTTGCAGTTCCTCACCTCCTTGACACTCTCTCCCCCTCTGTGTGATTGTCATCCGTCTCTCCCTGCATGTCTGGGACAGTGGCCACAAGATCCTTTAGAAAGTCAAACTGCTGCTCAAGTTCTATACACTGTTTCCTAAGACAGGATGACATAAAACAAAAACTTTGAAGAAGAAAAAAAATAAAAAATAAATAAATAAAAATCAGCAGAGAGCTTTTATTCAGTTACTATTCCCTCACTAGTAAATGAGTTAAGACTTTGTACCTCGTGGATTTCCATCTATGAACAAAATGACAACTTCACATTCAGGAGAGGCAAAGAGGTATAAAAATAATCTTGTGCACTGGATTCATTTAATCTTAACTCCGTTTTGGTCCAAATGCTTAAACTGCAGAAATGAGTGCAGGGAATGAGGAGTAATAAAGTTAAAAAAAAAAAAAAAAACCCATTTAGTCAAACTAGAATAGCCTGGTTTATTTAAAGGAACACTACACAGATTTTTATTTATTTTTATTTTTATTTTAAGTCCCAGAGATGACAGGGGAAAGTGTTGGCACACTTTAATTTGGGGGAACGATATAGTGTGGGAATGGTCTACTAAATTGTTGCCTATACCAGGGCTTGACAAATCCCAGGCGCCAGGTCGCCATGGCGACTAAGAATTTTGCCCTGGTGCCTAGGACTGATCAGCCCATTCCCTTCTCCCTCAAGCCTTGTGTAGCGCTCTCTGCGCCGGTGTAACGGGAGGAAGTGAACTGTAATTACTTTCTACCGGCGCGGAGGCTGCACAAGGAACTAGCAAAGCTAGCAGGACACCTGGTAAAATCGTCTCTGTTCGCCGCCCGCATTTCATAGACCCGACCACCCACCTACATTTCAAACACCCGAACACCCGCACAATCAGATTTTCCCCTTGCAGATCCCTTCACTTCCTCCCAGTGCACAGCGAGCTGGATGTGATATTGAGACAGGTGGAGGAGAGGAGTCTTGAAAAGCAGGAGCCCACTCCTATTAGCTGCCTACCCCACCAATCTATCTCCTGCTGTGCCCAGTCCCACTGGAACCCAGGGAAGCCACTCTCTTGCGCCCAAAAGGTAGGAAACAGGAGAGTGGCTAAAAATATGTATTCGCTTGTTTTTTTTTTTTTATTTCTGTGTGTATATCTGTCATGCATGTATGTCTGTGTGTATTAAATAATAAATATCTTGTGTGTATGTGAGAGGATGTGTGTCAGTTGGTCAGTGTGTGTGTGTCCTTCTGTCCAGGTGTATGTTTAGGTCACCAGCCCCCTTCCGATCGCATAGGAATGGTGTTTTTACTCACCTTTTTTGCCACGCTGTGTCAGTCTCGCCACAGCTGGCCAGCCTCAATACATGAGATTATCAATTACCAATCAACAACATCTCGTAGTGAAGCATTAAAGCAATGCCTCTCTATGGGGAACGTTCAGCGCCGTCTCCACATTGTGACACTTTAGTAGCTGTTTGAGTGACTGCCACTAGAGGTGTTACTAGGCAGCAAGGTGAGCACTGCCTTTTTCTCTGAAAAGGCAGATCTTACATTGAAAAACCTACAGGGACAGGTTATAGACAGCAAAATCACTAAATTAGGCTGTAGTGTTTCTGGTGAGATTAGTGTTCCTTTGAGAATTGTATTTTTTTATGCTAAAAAAAAATATGGCTCCTAATTTTTTTTTAGCTGGCTCATAGATTGAAAGCAAATTTGTCAAGCCCTGACCTATACCCTCTGCAGTAGGGCCAGTGCTTCCTGTTAGCACCTACCTCTCTGCTGCCGGTGTAGTGTATGCCCCATGGTAAGTGTTGTATTCCTAACACTATAGTGTCCATTTAAGAGCGATGTTTTTTCCTCAAAAAAAAGATCTATCAAGCCCTGTTATAGAAGTAATGGACACATAGTAATGTTCAGATCTATCTGATGAATAGCAGCACATTAATAAAGATCCAATTACACACAAATAACTGGCAGCCAATGTAAACTGTTTATCAGACAATGTTTGCTTGAACAGTGCACCGACAGGGTGCTCTGAAATCTGAAACTTGGCAGACAGTGCCAATATTTTGGCAAGTGCATGAGTGCTGCACATATTTCATCAGGAAGAAAGTAAACTGCACATATTTGGAGGTGAAAAGTCTAAATAGTTACACAGTTTATATGGACAGCATTTGTTCTACAATATGCTTTTCTATACAAAAAAAAAAAAAAGTCTTCTGCCTGCTGTCACCTACACAAATTAAAAAAAAATAAAAAAAATAATTATAAAATATTTATATTATGATCCTTAGACTGGACCTTTATTATATATAACCACCACACATATTCCATGCAGTCATAAGTCTTGCCCCCAAACAACTTACAAGTGTGATGTGGTCATAGTCTTGGCACTTCGCGTTTGTGTGACCTGACAGGCCTTCTTTAGGAGTGATTCCAGGAATAGCTCAAGAGCTCGTGCTGAAGTAGTGTTAAGGAGATGAATAAAGATTGTATAAAATGATTGTCACATACATTCATTTGGTACAAATAATCCAGAATTAACAATGATAAATAAAGGAATTTATTAAATAACAAAATATAACATTGAAACAACTCAAGCATAAAGTTAACGAATTGTACATTGAAGATATTTAAAAATAAAATAAAAATATATACAAACCAACACACAAAAACCCAATGCCACACAATACGAGTACGCAGAACGCAAAAGCTCATAAAAACCTCAATAGCTTGTCTGTCACTTAGATCAAGTCTCAAAATATGTTTGCTCACTTGTGTCATTACAGAGAAAACATATACCATTTGCATATCAGACAGATTCCAACAACAAGGGCAGTCCAGATCAAAAATGCTGGCAGAGATGAAGCAACCCTGCATAATTGTTTTGGTGTTCATTGGGCCTTGTCAGTGAGGATCAGCAGATACTCCTCTTGGTACATTGACCACATGGTCCATGTCTGGATTACCCTTTAAATTTACCAAGAGCCTAAGTTAATGCATTGCAAGAAAAACAGAGAATATAAAAGTTAGTTCCCACGCAGGTCTCAAAAATGTTTTTGCAAACTGTCATTGCAGCGAGAACCTACATTACCAACAACATTAAAACCACCTGCCTAATACAGAGTACATGACCCTCGTGGTGCCAAAACAGCTCTGAGGCATAGAGGCATGGACTCCATAAGACCTCTGAACATGTCCAGTGGTATCTGGCACCAAGACATTAACAGATCCTTCAAAAGGGACACTATAGGTACCTAGACCACTTTAGCTCATTAAAGTGATCTGGGTGCAGTGTCTCAGGAACCTTAACCCTAATCAGGTAATTATTTCAGTTTTTAATAAACTGCATTAATTACCTGCCAGGGTTAAAGGACCACTATAGTGCCAGGAAAACAAACTCATTTTCCTGTCACTATAGGGTCATTAGGTCCCCCCTCCTGCTGGGCTGAAAGGGTTAAAACCACTTGAGCCACCTCCTTTCTCCAGCGCCGGGGAACTCTCCACCCCCTGCCGACGTCAGATCCGAATGCGCATGCGCGGCGCACGCATTCAAACCACCCATAGGAAAGCATTACTTAATGCTTTCCTATAGACATCCAGCGTCTTCGCACTGTGATTTTCACAGTGAGAATCACGGAAGTGCCTTTAGCGGCTGTCAGTGAGACAGCCACTAGAGGCTGAATTTAACACTCAGTGAAACGTAGCAGTTTCTCTGAAACTGCTTTGTTTGCATCTGCAGGGTTAAAACTAGAGGGACCAAGCACCCAGACCACTTCATTGAGCTGAAGTCGTCTGGGTGCCTATAGTGGTCCTTTAACGCCTCCTATACTGAAAACCTCCAGTTATTTAAACGTGCACAGGGATTTGGGATAGCGCGCAACTCTTTTCTTTGGTTTTTATAGTAAGTATTGGGGGCTTATGTGTATTATATTCATTGCTGCCGCCCAGGAGTAGCAGGAGTTTGAGCACAGGACTTCTTTTTGTATAAAATTAAATAAATACTTGAAAATCAACAGCTTTAAATCCAGCAACTGGGCGCCTCCATCTTAACCTGTTAATCGGAACATGTATTTCTCAGCAATGGTGCTGCCAAAGACACCAAAATGTATACATTCACTTATCTCAAACAAAAACTCAGTTCCACCATATAGTCATATTGTGTTAAGCACATAGCTGTGTTTTTTGAATTATATATATTCACAATACTCTTACAACATATTTAAATACACTTCAGCTTATTTAGCACCATTTAATTAGTCTTGCATGTTTGAATTAGTGTAGGACCCACCGATATTGGGGTAATGTGAAGTAGTGGTGGGCTTAGCACAATATTACCATATGGTGGAACTGAATCCCTATATTTATTTGCTAGTATAGACAATGTTAAGTAGTCTTATAAAACTCAGGATTTTCTTTTTATCTGTGCTGTTTCCTAATGTGTATTACGTATAACCCTTTAATTATGGCCAACAGCCCTGGTTGCTAAGGGAGTATCTGTTTCTTCAGCTACTCTTTGAACAGAAGGAAAAAAACGTAAAACATAAATTTCCCACTGTTGCTGCAACTTACGACTACATAATCCTTGGTACGTAGACACTGCTGAAAGTACATTGGCACCAAGTAAACAATCAGAATTAAGGAATGGAAAATCAGGAGGATAATAGGGAATTCACATAAAGGGAATAAAAGGAAACTTCTAGTGGGGAGGAAGATACGAGAAAATATGATAGGATAAGCTTGAAAAATAAACTCTACACAAGACTCGTTTAAAACACACAGGAAGTGACAAGCACAAAAAACAATTTCTATAGGCTTCTCAAATGCATTTTTTAGGAGTGGCATATCAAACTAAAAATAGTTACAGGGTATTTTATTAAGCACTATCGGAGATTCATATAAGATAGCCTTAATGAAAACTTTAACTACTTCTTAAAAACAACCCAAAGCTCTAAAAATATTTTTTTTTTTTTGCAGGGTCAAGTTCACATTTAGTGGCTATCATACCAACAGCTATTAGAGGAGTTTGAGGCACTGACCAAGTTTAATTTGGTCATGTGACAGAAGCCCCCAAAAGGGCTTTCCAAAGAGAATCTTAGATGTGCCCGCTGTCCATGTGCATCAGGTCCCTCTACAAGGAGCACTGAATTGGACCTTCACCGAGGAGTGGCAAACTGGACACCTGTGCTCCACCTGCTCACCCCGCCTCATTCTTTGTCAACATGCCTATTGACTTATACAGTCTCATCCGATCCATTGCTTATCATGGAGAAGCACTGGGACGAGATAATCATGTGCAGGAAAATGCAGTGCTCCTCCATTCAAATGTTGCGGTGAACAGGGCTACTAAACTGGTTCATGGATTGCAGAATAAAACTTACCAGGAAAGGTTAAAGGATCTTAACATATATAGCTTGGAGGAAAGACGAGACAGGGGGGACATCATAGAAACATTTAGATACATAAAGGGAATCAACACAATAAAGGAGGAGACCATATTTGAAAGAAGAAAAACTTCCACAACAAGAGGACAGTCTTAAATTAGAAGGGCAAAGGTTTAAAAATAATACCTTACTGAGAGGGTAGTGGATGCATGGAATAGCCTTCCAGCTGAAGTGGTAGAGGTTAACACAGTAAAGGTGTTTAACCCCTTAAGGACGGAGTCAAATGTACACGTTGTGAACAAAACAAAATGTAAACAAAACCTGGCATTTGCGCTACATGTCTGTCCAACCGTAATTCACCTCTTTCATATTAAATGCACCCACCCTTATTATATATCATTTTATTCAGGGGAAACAAGGCTTTCATTTAATGTCAAATATTTAGCTATGAAATATAATTTAATATGAAAAAAATGGGAGAAAATAAGATTTTTTTAAAAAAATTAGTTCTACATGACATTTTAACGGTCAATGTCATAATACTGTTTGCTTTTACTGCCATAAAATACACATATTTGTATTCTGCAAAGTCTCACGTGTAAGACAGTACCCTCTATGTACAGGCTTTATGGCGTTTTGGGAAGTTACAGGGTCAAATATAACACGTTACATTTGAAATTGAAATTTGCCAGATTGGTTAGGTTGCCTTTGAGACTGTATAGTAGCCCAGGAATGAAATTTACACCCATAATGGCATACCATTTGCAATAGTAGACAACCCAAAGTATTGCAAATGGGGTATGTCCAGTCTTTTTTAGTAGCCATTTGGTCACAAACACTGGCCAAAGTTAGTGTTAGTATTTGTGTGTGTGTGAAAAATGCAAAAAACGCCAATTTTGGCCAGTGTTTGTGACCAAGTGGCTACTAAAAAAAGACTGGACATACCCAGTTTGCAATACCTTGGGTTGTCTTCTTTTGCAAATGGTATGCCATCATAGGGGTAATTTCCATTCTTGGGCTACCATAGGGTCTCAAAGGCAACCTAACCAATCTGGCAAATTTTAATGTGAAAAAAATGAAACATAAGCCTTATATTTGACGCTGTAACTTTTGAAAACACCATAAAACCTGTACATGAGGGGTACTGTTGTACTCGGGAGACTTCGCTGAACACAACTATTTGTGTTTCAAAACAGTAAAAAGTATCGCAGCAATAATATTGTCCGTGTAAGTGCTGTTTGTGCGTGAAAAATGCAAAAAACTTCACTTTTACTGGCGAAATCATCGTTGTTATACATTTTACTGTTTTGAAACACTAATATTTGTGTTCAGCGAAGTCTCCCGAGTAGAACAGTACCCCCCACGTACAGGTTTTATGGTGTCTTGGAAAGTTATAAGGTTAAATATAGTGCTAGCAAATTAAATTCCCTTTACTTTCGGCATGGGTTGTCAGGCAGGTCCCGCTAATTGTAATTAATTAAGATACCTAATTATGTAAAAATATTATTATATATATATATATATATATATATATAAAATTTGTTTTAAATATTTTTATTTATATATATTATTTTGTTCTACGTGTATTTTGATATAAATATATATTAATATTAATACAGTTAGAACGAAATAACACATCTATATATTTAATTTATTTTTAATTATTTTTTTAATTTTATTTTTTAACGTATTTACATTTTTTATATTATATAAAAATATATATAACAATAATTATATATATATATATATATATATATATATATATAATCAGTATCAGTCTACGTGTAATTTGAGAGAGAGATATATATATATATATATATATATATATAAATAATTTATATATATTAATAGTAAAATACACCTAGACAGTGTGTGTGTGTGTGTGTGTGTGTGTAGTGTATATATATATATGTATATATATATATATATATATATATATATATATATATATATATATATATATATATATATATATATATATATATATATATATATATATATATATCTAAGTATATCATTTTTTTTTTTTTAATTTTTTTTTTACACTTTTAACATTATTTTATTTTATTTCCAGCCAGCAGGGGGACCACCTGTCATTACAGGCAGCCCCCTGCTGGCAATACAGAAGCCAGCTATCCCGGCCATGTGATTGTGAGGTCCTCGCAAGGACCTCACTCACACATGGCCAGGGGGGCTTCAGGACGTTGGATGTGCCGCAGGCAGCTCCCTGGGAGTCCCCCCAACCGCGATCGCCGGCAACCGGGTAAGTACAAAAAAAACGGAGGGCGTACTATTACGCCCGGCGGCGTTTAGAGCCGCTTAAAATAGGACGTAATAGTACGCCCTCCTGCGTTAAGGGGTTAAGCATGCGTGGGATATGCATAAGGCTATCCAACCTATAAGATAAGGTTAGGGACTAATGAAAGTATTTAGAAAATTGGGCAGACTAGATGGGCCGAATGGTCATTATCTGCTGTCACATTCTAAGTTTGTATGTTAACAGCATTTGATTGAAGAGCAGAGTTTGACTTTGTTCCGTAGACAGAAGCACCCCTAGTGTCTATCAGGAAGACAGGCACTAGAGGTGTATATTGTAAACACTGTCTTTTCTACATAAAAAAATAAAATGTCAGCTATAGATTAGGAATTTGCATCACTTGCCAGAGAACGGTTTAATATACCACTGATGCACTCCGTATTGCTTGCTGGAAAATATCCAATTATTATTTTATATATACTTCGAGACACTTGCAACATTAGACTCTATACACCAGCAATACAATGTATTTGTCTGCAACAATTGCTGACATGATATCTCCTGTAAGCATTAATGTGTCAATTTGGGAACATACTTAAAAGCAGCACGGTCACTCTCCGTCCCACCCACCAGAAAAAGGCAATCCAGTAAAGAGATACAGAAACAAAATAAGGACTACTTTGTCTCTGTATACTACTCCGCCTGACTTAAGTAGGCTCTGGGTGGAGCTACACTGTCAATCTCGACAGTCATGAGGTCTGCAGGGAATTGGCTGTCTATGGAGCATCCCCCGGGATCCTGCATTGACCTCCATGCTGTACCCTTGCGCACAGCATGGTCTGCGGTATCCCTTATTATCTTTTGATATAAATTTTTCAGGGGTTATCACCCACCATTTATTCAAAGCCTAACACAATTTCCCTGACCCATAATGTGAACGAGGAAGAGTAACACACACGAAAAAGTAACTATTCCTCTTTCAGACACAGGGTGGCCTCACATTCCATCACACTCTCGCAATCCAAATATTTAGTTGCCATTCTACAAGCATGCTGTCCTTCCTGTTCTACTGCTTATCTTTTCCCTCGCCCTATTACGCTTCATTCTGATTTTACCTTCTCTTACATGCTGGCTGTCTTTATGTACACTGGGATATGTGGGGAAAATACATTTGGTTTTATCTTCTACACCACCATTTTCTCAACCCCTACACCATGGAACACTGTGCTTTGCTTTCCCTTCTTTCTGTTTGTAATTTTTTTGCCTGTCTTTCTCTGCACAATTATTTAGTTCTTTTTCCTCCTTTATGTCCTTTCGCTGTCCAGCCTTATCCATGCGATTTGTTGTTCTATCATACTACTTGGCTTTTTATTTACCCCTCTCCTCTTTTAGCATGCTTGTTACCCTTTTATCTGTGTACATGTGTCCCCCCATCTATCCTATATACTCCTTTTAAGTGACAAGATAGTGAAAGAAACAAACAAACATTCTGTTTGCTCTCCAAATACAAAATGAAAGTAGGGTAAAAACTGCAGTGCGATCACCAGAGACTGATGCTCACTGGGGGAAGTTCCAATGACATTACTAGGGGAAATCCACATTGCAATACATTTAGAATCTCTAGTTTCTCTCTCATACTGCCTCCATGTGATCTGCCCAAGTTTATTATGTAATTTTGCTCCTGTAAAACTAGTTAAACTATAAAATCAGGGCATTTCAGTTTATAGGTTTCTATTCTTTAAAAGAACGAAAATCTACAGACATACCCGGCAAGCCTGTTACACAACTGGAAACCCCCAGACATATCTATAGAATGAAATACCTGAAAGCAGACACTCCATCTTTGACACATTGGGGGACCAATAAACATGGTTCACAGAAGGAAGAACAGAAGATATACAATGTATAAAGGATAAAGAAATTACAAACTGTAAAGGGTACAAGCAAACAAAAAACTGCCCTTATCATAATGAATTAAAGAAAATAAACTACATCATGCAGACATTCTAAAAGGTCTGTTAAAAAAATAATAATACTTATGGTAAAATTACAGTATTTTGGAATTCAGTTCTGTCCTCCAAATTATCTAGTTTGTCAGTTCCCAAACTTGTGGTATTAGACACCATTGAACACACTGCTCTAGGTCTGTGTTAAAAAGCTACAAGCTAACAGATAAAGTTAACAAATACCATGAATCAGAACTGGCCAGCCAAACATTATATAAACCCTCACTAAGCATGCGATGTGCAATTTGCCCTGCATTCCTTAAGGGACACTTCAAGACAGAGACAGGCAACACACATTTTTTTGTTACAATGAATGAATGGAAGTGAGGACATAAATAAAATATATATAAAAAAAAAAAAAAAAAAAAAAAAAAAAAAAAAAAAAAAAAAACACACACACTTGGCTGGGATTCCCAGGCTATTCACATTACAAGATAAAAAACACGATTGGTCCACAATGAAAAAACAAAACAAAAAACACAGATGACCTTAATAGTAACTAATGAGATCTAAGGCAAAAAAAAGTTTTTTTTACAGTAAGAACAATAAGGATATGGAATTCTCTGCCTGAAGTGGTGGTTTTGTCAGAGTCCATACAAATGTTTAACCCCTTAAGACCGGAGGGCGTACTATTATGCCCTATTTTAGGCGGCTCTAAACGCTGCCGGGCGCAATAGTACGCCCTCCGGTCTTTTCTTACTTACCCGGTCGCCGGCGGTCCCACGCCGGCGATCGCGGATGGGGGGACTCCCAGGGAGCCCCCCGCGGCGCGTCCGACCCCCTCACAATCACATGGCCAGGTTAGCTGCCTGCTGCATTGCCAGCAGGGGGACTGCCTGTAATGACAGGTGGTCCCCCTGCTGGCTGGAAATAAAAATAAAAAAAGTTAAATAAGTGTAAAAATAAAAAAATTATATACACACACATATATATATATATATATATATATATATACACATACACACACACACACACACACACACATATACATATACACACATATACACACATGGCTACTATGGCTACTAAAAAAAGACTGGACTTACCCCATTTGCAATACCTTGGGTTGTCTACTATTGCAAATGGTATGCCATTATGGGTGTAAATTTCATTCCTGGGCTACTATAAAGTCCCAAAGGCAACGTAACCAATCTGGCAAATTTCAATTTCAAATGTAATGTGCTATATTTGACCCTGTAACTTCCCAAAACGCCATAAAACCTGTACATAGGGGGTACTGTTTTACCCGTGATACTTTGCTGAATACAAATACGTGTATTTTATTGCAGTAAAAGCAAACAGTATTATGACATTGACCGTTAAAATGTCATGTAGAACTAAAAAAAATAAAAATCTTATTTTCTCCCATTTTTTTCATATTAAATTACGTTTCATAGCTAAATATTTGATATTAAATGAAAGCCCTGTTTCCCCTGAATAAAATTATATATAATAAGGGTGGGTGTATTTAATATGAAAGAGGTGTATTACGGTTGGACAGACATGTAGCGCAAATGCCAGGTTTTGTTTAAATTTTGTTTCGTTCACAATGTGTACATTTGACTCCGTCCTTAAGGGGTTAAACTGAAATTGGATAAATACTTACAAAAACATAACATACAGGGATATAATTTCTAATTAGTGGTGTAATAGCTGCTTGATCCAAGGAGACATCTGACTGCTATTTTGGGGTCAAGAAGGAATTTTTTCCTAGTTTGTGGCAAAATTGGAAGCACTTCAGACCAGGTTTTTTTAGCCTTCTTTTGGATCAACAGCAACAACATTTGTGAGGAAGGCTGAACTTGATGGACGCAAGTCTCTTTTCAGCTATGTAACTATGTAACATTGCGTGCGAGTGTGAAGCAGTGTTCAACACAGTGTAAAGGTACTTTTCAGAAGGACTTAGAAATTAAGGTACTTCACATCAAGAGATTAGAAGAAATCGTTTTGCTGTATCATTACAGGCAGCTGCTTAGATAATCTGAAGTAAGAAATACAATTGACCTGCAGAAAGCCAACAACGAAATCACATTACAATGCACCAGAAGTTGCTATGTAATATCACAAGCTAGGCATTCTATTTTCTGGTATACAACATACCGATCTGTACACTATCCTATGTGTTCAGGTGAATAAAGGACAAACTGTGCAAACTGTGTATGTGCAAACCACTTTCCATTCATTCCTAAGGGGAAGCACATGCTCTTTAGTACTCCAGAAATTGACTGAAATATACCAGCCCTAACCTGGTGGAAGAGGACGTCAGTGGAGTAGGAGGAAAACCTGAAACTTCGCCTTCAGAAGGACGCATTCAGAGACAATTATTATAAAAACGTAGACACACTCCTTAAAATAAAATCAAAGTCTACTTGCACTTGGGAGAGATTAATTCTTAGCCACAGCCGCACAATGCATGTAGGCTTTATGGGGCAAGGCAGCCTGTAGAGGCATTCTTGTTCCTAGAGAGACTGCATCTATTCTTAGGTGTGGCTCTGCTTGTTCTAATTAGCCAATCTTCCTCACAACTTACACTAAAACAAGGTAGGCCATCATATTAAAACATAATGCATTATCATACTCGATACAAGGTTTACAGGACAATATAGTATTTAACCAGTAAGGACATAGCTTTGTCTTGCTGCAAGTTTCATCCTGCCACAGACATGGGTTAGTTAAAAACATATTGCTCATGTGCAGTCTTAATACCAATTATTAATCCTAGGTAATAATACAGGACTTGCAAATTGGAAACCTGTATGTATGCCACATAGATACTCATACATTAAATGGTTCCGGGGAGATCCCTGGCATGATATGCAGATTGTGTGTGCTAACTTAGGGGTAAAGCATCAATGATCTGTAGAAGCAACAGAAATCTACAGAGTTATTTGCAACTTACAAGTCTTGGTATTTTACAGTAGAACGCTGGCCTCCTTTGCTTCTTAATCAGAAAAGGATACAAATTATGACAGGGACAGCAGCAGCAACTTTTCCTATTTCTTCATCCGTCTGCATAATCTTCTTAATCCTTGCCTTCAGAGAGAGAAAAAACAAAAACTTTTTGTAGTGAAACATTACAGAAATAAAAAAAAAAAAAAAGTGTTTACGCCACTCTATTACTTCAACTTTATGCCACTTGCGGTGCTTTTCACCCCTCATGGTCAATTCACATTTCATGTTGCCATCACAATCTGGTCCTTCGAGCATCTGTACCAAAGTATGTCGTTATTTATCAACAGTAGCTCTACATAGCCCTGCTGTCATTACGTCTGTGTAACATTGCATTGTTATATAGAATGCATTAGGATCTGAATTATACTGTCATTCGTCTCCACTCATAATGGTTCTCCTTTACAAGCGAAGCAGTTATAAAATAATCTATTCATTTGTTACACATTTTACACGATGGTGTAATAAAAAAGTGCAAGAGTGAATGAGCCCTTTGACTTTCAATAATATACCCATACCTATTATTATTAGCTTCATTTTCTAAAGTGCTCTGTGTAAGTGTGATATACCAGAACAAGCTAAATAAAAAATATATATCAGGCCTTCACAAAATAAAATAAAAGTTTATGTGAAAGACCAACAGCAACTGCATAGTAAGTATGGTAGAGTGGAACAAATTTGGGCAGCCAGTAGGATACAAAGCCCACACCTTTTCTCAGACTTTGGGTGCATTCAACTTTTTTATCAAAAGCTAGACATATCCACTTCCACAATGAAGCAGCCATGGAATGTGGCATTCTTTTCACAACAAAAGCACTCTGGTGTAATTGGCCAATTTGAATTGCCACAATCACTCCAAACTAAATATAATTTAAACATAAATCAAAAATGTTATTTTCACATGCTAATTTAGAGCAGATACAAAAAAAAAAAAAAAATGAAAATTAAAAATATATCTCTATCTCTCTATAAAGATACATACTTTTCCCAAGGTACCCCCCCTTCAATTTATTATTTCCTTAGAGCTCTTGCCATATAAGGTCCACCAACATACAGATATTAAGAAGTATTATCATTCTAAGATATTTATATATATTTTATGATTACGACAAAGTGTCTGGTTTTGCAGGTAATTTCATCCGTACCCTGCGCAATCTAGGCAAATCTTTACTGGCTTTAACCCCTTAAGGACCAAACGTCTGGAATAAAAGGGAATCATGACATGTCACACGTCATGTGTCCTTAAGGGGTTAATATTGCTCGTAGAGGACTATGATTATGTATTGTACTATAAACGCAATCAATCAAAAAGCCAAGCTTTTCCTATTGGATTAGCTGGGCCACAGTTATACTCGTTACACAAGGTCTACAGATTTGACTGAAGGTCTGTCTACCCATCCTACTAATTTGGGAATGAAAACACCTAAATACTACCAATCAATTTTTAAATAAAGTTATTCCCCCTTCTATAGTTCAGCTTTACATGTATGTAGAAGTGAAAATCTGTTAAAGGGACACTATAGTCACCAGTGCAACTACATGTATTCCTGACCCTATCGTGTTAATCTAGGCCCCCTGGGCCCCTCATGCCTCCATAAATATAGTAAAAACTTACTGTATTCAAGCCAGAAGCTGTAAATCTGCAGGCTGTTAGGCTCAGGAAAAACAAGCAGTCTGCTGACATGTGACAGCCTGATCCAGTCACAGTGCTTCCCCATAGGATTGTCTGAGACTGATAAGGAGGCAGATCAGGGGCAGAGCCAGCATGATTCAAACACAGCCTTGGCCAATCAGCATCTCCTCATAGAGATGAATTGAATCAATGAATCTCTATGAGGAAAGTTCAGTGTCTGCATACATTGGGAGGAGATACTGAATCACAGGATGCTCCATCAACTCAGAAGTCCCTCTGGTTCACTGTGAGTGACTGCAACTGGAGGTGTTCCTAGCTTTCAATGTAAACAATGTATTTTCTCAGAAAATACAGTGTTTACATGAGAAAGGCTGCAGGGAGCTATAGTTCTTACCTGAACAACCTCATTAAGCTGAAGTTGTTCAGGTGACTATAGTGTCCCTTTAAGATCTTTTGCATCGGTAAACTACTGATTGCCTCATTCTTTATGTTTTTAAGCTAAAATTCCATACAATAGTTATTTGATTATTTTATTTGCGAAACAATGGGAAACAAAGTGTCACTTCCTTCTGAGCCAAAGACTGGATCTACCCCATTAATGCATCAAGGGAATAACCAAGTGTCTCATTTTGAAGCTTGCCATTAAATGGCTTGCCAGTGGATATTTAACTCCCAGTAGATTACACAAGATTTACAAAAATGATATGTGGAGCTCAAGGTGTGTTGTTGCATATATGGATTTCTTGTTCTAAAATTCAACTATTTGGCAACAAGTAGTTTGTCTATTTTCTTCCCTTGTTGTTCCTCGTCTCCCATTTATTCCATTCACCAGCCTACTGATATTGTTTCCACAATCCTTTCCTATTCAATATAGACCACTGGTCTCATTGAGTTTTTATTTAGCTGTAAGGATTCTAATGTGTTTTTTTTTTCAGTAGATAAAAAAGGAAGAAGATAATATATATATCCTTGATTGAACAGAATCAAATGACCAGGTTGCCAATTTCAGCAGGTTGATGGAAAAACAATATATCCAACTTGTTTTATATAATTTATTGCTTTAATAACAGCGGAGTAAGTATACACTTGCTACTCTATTTTTACAGATATATTAGCATACAAATCACAGGAGAGTTAAAGCGGTGACCAGCATTTAGAGGTTTGACTACCATCACATAGAACATATATCAATATCAAAGATGACAAGTTGTGAAGACATTGAACTTTGTTCACAATGCTGAGAAAAAAGCCATCCACGGCTGCCATATTTTGTCAAATACAATTCTCCCAGGCAAAGACTGTATATATATATATATATATATATATATATATAAATAAATAAACAGTCTTTGCCTGGGAGAATTGTACTTGACAAAATTAATGTGTGTTTGCCCTTTTTAGGTGACCTGCCCCCCTCCAATCGCATGGGAAGGATGTTTTTACTCACCCTTTTTCCCCATGCAGGGCTGGTGATGCCGCGGCTGGCCCCACCTCCATGGCTGAGATCAGCCAATCCAATGCCTACCCATAGAAAAACATTGGGAAACTACTGCGCATGTGAGGCAAAACGCCATGCTACGCAATCAACTTCTCCTCATAGAGATGCATTGAATCAATGCATCCCTAAGGGGAGCATTGATGTGTGTAGCACTGACCCGGAAAGCACTTCTAGAGGCAGTCTGAGTGACTGTCACTCATGTAAGCACTGCGTTTAGTCTGAAAAGTCAGTGTTTAAATTGAAAAGTGTGCAGTATATAGATTTCAGAACACCTAAATTAAGCTGTAGTTGTTCTGGTGACTATAGAGCCCCTTTCAGAATTGTATTTTTGACAAAAATCTGGCTCCTAACTTTTTTTAGCTGGTTCTTAGATTTCAAGCAGATTTGTCAAATCCGGTTATAAACCCGTTTGTTTATTAGCTTAGCCTTTTCTGGTGTGTGATCTTATCAATCTAACAAACTGCCAACATTAACAAATCATGTAGGCCATTTATTAACCTTTTAGAGATGCATGGACAGCAAGAAGAACAATATCAAAAATCCAAGTCAATTGGCAGATAAATTACCAGTTTCAAAAGGTACATGTTTTATGGCAATATGTATGGTAGAAGGTAACAAAGCAATGTCTATTAACTTACTTACAAATTGTAACCCTTGAACATCACATGATACAAATTTAAATGGAACACTGTAGGCACACAGACCACTTCAGCTCATTGACGAGGTCTGGTGCAAACTCCCATCACCCTTAACCCTGAGCATGTAATTATTGCAGTTTTTATAAACTGCAATAATTACCTGCTAGGGTTAACTCCTCCTGTAGTGGTTGTCTACCATTGCCGCACATGCGAAGTAGATCTCCATAGCAGGCGGTGGTGGAGGAGCGTGAGCTGAGCGAGCACTGAGGGACATTGGCGCTGGACCTAGGTAAGTGACAGAAGGGGTTATAACTCCCTTGTGCACCACGGGAGTGGGCCTTGACAGAAGGGGAAGCTATAGTGCCAGGAAAACATTTGTTTTCTTGGCACTATAGTTTCCCTTTAATCAAGTAAAGGGACAGTGGTAGCAACAATATAGCTCAAATGGTTCATGAAGCAAAAACAAAACCGTAGAAACAAGATCATACAAACCCTAAAATGTGAGCACAAAAATATTGTTAACCAAGTCCCATATATCAATTACTTAAAGGGATTCTATAGTGTGAGGAATACAAAGTTGTATTATTTACACTATAGAGACCCCTGGGACCCCCCTACTTCCCCCTTCCCCACAACTCTCCCCATCCCTACTCAAACAGGGTAAAAAAAACCACCTTTGCTCACTTATGGATTCCAGCACTGATTTCTTTTGCTGCTCCACCTCCTCTGACATCATCCAACCAGGGAGGGGCAGGGGGCTAATGTGCATGTGCGGCGAGCACTTCCTATAGGAAAGCATTGATTAAATGCTTTCCTATGGTGATTTTACTGACAATGTAGGTCCTCATGCTAAGCGTAACGAAGTCCAGCGCCAGTTAGGCGACCAAAAGGCGGTTAGCCACTAGGAAGTGTCTCTAGAGGCATTCTTAGTCCTGCAATGTAATTATTACATTGATTTACATTGCAGGACTAAGTAGGACAGGGACAGTGCACCCAGACTATAGAGTCATGAATACAAACAAGTTGTTACAAATACAAGTTTGTAACTGTGTTGTTAATAACTGTAATTTGTTCCTTACAAGATTCATTTTATAACCTCTAAAAAAAAATTAAAATCGTAGACATACAGAGCATTTTCGCAGTCAGGACTAATTAGTAAACCTAATTTGCATTCCTAATACTTTAGCTTATCTGTCCCTAGGTCTGGTGGTCCCTTAATTCCTGCTGTTCAGCATAAAAAGATTTTAAAAATAGTATTTTTAATTTATTTTTTTTAACACTAATAACTCCCTCGGTGCTACTTACCCTTATCCATCCCCCTCCAGAGTCTTTTGAATCCAATGTTCCTCATAGAGGAGCCTTAGGGACTAGATGAATGGAGAGTGAACATGCATCAAATTTACCCACGGGAAAGCACTGAATCAATGCTTTCCTATTTGTGCTGCAGTTATGTGACTGAATTTTACTCTATTACTACAGCAGGAAGCACATCAAGTTGTTGTCATACTTACAGCCACTGCTGGTGTGTTTCTCCCTGAAATGTAAACATTGCAGTTTCTAAATAAACTGCAATTTTTACATTGCAAGGTTAAACCCTAAAAGGACCACAACACCCAGACCACTTCATTGAGATAAAGTGGCCCTTAAAAGTGTCAAATTCTAAAACGTTGTACAATGACATAATGTTGATTTTCAACCATCATACACAACAAAACAAAAAAAGCAACTATGGTTTCAATTATAATCAAATTAGCATAGAGGTAATAAGCATCAGATACACCAGTGTAGTCTACATCTGACCAGGGAAATTATATAGTTTGGGTCATAAGATGCAATTCCCTGTTCAAATACCAAAAAAGTCCACTCACCATACTCTGTGAGTGCCCCTTAAAAAGTTTTCATTAGAATGTCCTGAAGCTATAGCTTTAGGTTTTTTTCCCCTAACAAGCTAATTTTCCAGCATGGATAGTTTAGTCTAAATGAACATTCTGCATAAATCACTGGTTAGCGAATGAACACTAAAATAAGTTTTTCAGCTAAATAGGACAAGAAAAATGTTGTGAATTATATCTTTGTAATGTCTTGCTTGTTGCAGGTCAGGTATGAAGATAAGGTAAAGAAAAGCGAATTGCAAAGTTAGGCTAAAATAGAACACAACTAATTTAAAAAAAAATCCCCAAATCAACTATTATTATTATTATTGCCTAAATTGTGCAATTATTTCACAGTTTACTACTATTCGCAATTTTGTGAATAAAACCCTAAATACTAAACCACACTCAATGACTATCTTGTTAAAGACGATTTATCACTAGGAAGACTTTCCTAATGGGGTGTACTATATTGTTAAATGCAGATAAGGAATTATAGGTCCTCTGCAAATAATAATAATAATAATAATAATAATAATAATGGCAGTAATGTTCTTTAAAGCAATTAACGGCCAAAAGGTTAAAGTATTTGTAAAGTGAGTAAAACTAGATGTGGGAAGGGAAGCCTGATCATGGGATCCTTGTTGGATCATTTCTGGGGTAGAGCTTTTAGGAAAGTCCGAGGATGCAAATGGAGAACGTACAACCTGTCTAGGCCGCAAACTCACCGGCGGAAATCGGGCGTTGTATTTCTTTTTCTTGCTAGGCATCGTCAATCGAAGGGGAATACACTCACAGTGAGAGATTGCAGGAAACAAGAGCGATCCAAAGACCACCGCCGCCGGGAGACTGTCACTGGGTGTTCACCGGGCTTTGCTTAATAAAGTTCTTGCAATTGAAAAGGAAAAAAAAAAAACTAAACAACCTTACAGATCAGGCGGTTTGGGTGAACGTACAACGAACAATAAAGTTTATTGAAACAGGTCTTTCCCACACGCATTGATGGCTGCTCATATATTCTTTTGAACTTTTAACGTGTCATTTTCATCCTCCTCACCTTAGTTTGCACTTCCGAGTCGTTCAGTTACTTTTCCTTATACCTTAAATGCTCTTTGTCCATTTTTGTGTTGCTAGTAAAGTAAATTACAAGGGGGGGGGATTGGGAAAATACACACCAAAACTCCTCCCACTCCCAGGATGGGCAGAGTGGCTGCGGTCACCATGGCAACCAGGCCTAGAACCGGAAGCGCAAGCGCCGAGCCTGGTAACCACCGAGCCTGCCATCCAGTAAGAAAACAGCAAGCTTCCTTCAGTGCAGCTTGGAGCCGCTTCCCTGACTAGCATTCATCTATACCTGCACTGCAAGCGGTGCCCTCTCACATTCTCTTCATTTATTCTCCGTAGACTCATTCCTTCCATCAATATACTTCACGGCACCTTTCTCCTGCACCTTCTAATCTGTTGAACTGTTACATATTTAAATAGAGTGAGCAGAGTCATCTAGCAGGGGTAAAGACACGCTGATACATAGTACACTTTACCAAAAAAAAAGAGAAGGGGTTTAACCATAGAGTTCACTTAGCTACACTCTGCTACTAAAGGATAGAGGGCGATGCTATTGGTTGGAGAGAGAGAGAGTAAGGGGGTTGGTTGATTTATTATTATTATGATATTTATAGAGCACCATCAAATTCCGCAGCACTTTACAATGGGTGGACGAACAGACATGTAGTTGTAACCAGACAAGTTGGACACACAGGAACAGAGGGGTTGAGGGCCCGGCTCAATTAACTTACATGCTAGAGAGAGTGGGGTAAAATGACACAAAAAGGTAAGGATAGTATTAGACTAGTGACAATTGCAGAAGAGGAATGTTAGACATGAAAATGCATTTTTTTGTTATTGGTGCAGAGCTGACCGTTTCCAGTCTGCTCCAATTCTAGACAGTAAGTGCAAATCTCCTTCAACACCTACACTGTATTTTCAACACTTACATTGTACAAAAGTATTGGGACCCCTGACCATTACACCAACAGGGACCTTTATGGCGCCACATTCTTAATACATCGACATTAATATGTGGTTAAAAGAGTAAAAACAGGTTGTGCTAAAATGTATAATAGAAAGACAAAGTAAAAGCAGCAAATAGCTTTGGTAAAAAAAACATGGTATAAAAACATAAACCAAAGTGTATATTTGGGAACTTCTGTTGTGTTCTACTACCCTTTGTGTGGTATTTATTCCATACCCATATATAAAGACTTTATATTGTTTACATATTTTAGATTCTCACTTTTTAGTTTCTGTGTTTCTATCTTATGTTTTAACACATTGGCTATTTGCCATTTTTACTTTTTGTTACTATTATACATTTTGGTGCCACTTGTTTTTAATCTGTTAACTTTTATCATTTTAATATTTTATGTGGTTTTAAGGGGGGAGAAAGCCCCCTTACTTTCAGCTGTGCAGCGTTTTTTTCTGTCTGCTTATTTCATGCTGACCCTGTGTTTTTCATCAACATGTAGTTACATCTCCCTCCTTTGCAGTTATAACAGCTTCTCACTCTTCTGGGAAGGCTTTTTAGAATTGTGGAGTATTTCTGTGGGGTTGCCAAACCGAGAAGTGTGTTTTTGTCATCCTTTAGAACATGTTTCCAGAGTCCAGTGGCTATGTACTTTACACCACATGTACTGACGCTTGGCATTGTACTTGGTGTTGTGAGGCTTGCATGCAGCTGTTCGGCCTTGGAAACCTATTCAATGAAGCTCCTGCCGCACAGTTTTTGTGCTGATAGTAATGCCAGTGGAAGTTTAGAACTCTTCAGCTATGGAATCAGCAGAGCATTGGTGACTTTTATGCATCACATGCCTCAGCACTTGGTGACCCCATTCTGTATCTTTACGTGGTCTTCCTTTGAGTTGCTGCTATTCCTAAATGCTTTCACTTTCCCATAATTTCACTAATAGTTGACTGTCAAATATCTAGCAGGATTGAAATTTCACAAACTGACTTTTTACAAAGGTGTTACATAGGTTACTAGGTGCTTGATTATCGTTACTTGAGTTTCCTAATTTATACATTTTCCACATAAAAACTCTTGTAATGAACCATATTCAAACAAGATTTGCTTTCTTGGTCTCTAAACGAGGCCTTTTTAGTATATTGTTTCTTTACTGCTGGCCAACTAAGTCAATGCCTCACAGAGGTTTTCATCCTTGCTCTATGAAACATTGCCTTACATTTTTGTTTGTCCATGGCCCCATTAGCAGTGACTCCCCAGATGTCAAACTTTTGCAGTAGGGATCGACCGATTATCGTTCTGGCTGATATTCGGTATTTTTGGCAATATCGGTATCGGCCAATAACGATACTGATATTGCTGATCAGGACCGTCGGGCCCATGACAAGCCCGCCGGTCCTGGGGGGCACAGCAAGCTCTTACTTACCTTTCCAGCAGCTCCCCTCAGCTCCCCTGTCTAACTCTTGTGGCCTGTGTGCCGCGTGGACCACCAGGGAATACAGTCCATGCCACCGGACCACCAGGGAATACCATATCCCCCCTCCCTGGCAAGGTAACAAGTAGGGAGGGGGGACTAAAACAATCAACTTTTTTTTAAAATATTTTTTTATAATAATATAAATAAAAATGCCCCCCCAACCCCATTTTACACACATTACATACCTACACAAACACACACTCACTCTGCATTATACACTCACACTCTGCATTATATACACAAACTACACAAACACACACACACTTTGCATTATATATACACACACTTTGCATTATATATATATACACACACACTCTGCATTTTATATATATATATATATATATATACACACACACACACTGCATTCATTATATACACGCACTACACAAACCCACACACTGCATTCATTATATACACACACACTACACAAACACACCCACTCTGCATTCATTATATACACACTATACACACATTCTGCATTCATTATATACACACTACTCACTACACGTACACACTACATACACACTGCATTCGCTATACACTCACTACACAAACACACACTACACAAACACACACTGCATCCATTACACACACATATATATTCTTGAAAACATTACAAATTTTGACTAGCATGTATATTTTGTGCATTTACCTTAATAAAAAAAAAAAATAATAAACATGTTCAGTTAACAGTAGATTTGTGTAGATATAGTTTATTATTTTAAAATGGTAAATGTACAGAATATCGGTAAGTTATTGGTTATCGGCCTGAAAGTTCACAGATTATCGGTATCGGCTCAAAAAAATCAATATCGGTCATTCCCTACTTTGCAGCAACAGCAAGGCCTTTCTAGGCATGCCTGCTCTTGACTATAATAACCCTACAGATATCATTCCTGCTTCCTCAAAAGTATGCCTACCCTCAGTTTTAACCATCAACCCTACAAAGCAGTTCCTTTACATGGATGGCAACCCCACACTGAGACACAAATGTAATTTCTGCCATGTGTCAACTATTGGTATCTGAAGCAGTGCCCCTCCTGGGATATTATTTGCCCAGTCAAGCAATACTTATATAGGGAGGTCAACCCTTCACCCCCATATTAGTCTTTTCACAAGAATGTTAGCTCTTAACCCTCAATATTTGTGTTGGAGGCTGGATACTACAGTAGTGAGGCTGAGAGTTACAGTGTTACTGAGCACTGTGCAACTGTACTTTGCAATTTAAGTGAGGAGAAGCTAATAGAGGGACTGTCAGAGATTAAAGACATTAGATAAATACATCCAAAAGAGTTGTTCATAGTAGATTAGAGTAGGAATAAACAGTAGAGAAATAGGCCAGTTACAGCAGTACTTATACAAGTGCATAAATTGCATGTAAATTAGCATTTCTATTTCATCTGGCATTAGCAATGGTTAATTCATAAACATGGTAAAAAGTGGGAAGGAAGAGCGACTTTGTAGAAAGACAAGTATATGCTCTTTTTAGGCGTTCCTTTTCAGCATAGTAATCATGGTGTTGATTTAATTCACCTAAAAAGCTATTTTTAGAGGAATGGAATATTGACAAAACCATATGTGTGCAAAGAAAATTCCCAATATTCTGTAGCCTTCAAACGTGCGCCATGTTTTGCCTTGTTTACTAAACCTGTTGAATGTATAGGAAGGTTTGAAGGACAGCACAAAATCAAATGCAACATGGAAGCAATGAATGTTGGTGAGATTGTAGTGTTGATTTTTTTTTTTAAGGTGTTAAGTTTAAAAGTGGAAATAGATCACAGATTCTCTTTTTTAGATAATGTGAGTTCATTAGTTTATCACCGAAGAGTTATGGAATAGACAATAGAAGAGGAAGTGTGAGTTCTGAGAAAAAGAGCTACTTTAAAGTTCCGCTAGCATTCAATTCCAAAGTAGCCTGTTTATATGCCAAGACAGGTAGTGTAGATAAGGAAAAACAGCAGGCCTAGTTTCTTCAGCTACCCCATAGAGTGCTTGTGGAAATGTTTGAATGCCAGATATGCTAAGAATTCCTTTTGAGACAAACAATTTATGGGAGCACTGTCATTTAGCAGTGTGTTAATTCTTTAATTGTGCCTCTATTTCCCCATGTTTTTATTTATTCCTTTTTTTTTTTTTTTTTGAATCTCTGTGTTCTTTGGACTTCATTTCTTAGGTAGAGCAAAATATTTGGCAATGAGGGCACATAACGCAAACCTCTCAAGTGTCCCTATTGTGTACCAAAACCCTCTGTCACTCTTTTCCAGGAGCCCCAACAGAGCTCCACAGCAATAATACTCACAGTAACGTGTATTTTAACTACAATAAATGTGTTTAGAAATTAGTCTGTGTAATTAAGATGCATTGTTCTTCTAAATTACATTTTAGTTACATATTACATAGTTACATAAATGGTTACTAGTAAGTCACCTGAAATTTGTGGCGGAACCACCGCTTGTTCGGGTGCTTTCTACTTATACTGTGTGTTTTTCCCTTGCCCTTCATATATTGTACCCGCTCCCCATTCGGGAGCACTCCTACGAAAGGAACTCCTTCGTCTCCCCTACAGGGACCACCCCGATATCCCATTTAGAACGCTAGTTAGAACATTTAAGTAGAACGTTCTCACCTCTGACATAGTTGCGAAACCGCAAGGGAGGCAATTAATGAGTTCTCCCCTGGGTGGCCGCCATTTCGCATAGATGAATGCCCGCCAGGGGGTGCATTCGTGGATTGTTTCCCGACTTGTTCATCTCCCGAACGAGGACCACCCCAGTGCCACATTAGAACGCTCCCGCCAATTAATTAGAACGTTCGCACTCGCAACATAAGTGTGAAACCACAACGTTCGCAGTGGCAAAATAGTGTGAAACCCCGTGCCCCGAAAGGAGACGCTTCCCTTGCAGGTTTCAGCATGGAATCTTGCGAACTGAAGATTTCTCGGAGAATGTGCCAGTGTGAGGGTGCCTGAGGTGGGTGGGGCACTGGCTAGTTTGGCGGGCTATTCTGTGCCTGGGAGACAAAGGAATGCTCTCTTTTCCCGCGCCTTGGCTCCCAAGCACAGAGGTTCATGGGATGAAGGCCCCAAGCATAGAGGATTCTGGGATAACACCTGTTTATGGGCATTGAAGACCCCTTGCATGGGGCTATGCATAAAAGCCGTGTGTGGCAATAAAATTGTGTTGTACCTCCAGAGCTGTGTGTCATCCAGTTCCTGAGAGGAAATGGGTCTCTTTATATTCTAAAGTAGTTCCTGAACGGCTGAAGGAAGCTATCAGCGGAGGTAACTGGTCGGGTTACCCATGGTCCGCTACAGCAGTGTTTACATTACAGCCTAAGGTCACCTCCATTGGCCACTTCTGGCATTCAGTGTCTCCACCCTCTGCATGTAGACACTGAACATTCCTTATAGAGATGCATTGATTCAGTGCATCTCTTTGAGGAGATGCTGATTGGCCATGGGGACATTTGGCTCTGCCCCTGGCTCGCCTTCTTGGCAATCTCAGCCAATCCAATGCTTTCCTATGGAAAATCATTGTGATTGGCTGAGAACATAACTTCTGATGTCAGCCAAGGAGGGAGAGCCAGACCCAGCAGACTGGCATAAAGGTAAGATTGAACTATATTTAGTGGGCATAGGGAGGCCAGATAGTGTTTTTAACACTATAGGGTCAGGAATAAGTTTCCTTTACATGCAATTAATGCACCTCATGTAGTACAATTCTGCCCTAATTGACATGTTCCTCTATCCTTATTCCCTATCTGACCTATTATAAATACCTATTTCTTGTAACTTGTCCTGTAACTGCAGACACTTCCTCAAGCAGACAAATCTTTTCTAATGATGCTGGCATGCTAGTTTCCCTGCCAGAACCAGTGGTGGCTGGTAAAGTTTGTTTAAAAATGGTGCTGTGCTAGACTCCACACATTGAATATAACTCATTCTCTCTGAAAACCCTACCTCTGATCTAATTGACTTTTGAAATGAGATATCAAGATTTAAAAAAATATATTGATTGTTTATATAAACCTTTTAGTTGCAAAGCAATGTGAGTGGAAACTAACAGAGTTAAAACACATAATTGTGTATTACTTCCTATGCAGAAACTGCTTAAAGGACCACTATGGTGCCAGGAAAAGAAATTCGCCCCCCCCACTTTCATGGCCCCCCTCCTGCTGGGCTGACTTACCTTTCTCCAGCGCCGGTCTCCCTCAGTGGTGGTGACCTCTCCTCCTCCTGCCGACGTCAGCGCCGAATGCGCATCTGTGGCAGGAGCCACGCGCACATTTAAAGCGCCCATAGGAAAGCATTACTCAATGCTTTCCTATGGACGTCAGCGTCTTCTCGCTGTGATATTCACGGAGACAGCCACTAGAGGCTGGATTAACTCTTAGTGTAAACGTAGCAGTTTCTCTGAAACTGCTATGTTTTCATCTGCAGGGTTAAAACTAGAGGGACCTGGCACCCAGACCACTTCATTGAGCTGAAGTGGTCTGGGTGCCTATAGTGGTCCTTTAAGCCTTATAAGAATTCAAGGACATATTTTCAGCATGCTGGTGTTGGATGACCCCCTCTTGCATCTTCACTCCACAGAAACTCAATATGTGAAATGAATGTGGTTTAAAGGGACACTATAGTCAACCAGACCACTTCAGCTCAATGAAGTGGTCTGGGTGCCAGGTCCCTCAGGTTTTAACCCTTCAGAGAAACTGCCATGTTTACATTTGGGGTTAAGCCAGCCTTTAATGGCTGTCTTCCGGACAGCCACTAGAGGCTCATCTGCAATGATTGAGGCATATTGTGCCTCAATCACGCAAAGCGTCCATAGGAAAGCATTGGAAAATGCTTTCCTACGGACACTTTGCGCGCGCGGCAATGCCGCGCATGCGCATTAGTCTCCTGTGACGTCGGAAGAGGAAGTTGACGTCCGAGGGGGAGTAGAGGTAAGGGAGCCCGGCGCTGGAATTAGGCGAGCTACTGAAGGGGTTTCAGCGCCACGGGAGGGGGACCCTGAGGGTGGGGACACCCTCAGGGTACTATAGTGTCAGGAAAACCGATTTGTTTTCCTGACACTATAGTGTCCCTTTAAGTATTAAAAATTATTTATTTTTTTCTTAATATAACCCCCCTTTCTGACAACCATATTTAAGCACCTTGGGTCAGAATGTCAGTTATCCCAGCTAATGCTCACTGCTTTACAACCATCTGTTTTCAAAATCCCGTGACAGAAAATGCATCAGAAAGAGCACACGGTTTGGAAAAGCACTGGGTGGTTGCAAAATAGTGAGCATTAGTTACGATAACAGAGCCAACTATTCTTTGCATTACTTTTAAAGCTATACTGATCACTATATTAACTACTTATTGTAGTGGTTATGATGCAAGGAATCTTCGTGTGCCATCCTCTCATTTTAGCAAACCAATTTTGAGCAGTTTGACACACAAAACAAGGTTTTCCTAGCCCAAATTCTAGCACTTTTCTTGCCTTTCACATAATGTGTTTAATAAGTTTTAATTTCTGTGTTATTTTTTCAAAGCAACCAACCCTTAGAAGGCAATCATTTTCTGCGTACATGGGGCTAAATTAAATGTATTATTCGAGTTACAGTAGGCTAGAATTCAGTTCTTTTACTTACAATGAGCGGTGGGTAAAAGGCAAAGAGAGTCAACATCCAGACACTCCAACCCCCATGATTTTATTAAGATAATTTTGTTATGGGAGTGGTCCTTAACCCCTTAAGGACACATGACATGTGTGACATGTCATGATTCCCTTTTATTCCAGAAGTTTGGTCCTTAAGGGGTTAAACCACTTAAGGACCAGATGACAGTCTATACTGTAATGTAGTGCAGTTTTTAAGGCCCTTTGACGGCATAGTCCGTGATGCAGCAAAACTATTAGCAGGGGTTAAATTTCTGCTAGTGCCAAGGAACCAGTGAAGGTTCCCTCTGTCAGCTGGAGCCATAGTTAGTGGCCTCAGACCTACAGAAAAGCTATGAGCAGAGCTCAAGGTGAGTGCTGCTTATAGCCATTTAAATTGATTTAAATGCCATGGCTGAGAAATTGCACCCAGCCATGATGTAAAAATACCATAGACTCCCCACAGCCATATAATATCTTCTTCCCCACTGTCAGGGGTACTCCCAGAGTCTTAAAATACCCTGGTGAGATTTCCCTTCTCATGGATGGTTGTTGGGATTTGCCAACTGACCAGCACCAATGTCTGTGTAATTCTCAAATGGTTTAACTCCAAATGTTGCCTTCATGCCAGATCTCCAGGTACCCCAGTGCCATCTGGCTTCTGAAATAAAATTTTAGGAAGAGCAGAGTGAAGCTAGGCAAGGGCACTGCGGATTTGCTTCCGAGGTCATCTTACACTCTAAGCCAATCAGTAGCTACGTATTCATTAAAAAGTATGTATCTGTAAGCATCTTAGATAATATAAAGGTATTTGTGTGGTTTCCTGATGGTACTTCACAATCTAGATGCACATTGAAAATGTCTAGTTTAGCTACAAATATATGATTTAGGTAGCTTTTCCTCTTGTTTCATTCCTCTACAACTTATACTATACTATTGTATTCATCAAAGCTAAAGCGAACATTTAAATTGGTTCTCAAATTTGCCTTTCATATAAATACTTACAAAATTCATGTCTTTCCAGAAGTGAAGAAATGACAGACTGTGAAGAAGGCGAGAGGACTAGATGGTCTATGGCAGATGACCTTGCTGCTGCAGCAATGGCTGCTGACATGGACCCTTGGATTATCTTTGATGCTCGTAAGACACCTCGAGCAGAGTTTGAGGAATGGTTGGAAACTTACCGACCCTCCAAGGTCCCCCGTTTTGGAAACCCTCATGAAGGGTGTGGACCAGTGGGGTGGATTAACGTGTGTGGCCCTGGCTACGGCCCCGATGTAAAATGTGGCAAGGACCTTCAAGATGCTTGGGACAAGCTTCAAAATACAGGACGGAATATAAACTATGAGTGTGTTCGAGAACTGGCTCTTAATTTTGGTGTTACATCTGGGAAATGGCTTATGCATTTAGAAACGGGATTCAAAGTAGATCATGCCTGGCGTGGTATAGCTACAGCAGTAGTTGATGGACACCTTAGTGTTGCCAAAGTTAGCCCCTTTCAGCCAGATACTAAACATGTCATTTGTGTGTATACTCAGGATTTCACTGATGAAGAAAGCATCATGCAGACAGATGCAGTCATTCGCAGCTCTGGTGTCAAATGTCTCTTAGCGTACAAGCCAGATATCTACACCTATTTAGGTATTTACAGAAAAAACCAATGGAACATATGCCCCACCATCTATGAAAGTCGATATGACCTGGAGTGTATCCCTCGCCGATCAAGAGTCACCAATAAAATTACTAACCTAGAAGTAACCTAAAATAATGCTTCTTTAAATTATTACATTACTTGCCAATTTGTTTTTTGATATTTTGGATTATTTTATTTATGTTCGCATAGAAGGTTTGCACTCTAGTGCAATCTCTACTGTATACTTTACATTTGCATTGCTTCCTATGCATATGTTTATAATTAATTGTATGTGCATATGGGTTCCCCCCCTTTCATGTGTACGTGAGTGCATTTGTAAATAGAATTGTATTTCTGTAATATATACAAAAAGAAACCGGTAAAAAAAATTACTATTGGACTTTTTAAAGAAAATTCAGTTGTAGCTTTTCTTTAATTTCATTTACTTTTATCCTAAAGCACAGGCTACTTTCCAAAAATATTTAGTAATTTCTGCCTTGATTCTGGACAATCATTGAACGGACTTAAACAGACACCATGAAAATGTTTGTTTTTTGTTGTTGTTTTGGATCAAATAAGGGTAAATGAGTTAAAATGTTAGACTATTTGCATCTGTATTTTATATATGATATGGTCGCACATTTAACTCATTTGGTTTGCACTTATTTACATCTTTATTTATTAGTTAAGTTCTAGAGGTGTAGTTGCCATAGGCAAAACAGGGTGTCCCAGAAAGGGGCTGTTGGTGTGTCCCAGTGAACCTGAATAGGGGGTAACCCTTAATTGACCAATAGGAGAAATACAAAAATGGCCAGAGGATATAAAAAACCAACGGACAAAAAAAGGTTTCTTGAAAATAATAAAACTAATATAGAACTAGAAATATATACAATTAGGTAAGTTTTATTTCATATTTAGAGAAAGACATAACTTAAACCCATTAAAAAAGAGCCACAAATAAAGGCTCTATATAATAGCCAGTAGGGGGAGACTCTATAGTAGACTGGATGGGATATAGTTGAGGATGATACGGGTGGGAGTTAGAAATCCAGATTAAATTTGTATATCAACTACAGTAAACCTCATGTGGTAAAAGGCAATAGAGAGTCCTATAGCAAAACACCACTATTATGAATAAACTGTATTGACACAAATATATCCTGTTTAACAGTGTATCCACACTAATTGCTACCGGAAAGTATGTTGCAAAGAATGAGGATAAATCTCAGCTGCAGTGATAGAGAGCAATAAAACAAAAAAAACAAAAAAACTTAATGCCACTAGTATGAGTAAATTATAATGAATCAGTTGTATAAAGTATAGCAGTATATCAACCCAGACTGCTACCTGATAAAATGTGTAACCGAGAATGGATTAAAAATGGTATCATGAAGGAGAGATATCTCAGCAAAATGCCTTTTATAAACAAACTAGATATAAATTAGACTTACGGTCGCAAACTAGAAAAATTTGCAGAAAAGAAGGCTTAATGCTGCAAATATCCAAACCTGGTTCCAAAAAACTATCCCCAGTAGAACCCTTCATCCATCAGAAATGTTCCCTCCAATTATGTCTACAAACCTACTAGTCTACTTAGCATCCCCCCCCAAAGATTAACTTATAACCATTGTGCAGAAAACGTGATATAATATATAATGTGAATATAGGCCCTGCATGTCCCTTACTACCATCCCACTTAAATTAATTCTCCTTATTCATGCCACCTATGCCATAGCCTGAAATTTCTCTCTAACTTTTGCGTGCACTTTACTCACAAGCTTTTTATATGATTAACCTAGCCAAGCCCAATCATTTGAACATGATTTGGAAAGGCACGCAGTTGCCTAGATAAGGTCTCAAAGTCAAGAGAAGTGACCATAACCCTGCAGTCACTATGGGTGCGCTCCAGCTATCATTTGTGGAGATGAGAGAAACCTGGAGATGGAGTCATCACTGCAACATTCCACCAATCTGGCCTTTGTGGCAGACTACCAATATGAAAGCCGCCTTAAAATTTGCAATCATCCACCCTGACATAGCTTGAGTGGAACTGCAGAGGTTAATTTAAAAAACTAAGAAAAACAGAGAAACTTAAAGGTTTGCAGGTATAACCTTTTAAACCCTCAGTTTTCTCGAGTGTAGCGCTACGTGTTGTTTTGAAGAATAGATTAGTGAATGTATATATATATATATATATATATATATATAGTGCTTTATATGCACTTACCCTCTATGTTACACTTGTATTACATAGGAAAAAAAGAAACAGATAATTGTGCAGTATATCAAAGTAATTTTAGTGATTTTGTGAGTTTTAAGTATGAATCCACTCACATTTTTTAGAGCTTTTTACAGTTTTAAGGCTCTAAACTTCCTGGCGTCTGTCTTTTCCGGGTAGAGCACACGACCCTTCTCTCACGATATGCACATATATGTTTTTCTCCACATTAAACAAAGAAAAGATAGATGATCCAATCTAGGTGTAGTATTTTAAGTATTGATAAAATCAATATAAATAAAATACAATATTGCTCACCTTGTTTAGAGCCCTTGATACCTGGCTCTAAGTGTGTAGGCCTAGTGTCAATTAGTGGGGTGACACTACCCCTTCTTGAAATCACTTGAATAGGATGCAGTAGATTATATTCAAATGAATAGTATATTTATTACTAAAAGATTAAAATGTATACAAACTTTATATAAAATAACAAACAAATATCTAAAAAGTTCCAAATGGAAGATAAATGCCAAAACGCGTTTCACCGTCAAACGGCTTCCTCAGTCAGCTTCTCATCATCCTCTGCACCGTGTCAGTTTTTATATCTTCATAATTCCCGCCAGAAATCCGCTTTATTTTCGTCCGGTGTAATTCACGTGACGCGGGCCGATGCCGTCGCGTCACTTCCTGTTGTTCGTACTACATTTCCCATCATGCTTAACGTTCTATGGCGTCACTTCCGGTGAGCGCCGATATAGTCCTGGGAAATGGAGTTCTCAAATATGCCGTTTTCGGATTCGTTTCAGTGCATACATGGATTTGAACATAATAATAAAATTAGGGAGCAAGAAGGGAATAACATGATGGAAATAATGTGTCCTTATTTTTGTGAATAGAGACATACAATATAAAATAAGAAATGTAATAAAATAATAATGAAAAAAGATTATAATAAACAAAATCCAGCATGTATATTATGTCTTAATAAGTTACTATTTTTATATTATCACATTTGCCTATAAAGGAATTGAAGTGGTTTATATCTACACTTAAAAATTAGTAAAAACTGCTTTCAAAAGAATCTTTCAAAAAAATCTTTTGTAGCAGACATCATTAGGACCTTTCATTTTTGTATATACTCAATATTGTATATTGCTATTTATAATAAAAAGAGAAAAAATGAATTCCATTAAAAATTTATGAAAATATATATATTTTCATTTTTTCACCGTATTTTAATAGCGCCACCTTTCCACACCCTGTTTGTAAATCTATCGAATTTAAAAAACTACCCTAATCCAGGTGTGCAAAGCTTGTTGCATTATACTCAAAAAGATGTGAGGCTGTAATCATTGCCAAAGGTACTTCAACAAAGTACTGAGTTAAGGGTCTGGATTCTTATGTCAATATCATATTTTATACACCACAAAAGTATATATAATCCTATCATCAATACACAAATATTTAACTGGTGAGTGGGAACAGTATCAGTTTCCCCAAAGGAACCTTACACTAAGTATTCCTTTACATACTTGCTTTCTCCAAGGGCAAGGAAATCCAGCAAGGTGGTAAGTGTGAATAAAATATACAAAACAGGTCCAATGCTTTTCATCCCCTTGGAGACTTCCTCAAGGACCAAATAGTAAATTTTTTAATGCAAGTTTTTATGTATTTGATGGGTTTTGGCTTTATTAATATGCTGTATTTTTTCACATGCTCAAATCATTATAGATATTTTTTAATTAAAAAAAAAAAAATTGTAAAAAAATATATATACACACACACACTTTTTTTCCAGCATGCTGCACTATAAACCTGCCTCTTTAACCATACACCCTCATTCCAGAAGAAGACATCCTTATCAAATGTATGCACACAGCTCAGCCACAGAGAACTAAATGATGGTAACCACAAAGCAACCTGCATTAGAAAGAGAGGACACCCAATGAGACATATAGAAATATATCACCACATGTTAATAGTTTCTCTGTCGGCAGCCAGGTTGTGAATTAAAAGCAGCTCACGCAGTGCTGTTGGAAATGCGACTGCCTGTAGACATTTGATATAAAAAAAAAAAAAAAAAAAGTCTTTCTGGCATGAGAGTCTAAGGAGGTATTGTTGTTTGTTTGGTTTTTTTTTTGTGTGTGTTCAAAAACTGTAAAGATGTGAGCATGCAAAACATACAGCACTTTAAGAAGGCCAAAACCTCTTCAAATGCATTAAAGCTGTATTCAATTGGTTCCTGGAATATCCTTTTAAGACTGTTCTTGGCACACAAGATATCAGTGTCCTCCCTTTTGAGCATAATCAGGTGCCAAGAACGTTTAATAATTTAGAGGACGTGTTTTTGGTTCGGGAGAACATCAAGAGCTGCATTTTTAAGTACATGGGAGGCTGCATTGTAGAAGCAGCACCTTTTGAAAAGATGATGGTGTTGGGGGAATAAAAATAGAAAAGAAAAAAAAAAAGTTGGACCAAAATAGGTCAGACCTGCTGTCCTCATTTTTCTTTTTAATTAGACTCCCTGCTCCCCTAATCCATTCGTTTGTACCATTTTGCGTCATTTTGGTTTTGGAGATATTGCACACCACATTTTAGAGATGTAGCTTTCACCTCCTATGAGAAAATCCCAGAAAGTGGGAAACGAAAGTGAAAGACAATTACCAGCATCAAGAGAACCCATGATGAAATAGTAGCCTAGGCAGCAATGGGCAGCATTGACAGGATAAGCCAAGTATCTACTGATTAATTTCAGCCTTTGAGTTGCCCATTACTGGCATGACTAAGGAAAAGTGTAATCTTTGTCTTAGTCATACCTGCAAAGGGGCTGGGGGCACGCAGGGACCCTCAGTTTTTTTTTTTTTAAACTGCTTTTCAGAAATGGTCAAAACACTGACTGGAAGGACAGTGGCAAGGTGGTCTAGGCACTACAACCAATTCAATGATATGAAATTATTGTTCCTAGAACATCCCTTTAAGTATGACCTTTAATTTTTTTTTTTTAAATAAATGGTCACACAAAATTGTAATGCTCACCAGTAAATGAATTCTAACTTGTAATTCAATTTAGTTACAAGTATGCACATTGATTACCCAATAGTAAAACCTCAAGTATATGCACAAAGTTGCAGATGAAGGGGAAAAAAATGCACAGCTAGTGCCATTGGCACATCAAAGCATAGAAACAAGGAAGTTCATGCTTGGTAGAAAGGAGATTCAGCATTAGCTGGAGAGAATGCAGCCAATGTAATATATGTATTTTACAGGTATGATAGGCATTTAAAAATAATACATTAGCTTTTTTTTTTTAGCATGGACTATTCTCTTAAAGGAGTTTACCAATAATCACAGCTACCGTAGTCAACTGTCCTCATTAGACTTACACAAATCCTGTTCAAGCTGCCCTGAACGAATCAAATGCCTGTTAAATCGCTGGCACTCTCCAAGGGTAACTAGTCAAATCTTGCAAGTATGGTTTGATAATTCACCTGGGTTCCGCCTCCGCTGTTGCTAGAATCTCCTGTCGACTAGCAACGCCAGCCATGCATGCATTGGTTGAGAGTGTCGTCTCTCTCAAATGCTTCTGGTTAGGAGCTTCTGACAACAGGGGAAAGGGTGACTAGTGCCAGCAAGACTACTTACTCTGGGTGTGCATGAGGGAAACCATTGCACCATAGCTACAGCAGGCTGCTGTCGTTGTGGCACTCAGAGTGATCCTTTAAAATAAATCTATGAGCGGACAAATTGGACAAACCTCATTTAAAGTGGTTCTAAATCCACTTTGACTTTCCTCTACAGAATTTGTTTTAGATTTAAGGAGACCCTTTTGCGACTTCAAACACCAATGGATTTGGGTTCAAACAAATATCTTGTGTAGAGGAATCTTGTGAACAAGGATAAAACTACTGCCATTCTCCTATTCCATTACCTAGCTCCAGCTCCAACCTTTTGGTTTCAAACAATAAAAAAATATTAGTTTAGAGAACATTGTAGTCGTTCGAATTTTCAACTCTTAGAAATGTACAAAACAGGAGTTTTGTTAATGTCAAAGCAATTATGTTTTATGGGTAAAATTAATGTGCCACCTTCTGCATGCAAATAGAAGCATTTTAGTAAAGAATTCTGGTTTGCACTATGCTGCCACACAAATATATACAATAATCGTGCTGTAAACAATCAAAATATAAGCTGCGGATCTAAAAAGATGCAAGTTCTCATTAGACTTGTGCACATTCACGTACCCAGCGATTTAACATGCAATTGATTCGTTCACGGCAGCTGAATGGGATGTTCATCAATTGCCTGTTAAATCGCTGGGTACATGAATTGCTTCGTTCTTGATATGGCAAATGAGTTTGATTATTCATATAGTAACGTACAGGCATTGGATTTGTTCAGCACATCTGAACAGTATTTGTGCACACATGTAGTTCTCATGGTACTTTGTAAGATTGCTTTATTAGAAAGAAGTAAATTGACATGTTGTGCACAGAATCTGTTTTTACTGCAATTACACGGACTAGCTGGGGGGGGGAATTTCTCTAAAAATCAGATATGAATAAATAGCCCTTTCCTGTCAGTCAGTTCAGTGTGTGCAGGTTAGCACAGAGATAAGAAGACTGTGCTCTGCATATCTGTTATCAGGGAGATCCTCCTCTGGACATCTTTCTTGCTTGCCTTCTGCTTCCATGAAAGCAACGCCTAAAGGGGAAATAGGCTCTTTGAAAGGGGCTGTAGCAACCTGTTGTGGAGATACAGAATGATTGCAGGAGCTTTGGACAAAGCTTAGGATGGAGAGAGATACAACAGGTACGTTTTTGTTTTTTTTGACGTATCACAAACTCAACATAAAGTGTAGGGGACTTTTAACCTGTTCTGGGAAGCAGTCTGTGCTTCCTAAACAAGGTATGCAGGAAAGGTGTGTCTTACAGCAAGTGTAACACCCACTGCAAAATGACTGATGCTTTCAGCAAGAGACAGGAGTAGTGTAAAGTCAGATGGTTAGAAAACTGCAAGCCTGAATCTGTTACAACAGGCTCACTTTAACTTGCTCATTGTGTCACTTTAAAAAAATATATAAAGTTAATGGTTTTAATATACAATGGTAAGAAATAAATAATAAAAAAATATATAATTGTGTGTATATATATATATATACACACACACACACACACACACACACACACACACACACACACACACACACACCCACCTACTATACAGGCAGCAAAGTTAAAGAGCAGGAGTATAATTATTAACTCTACCCTGCAAAGAGTACATTTAGTTTGTGATCATTTTGCTTAGAAGAAGAAAATTAAAATAGGACAGCGTTTTTTTATGAAACATATTTAAAAAGTGTTTAACATTCAAGTATCATTTTGTCTGCTGGAAAGTCTTGCATCATTCCTTAATCTTTTAGATGACAATTAATGGCTGTAAACCTCCATACATTAGATCAGAGACTATGTATGTTGAAGATTGATATTCCACCCTATCAAACCCAGTATTTTCAGTTAAAACAAATTGGGAGGATGCTTCTTTATACATTACCAACATTTTTAAAGTGGCTTCATATGTATGCACTAGGGAGAAGGAAAAACTCTTAGTTCCTAGTGCAAGTGATCTGGTTCCTTCTATTCGCCTACACATGAAACCACAAAGCCTAGTGTATATATAAGATTCCTGAGAGGTCAACTGCATCTTGACGAGTCTTAGCTTAAAATTATCATATACTTAACCCATGCATGAACAAGTGTATTTAAGAAGGCTTACTTTGATGTGATGAAAACAAACAACCTTGTGCCACCTGCTAGTTTCACAATAACTATTGTTAACAATTGCACATGGGTGGGAAAACAAATCTAGATCTGTCTGTCTATTTTATGATTTCCCCCCAAGGTAATGAAAATTACTTTAGTCAGTTTTAAAATATTTCACCTGCTACCACAGTGTAACTCACAATGAAAATAGAATGAACCAGCAAAGCACTGAAGTGCTATGTTACATGAATGCAACATCAAACAGTGATCCCCAGCCAGGGATTTAATGCAATCACCAAAAATGCATTTTAAGGAGAATATAAATGAGGCAAAATTAAAGCAGTTGAAAACTACAGGCTAAATGGAGTGAGTGGTGTGTAGCCAGATGTATAGTTTATACAAATATCTACTGTGATGATTACCAAGTAGAAAGCTGCAATCAAAGAGGTGATCCAAATCATTTTAATCTTTAAACTGTTACTGTGAGCACAACAGTGGTTTAAAGTAAAGTATAAAAAAAAAAAAACAACTCATTTTGAAACAAAGAGCCAGTAAAATCAATCCTGACAAGGCAGAACATGATTATCGACTGGTCTTACTTTAGCATGCCATAATCTTTCCGAGAACTATAAATTATACTTACTGGACAGAATGTATTGTTCTAATGGAAAAGTGTAAAATTAGTGATATAATAGCCAATCTGCATAGAAATTCCAAGGGTAGAAATATTTTATATCCTTATGCATGTCCAGACACAAATGCTGAAATGTATCTCTACCGTAAATTAGCCAGTACAAATTGCTGCCATATCTGAAAGTGTGTACATGTAAAAGGCCAATAACAGATTTTGAGAAACTGTCCTGAGATGCCATCACCCAATTCTGTTTACAATGCTTCCCCCTCCCCCAAATTGCTGCAGTGAGTCAAGGTCCATTCCTAGCTCACAGATGTTTAGCTGGTCTTTGATATCCCTTCAAAACAATGCAGATATAAGTTGAATAGGACCAGCACAGTCTGGGGACATGTAGGCAACCTCAGATGGATTCGATATCATGATGAAGCTGAAGGCCAAACTGTCCTGAAGAATCCAGCTGATCAAGCTACTGAGTGAGAGCCTGTCCGGCATACAGTTTGCCACCACCATGTTCTTTATATATATATATATATAAAAAAATAATACAATTCTCATTTCATCTCACCCATTAATGAAGCAAAGTCAATTTCAAACAGGGAGTTTAAGGACTCTCCTTGTTGCATCTCAAACATTCCATTCATTAAGGTACTATTGATTCTTTCTCCACCTGCATTGTCCTCATTTGGCCTATTAGCCATAAGCCGAGCGATAGATTCAGGATATGTCATAATGGTATTGTGACTAGACCCAGGATCATGTAAAGCAGACAACATTGTTGTTGAAGATTGGGATTCACTAAGCATTTGACCAAAGTCACTATTGTCAATGGAGCTGAGGCTGTTACAGTGGCTCTCTGAATCATTTTGCAGCATACTAGCTAAATCTAGATTTCCATCATCTGTAAAAGAAGAGTAGCTCAACAAAGATCCAAGCTGATCAACTTCAGATTGTTGGGAGGGCTGTGATGGTGGAGGATGAGGGGAAAAGCCAAGATTGCTGAAATCACTGACTGTGGAAAGAAGAGCAGATGCTGAAATTTCATGGTCAACTTTAACCACTGGCATTGCAAACTGGGAGGATGAAACCATTTGTGTTGGCAGCTGTGGCATTGGTCGTATGGAAGGTGTCACAGGTTCTGAATAAAAAGAATACATACAAAACAAATTAAAACAAAAGCACACAGAAAACAGAATAGAGAACACAAAAAAGGACAAACACATGATTGAGTAGTAACTATAGTAAGCTTTAAAAAAAATAAAAAAATAATTCAAAACACATGCCACATAAAAGGGATTCTTAGAAACATGATGTTTTTACTATAACTATCACTGCTGATGAATCCTCAAAAAATAAAAAATTATTTTTTTTTTTTTATAAAAATACAATTTAGGAGGTTAAAAAAATTCAGTCATCTAGTTATAGTTGGATAAACAGTTAACTAAGCAAGGTAGAATACAACAGAGCTCCATGCAAATTATTTAAAGTCTCACACATTTTCAGGAGCATCTTACAAAAGAAAGGCCTTGATTTACCAACTCAGTTCTGGTTATTTAAATCAGAGCTTAGTATTCCCTCATGCCCAGTTGGGATACTCAAACACAAATCAACATTAGCTCTATTAAGCAGCTTTAATGCACTGATCATGCCCCTGCAGTATCACTGCTCAATTATCTGCCATTTAGGAGTTAAATCACGACTGTTTCTGTTGATGCAGCCCTAGCCACACCTCTCTTGGCTGTGATTCACACAACCTACCTTAAAATTGTTTTTTCAGTCAAAATTGGCACCACCTTGAGTTAACGTTAGACTTTTTTCTGCTTTGTTATTTGATCTTTAAATCACACCAGGCTCCTGCTGGCAAGTAACAGAGCAGGAGATAGCAAATTCTAAATTAAACAGATTGTGTAACAAAGTTTAAACACTAGGTCGATCTTTACAGGAAATGTGCAGGGTGACTGTGTGTCACATGCAGGAGGGGGATGTGGCTAGGGCTGCATAAACACATGGATTTAAATCCTAAATGGCAAAGAATTGAGCAGCATACTCCAGAGGCATGATCTATAAACCTAAACCTCTCCATTGAAGCTAAAGTTGTTTGGTGCTTATAGAGTCCCTTTAAAATTGCAGTTTAATTCATTTTCATCATCTTTACGCCTGGTGTACAAGGCATTCTAACACTGCAAGTGGTATTTAGTGTATTGAGCAAAAGTGGTTATTTCCTCCCTTGTTGCTTGCACTGTCTATGTATTATATGATACTGCTTGCATGCAACAGAGTTGAGACAGGTTTGTAGAGCTGGTAAAGCACACACCAGCAGAAAGTTAAACACGCTGGCCAATTCCGTAGAGGTCGTTGGTTGGTAAAACAAACATCCATATGTGTGTTATATCACCAATGCAATGATCTTGAGTAGCTGCATGCATGTAATTGTGCACAGTCAAATACTGACTAGCATTTCTAAGGTTACAAAATGGAAGGTTTACAGAGCAAAATCTCAGTAGACATGAGAGCCTCCACATAAGAATGTTTACTCATGCAAAGAGAGACCACAGTTTTGAGGGATTTATGTAGATTCCAGAATTGTACTCTTGGTTATAATTTGTCTTCATGTAATATTTCCACTTCCCTTTCTACGAGATGCTGACATCAAGCATATATTGTACCTGCACCTTGAACGGACAGGACCACCTTATGGGCAATTGTCCATTTATCCTATGTTAATGGAACATGAGATATTTTATGAAGAAGAGGAGCATACATAAGAGGAGCATACATAAGAGGAGCATACATAAGAGGAGCATACATAAGAGGAGCATACATAAGAGGAGCATACCTGTCTTGGGAATTGAACGGGCTGGCACAGCAATTTTTCGCAGGGGACGGTTTTCAGGAGCTTTAAAAAAAAAAAAAAAAAATCACAATGGAGAATTGAACACACAATTTTCAAACAAATGGGGAAGCACGATTTATACAGGGAAGAAAGAGTCCAATGCCAACTAGCACCGCAAGAGAGACCTGTGAGGTTACACCATCTCACCTGAAAATGGATTTATCTTGGCAATATTCCTAAAATCATCCAAGGTTCTCTTCCGCTTTTCTTCAATATGATGAAAGTCACCTGCAGAAGCAAGATTTTACAATTTAAAAAAGCAAAAAGACAATTGCGCAAATAAAGCAAGCTACATAAACAGAAAATCATGCAACATTAGAGAATTTTCATACCGTCATGAGGCAGATATTGAAACTCCATAGGTTCACTGACTTCTTTATCTGAAGGACGCCTCAACTGCATGTGAACCTTAACAGGCTGCCGGATCCCTGGATCTTTGTATGGAGGTGTCCTAAACACAATTGCCACCTGTCTGTGAACATCTGCTTGAGAGAACGAACCACGTGCTTCCCAACCTCCTGATACAAACAGAACCTCAATGTCTTCTAGGGGGCAAAATGGAACAGACGGTTACAGGGGAAGCACAGGTCAAGTAATGAGACTAAGACAATTAGGCGCAACACAAGTTACACTTTATTACATTTTTAATTTGAGGCAACCCCTTACAGCAGTCCTTTACAACAATACCAACAGCATAGTAGATCAAATGTCATAATAATAAAAACAACAACAACAACAACACACACAACATGGAACAATGTAACCCATATATGCGCTAACAATTTGGCAAGCACAATGTAGACAAAATGTTAGGTTTAGCTTGACAGGTGCACTTTAACACAGATATACAAGGACTAACATGGTTTATAGAACAAATGGAGGGTTTGCTGTGCAGGTATCATATACCTTTCTGCACTTTATCACATAGTAAAAAGATCTCGTCCCCTCCCCTGCAACTTCCTGAATTCTTGTTTACTCTGCAGATCTTCAGTTCGGCTGTGTTTGGAGCTCCTAGGAAAAAAGTAGAAGTACCAGGTTATTCACATTCTCTCACATACTTCCAGTTATTTATAAATAAAAACATTAAGATCTATTTTACAGACTTATATCTGTTACCATTAAATCTGCGCAATCCGCATTGAAAAGAGAGTAAATAGAATAACAGAAAATATATATGGAAATAAACACAAACACTGACTAAGAGTTCATGAGAAGGAGAAAATACATAATGATACATTTTGGTGATCATATAAAGCTACTTACTGGACAGAAAATATAAAACAAAGAGAAAACCAAATTAAAATTAGTACACTAAAAAGGGGCACTCTAAGCATCACAACCACCAAGGTTTGCCAGTGTTCCCTGGCATCATCCCACAGCGAGTCATGAAGACATGTTTTTTTTCTTAAACTTAAGTGAGCACAGCTTTATCCAGATTGCCTTATTAGCTTATTTATGTTCGATCACTATATCATTTCTTTTACTACTTTTATCCAAGATTTCCAGGAAAAATAAGAGTGTGGAATCCCCTCCTCCCCCCAATCAAATCTGTTTGAAATTCACCTGGTTCTTCCTGTTTGATATGCTAAAGCAGAGATTTATACTTCGGCATTAGCAATGACAATACTTTGCACAGTAAATGATGCACACAACTGGCAATCCACCTATCTAAATTGAAAATCGTAAATCATCAGACGAGACAACCCTTTTCCATTGCCCCATGGTCCAGTTCTGGAGCGCACATCCCAATTAAAGGATATTTTGACAGTGGAGAAGGGTCGGCATGGACACTCTACTGCGTAAAGAGGTTTGTTGCCACAGACCCAACAAATTGTGATGCAGTGTGCACTCTGACACATTTATATCCCTAGCACTATAGTATCACTTTTATACCAGTCTATGTCCTCATTTTGAAAGATGCATAGAACTGCATGCATTAGAATCTTTGCAGCTTGAGAATACTGTATTTACAATCTACATATGTACAAGCATTTGAACTTTTTTATCAATTTACACTGCTTGCAATTTTACTTTGAAAAGGAATTGCTTACGGTTATCGAAGATAGGCTGTGACACCACAAATGGCAGTGGAATAAAGTGGCTCCCAGTCTGGTCCCGAATAAAAACTTGAAAGCAAAGGCAAACCGTGTTCAGATCATAATCGGACTTCAGATCTTCAACAGGGACTGAAAGCCAGTAACACAATATTGTCAAGAGAGTTATTCAAGGAAGAGGAAGGTGAAAGAAAAGGCAAGAGAGATAAAATATGTATGCCATGTGACAATACCTTTGAAGGGGTTATTGTTTGTCCGGATACGCTGCGCAATCGCCTCTTCCACCTCTCTCTTCTTCACACACTGAATTCCCAAATTCTGAAAACTAACAAAAAATAAACACACACATATGTGAAAAAACTGTACTATGCAATTAGGAAGGGGACTATAGAAAACCAACAAGTCTGTTCTATTTAAGGAAACAAGAAAAGGAGAACAGAACACACTGGACTGTTTAGAGTTTCTCACCATGGCAACATTAAAAATGCCAATAACTGAATAGGTAACGTGTTTAACACATCAAATCATTATGTAGGTGTTGTGGAGAGCTGCACTGTTACTTTCCTGTAAATCAAGTACTTTCAGATTTTTGATTTTTTTTCCCCCCACGTTCTGAATTTTTCATGTTCTTTGTTAACCGCTAAAGCACTTAACCCAGCTGGTGTACTGTAGGAGACTGGAGTGTTCATTTAATGACCAAGCTGCAGCTGGTATTTTAATTGTCAAACAGGTAATCATTTTGTGACAGATTCTTTGAATGAGGCCTGAAAAAGGATTCTCAAATGTGATCGCACTGGAGGATGCGCTTTATACTTACACACCAATTCTTACTCTAGCCTAAAAACATGCAACAGGGAGGTGTATACAGTCAAACCCCACTTTTAAGTACACAAATGGGACCAGAGCATGAATGTAAAACGAAAGTGTACTTAAAGTGAAGCAATACCCTTTTTCACTTCCCAATGCATGTACTGCATTGCAATAATAATTTACAGGCATAACTGATACTACAACTGCAGATTTAAAGTGATTTATTTTGTGATTTCCAGCAGGCTTTTATTCAGTTAAAACAAACAGTAAAAAGAAAAATCTCATTCCAGATTGTACCATTTATCTTTTTACTCATCTGATAACCTTAAACTGTGAGGGAAAGTAAACAAACCTGCCCGCTGGGCCATTTTGTATTTATTAGCAGCTTAGTTGCACACTTTGTTTAGAAACACCTCTTCATCACTTTAAGCATTTATGGTTTAACTTTGAATCCTCAGAATTGTGGCTAATGCAGCTAAGCTGCCAAGTCATAGTTATAGAAAATGGCAGTGTAAACCCTTTCACTGGATGGCAGCCGAATGCAGAATATGGACAATGTATGAGCAGAAAAAAAAAAAAAAAAAGAATATATATATATATATTCAGCTAGGAGTAGGCATTATAACTTTGAGATGATTAACCTGTGCCATGACAGAAGGTGTGAAAAGTTCTTGCCCCAAAGACACTGAACTGCTCCGGGCGAGAATAGAACCTCCCATTTCCTCTTCACTAGTGGACAGAAGAGGCGCGGGAATGTCTGTACTCGCGAGGCACCTTTACGTACACTCGCAGGTATATCTGTACTCGCGAGTGTACTTAAAGTGAGTGTATGTAAAGCGGGGTATGCCTGTATTAGAGAAAATAATGTGATTGTGACCTACAGGTTTTGACTTATTATGATCTTTCTTGAAATACTCAACAGCATTATTTCCCCATAATATACGGTTCAATGTTGCATATCTAATACAATTAAATAGATCACTTTAGAAGACATAATGCAAAGCTTAAGAAAGCCAACTTATTTTCTGCTGCTGAAACGTTACCTGTGAATATTCCGGTCTGGCGACAGCTCAGCCTCATAATATCCATCCTTGCAATCTTTTCCAACTAGCTCATGTGGGTGAGGTTTATGGGGAGCATCTCTGGTGACCAATGATATTCGTACACGGGCTGGGCCCTGGTAATTGTTCACCTAAAAATTCCATTGAAATATTATGTTTTTGTTTGCTAAACAAAAAAGATATAATTTTTTTTTATTACAAGAAATATTGGTTAAGTCTTAATTAAAAAAAAAAAAGGTACTTTTTAAAAAGTAACTATATCCCTGCCAAGTAATATGCTCCAGAAACAGAACTCAAAACATTTGCCAATGATTAAATCAATGAAAAAAATTAAAATAAAAAAAAGCTGACATCTCCCAGTTGTTTCAAACCATTTTTGATTAGTTGCACTTCTGTTTTCGCAAATCAAAATCCAAGATTTGGACAGCGTTGACTGTGTTAGTTGCTGCATCCAGCCAATTTTAACCAAATTCAAATGATCGTGATATATCCATGAGTTAATGCCAGTAGCAAGCCAGCATCATAACCACTCCAACAGGCGGTAGTACAAGTGCTAAGACTGCTCATTTAACACAAACATTCAAGCTGCTCACTGGGTTCAAGCATGCTCATTTTTTAAATCCACTTTATAAATTCTATGTCCTCAACATCATGGAGCAGCAAATGTATAGGGTAGTTTTTCCTACATGAAAAATATTCGTGAAACTATATCAACCTCAGTTGAACCATCTGGCCAAATTTACCAAGCTAATGTTAGGGAAAAAATTTAAAACAGATTGTTTCATATAACCTACATGGGTTTATTTAGGTAAAAGTGAAGCAGGATAAAACCCACCAAGATAGATCAATGGGTCTACAACAAAGAACATTCTTGCATTGTGAGCTACATTTTATTTGACAGAGTTAAAGAGACACAAAAACAACTTTAGCTTAATGAAGTGGTTTTGGGGTATTATAGAAACATTATAATGTAGGAATACACAAAAAAAAAAAAAAAAAAGGAAGAGCATGTGCTGACTGGCACATTCCCAATCTTGATGATCTGGACCTACCAAAAGCTCCCCCCGATAGCTAAGCTTTGGGAAACTAGTGTGCATGCTTGGAAAAACACCACACTGTACCAATCTGCACCTCTATGAGAAGCGTTCAGTGTCTCCATGCAGAGCAAAGATTTCAAGATATTCAGCCTATATACCACAGAACCACTATATTAAGATTTAGAGATTCTGGTGACTACAGTGTTCCTTTACTTCCCAAACTGCATAGAACTGTTCAGATAGACAGCCAGGGAATGATCTGCATTCCAAAACAGCTTAAAGGACCACTATAGTGCCAGGAAAACATACTCGGTTTCCTGGCACTATAGTGCCCTGAGGGTGCCCCCACCCTCAGGGTCCCCCTCCCGCCCGGCTCTGGAAGGGGGAAAGGGGTAAAAACTTACCTTTTGCCAGCGCTGGGCGGAGAGCTCTCCTACTTCTCTCCTCCTCCGTTCCGCCCCGTCGGCTGGCTGCGCGCGCATTCAGCCGGTCGCATAGGAAAGCATTCATAATGCTTTCCTATGGACGCTGGTGTGCTCTCACTGTGAAAATCACAGTGAGAAGCACGCAAGCGCCTCTAGCGGCTGTCAATGAGACAGCCGCTAGAGGGAATGGGGGAAGGCTTAACCCATTAATAAACATAGCAGTTTCTCTGAAACTGCTATGTTTATAAAAAAATGGGTTAACCCTAGAAGGACCTGGCACCCAGACCACTTCATTAAGCTGAAGTGGTCTGGGTGCCTAGAGTGGTCCTTTAATAAGGTTAAAGCTGGGTTGGTGATTAGAGTGTCCCTTTAAAGAAGAACTGCAACTTTGCAGGTTTTGGTTTTAAAGTTAGTATTTTCAGTCCTATTCCCCCTTGTTTTTAATTTGTTCTTTAATAAATATTCGGTGAGTATATATATATATATATATATATATATATATATATATATATATATATATATATATATATATATATATATATATATATATATATATATATACATACACACATATATACACACACACACACACACACACATATACTGATCAGCTACAACATTAAAACTGACAGGGGAAGTGAACAACATTGATTATATCGTTACTATGCCACCTGTAAAGGAGTGGGATATATTAGACAGCAAGTGAACAGTCCGTTCTTGAAATCCATGTTTTGGAAGCAGGAAAAATGGGCAAGTGCAAAGATCTGAGTGATGGGAAGCCTTGTGGTGTTTCCAGTATGAGGTGGTTAGTACCTACCAAAAGTGGTGCAAGGAAGGACAACTGGTATCATTTACTTGGGGAAGAAAGTAGGATGCACTACGGGAAGAAGGCAGGCCGGCAGAGGCAGTGTTATCCTTTACACCTTGGGTCCTGGCATTCATGCGGATGTCATGTTGACATGTACCTTGAGATTACTACAGACCACGCACACCCCTTTTTGGCAATGGTGCTCCCTGATGGCAGGGCCTCTTTCAGCAAGCTAACACACCCTGCAAAATTTGTTACAGAATGGTTTGAGGAAAAGTAAAAAAATAAAATAAAAAATAAATAAAAAAAAGTTCAAGGTGTTGTCTTGGCCTCCAAATTCCCCAGATCTCAATCAAAATCAGACGTGCTAGAAGAATTCAATCTAAGGTGGCCCTGCCTCGCAACTTGCAGGACTTAAAGGATATGCTGCTAATGCCAGATACCACAGAACACGTTCAGAGGTCTTGTGGAGTTAATGCACCGAAGAATCAGAGCTGTCCTGGTAGCACCAGGGGAAACTACACTACATTAGGCAGGTGGTTTTTAATGTTGTGGCTGATTTGTGTGATAGATAAACACTGACTTTTCAGACTAAAGGCAGGGTTTACATTGTGGTCTGGTAGCACGTCAAGTGACAGTCACTGAGACGGCCTCTAGAAGTGTTAATGCTCCCCATAGGGATGCATTGATTCAATGCATCTCAATGAAGAGAAGTTGACCAATGTTTCTCTATGGTGAAGCATTGGATTGTCTGAGATCGTCAAGATTGATGATCTCAGCCATGGAGGTAGGGCCAGTCGCTGCGTCTCTAGCACGGCAGGGGGGGGAAATGGAGAGTAAAAACACCTATCCAATGTGATTGGAGGGGGGCAGGTCACCTAAACACACACACACTGACAGAAAAACACACACACCATAACTATTTTTTTATTTTAAATCCACCCAGCCTCCTACCTTTGCAAGAGCTGGAGTGGATCAATTTTCCCTGGGGTCCAGGAAGGGCTGCTGTCATCTCCCTGCTCTGCTTTCTAGAGTGCTGTTTAGTGATGCGGGGCTGGAATGACATCATATTCCCGCTCCCGGCATCACTGGAGGGCGCATAAGGTAGCAGAACAGGAAAATTACAGCTCCCTTGCCACCGCGCCTCCCTCATTTCTCAATGACCCGACTGTTTGTCTGCCCGCCTCAACCCTGCGTGAGCCAACTATCTACCTCTAATTTCAGGCAGCCGGTCACCTCAAGGGCTGAACAGGCTCACAAATCCCAGGACACATTTCCTGGTCATCATGGATCAATAGATAGAATCTGTGGAGCAGTAATTTCCAAGGTCTGAACCTAAACAAAACCTACAATTTGCGCAATGTGTTTGTTCCACTGTAATTAAAGGGTTCCTCTTTAAGTGCACCACACAAATTATATATTGTTTGTTTTGTTTTTTAAATATCATATATGTATACCTAACACGACATGAATAAAAATGGGAGAAAATAAATGGAAAAAGTGGAGGTACTCGGTCGGAGTACGGGAGCAGTCACAGACATTAAATGGGACTTACCCAAAATAATAAAAACAATTTATAATAAAATCACACGACAGTGCCATTTTAAAGAAAACAAAAATGCCACCTATACATTTGCTTGTAATTTGTCCAACTAGGTAATGTCGGTCAGAAAAAAATAAGCATTTGTTAGTTTCTACATAATGTGTAGTATGCGGCAGTGTACACTTAAACTCTTATTTAAGTTTTCATTATCGAATTACAACCCCTCCAGACAAACAAGTTTTCTTTCTTAAAATTAATGCAAAGCTTAATAAAGCCATGCAAGTATATACTATAAGAGCACACAAATTATTTATTCACTAAGCTTAGTGAACTGGAATGTGAAAAGGAAAATATTTCAGCACGACAATTTTTGCATTTACGAAATAAATCCATAAAAGTAAAATGTATAGAAACTAGGGTTTCTGACTATACATTTTTCATTCAACATACAGAACATATGCTCACCTTTATTGTGGGATGTGTTTTAGTTGTATCCGTGCTCCGTTCTCCAGGAATGCTGCCAGCAGAACGCCCTTCACACTTATAACGAAATCGCATTCCACGCTGTTTTGGCTGCTCAATAATCTCCACATATGGGACAGAGGCTGGGCCTGTATGGATTCATTTAAAACAAAATATAATTCGGCTGGGCTTGTCTATCTTCTCACATGTAAATGTAATTTAAAATATGGGGGAGGCGGACTTTCCATCCTCTTAATTACTGTTCTGATAGGGAGTAGGAATAATGGCAGACAGGCTTTTGTAGCATACTTGTCTAATCATTTTGGGGACTGTCTCAAAGTAGTAAGTTGGGGTGGAGAGGGGTAAAGGCTTTCTTGTTACATACATAGGCATATACGTCCTCCTTTATGATTACTAATGCCCTCCCCCTGAGATTGCTGTACTACTTATAGCCTTATCTTCCCCCTGAGGTCTCTGGCAGTATTTATCAAAAAAAGAATCATGATCATAAAACTCACAGGGTGCTAGCAGAGTATGGGTCAACATATCCCATAAGCACAAGTATAAAAGAAAAAAAACCCAGGCACTCACTGTGATGAATTGAGCTGATTTATTGGACACTGCAACCTTTTGACCTGTACCCAGATCTTTATCAAGGTAGATAAAGAGCAAGATAGCATGATAAAGACCTGGGTACATGTCGAAACATTGAGGTGTTGAATAAATGTGCTTGATTCATCACAGTGAGTGTCTGGGTTTTTTTTTCTGGCAGTATTTATGACGGACTTTAAAGAGAGTCGGTATTAAGTAATTAGCAATACTTGAAGTTATACCACATAGTTGAAACTCCAGTGGTTATATCCATTAGGTGTTTCACCAAGTACCTTCCCTTTTTTAAAGGCAGCCTTAATAGTGGTGATTGCTTCTTATTTTTGCAATTTACTGCTAGCATCTCAATCATTGCTAATCATCACACTGATTTGTAGCTCGTTGCCTCTGTGGCTCCAGAGGTGTTCTAGGTCACAAATGCCATAATCATCTCATTTTTAAGTCCACTCTGTTGTGGGATAACGTTACTGTCTAACGGGGTTCTATTTTATTAACACATTTTTCATTTCAGTCAACCTGAACTCTATAGGTTTTTTTATAAAATCACTAATTTTATTCTAAAGGGTACCTTTACTTTTATTTAATAATTAAAAGGGACACTATAGTCACCAGGACAACTACAGCTTATTGTATTTGTTCTGTTGAGTAGAATCATTACCTTCAGGCTTTTTGCTGTAAACACTGTCTTTTCAGAGAAAATGCAGTGTTTACATTACAGCCTAGTGATAACTTCACTGGCCACTCCTCAGATGGCTGTTAGAGATCCTTCCTGGGTCATGGCTGCCTAAAAGGCATCCAAAATTCAGTGTCTCCTCCCTCTGCATGCAGACACTGAACTTTCCTCACAGAGATTCTTTTCATCTCTATGAGGAGATGCTGATTGGCCAGAACGGTGTTTGAATAATGCTGGCTCTGCCCCTGATCTGCCTCCTTGTCGGTCTCAACCAGTCTTATGGGGAAGCATTGTGATTGGATCAGGCTACCACTTCTGATGATTTCAGCAGACTGCTTTTTGTTTTTAGGCAAACAGCATGCAGAGCTACAGCTTCAGGCTTGAATACTGTAAGATTTTGCTATATTTATGGAGGCATGAGCGGCCCAGGGGGGCTAGATGGTGGTGTTAACACTATAGGGTCAGGAATACATGTTTGTGTTCCTGACCCTATAATGATCCTTTAATGAACAAACTTGGGGCTCCTAGGTCTAATTAGTCACTCCTATTTGCATTCAAAAATCGATGATTTTTATATTGCCTCCATATTAAACTGCTACATATCCCTGACTGGCCAACCTCACAGTGCTAGTTTATCTGATACATTGTTGCATCTGTTTACTGTAACTATCTTTCATACTTCAATGCATTTTATAGAAATCAGAGGTAATGAGAGCATATTTTAAAATCAAATTGCTACCCCTGAGATTGACCAACTTTATAGTGGTATTCGACTGCTCCCCCACACAGGGGAGCAGCAAGATACTTTCCCGGTGCTATGATCATCAGCACCGGGAACTGAGCCTCCCTCTCCCTGGCCAGCTCTGCAGGACCGAAGGGGAGATCAGAGATCTCCCTCTCTAGCCTGCTAGCCGTGTAAAATTGACTTTTATACTAGCAGCAGGCAAGGGGAGGGAGAAAGGACCTAGGGGACGCACGGTTACCGTGGCAATGCTCCTAATTTTGCGAGAGAGTGAACTCTAGCAGCTCCTAAGGCTGCTAGAGTTCATTCTCACCAGTAGGACCGCCATAGCTTCCCCACAGGACCACCAGGGATTACCTTGTACTGTTCCCCCTCCCAGGTAAAAAATTATATATTCATGAGTTTGCCCTCCCCCCCACACAAAAACATTACCCCCTCATATACACACACGCACTGCTCCCCCTCCACTCTTCCCCATACACACACTGTACCCCTCACACAACCTGCCCCCACACACGATTGCCCCTATCCTGGCAGATCCGAGGTAAGTTATCAAACTGTTCTTCTAGTTTACATCCCTCACTAACTCTTAACTGGTCTAGTGGCCTCATGGCGGGGCCCCCAGATCCACAGACCTGAGTGTAGACAAAGATGACCCCCGCTAGAGGGGATAACCACCCTGCACACAGGTTACAGACCACACACACATGCTGGAACACCCATGCAAGATATCCATGGTTATTTATTTACACCCACAAACGCCTCAGCACACCAGCCACACAAATTTCTTGTGTCATCTAAGCAATGTTACTGTATGCTGGAGTCTTACTACTTGTTGAAATTGTAATATATAAAAATGTGTGAAAAATCATGTCACTACTTAACATGTATGTATTTGCATTATATACGCTGTTATGGCGTCCTGACAAAGTTATGTACCTACCAGCACAATAAAAATAAAGAATTAAAAAAAAAACAAAAAAAAAACAAACAAACACGTTCTTAAACAGTTTTACTACTTACTCTGGGAGGGCACTACTGGCAGCATAACCATTACAAAGTGCTGTAGTGGTTATTGTGCCTGGATTGTTTCTTTAATCTACCAGAGCCACTCCCAAGATTAGGTTCTGGATCTGCGCTTGAACGGCAAGTATTTCTGCCGAACAGGGACCCAGTATATGCCGCTATGCTGTACATATATACACAACCCAGGAGTGGGGGGCGGAGCGATGACGTGACGTGCACGTGGTGACGTCACGCGGGTGAGAGGAGCAGAGGAGGAGGAAGCAGTAACGGACGCTGTAATGCTGTAATGCTGCCGACCCTTGAGCCGGTGTTCGGTGTTTGAGTGAGACGTGAGACGATCCCTGAGCCGGTGCTGGAGTGAGACGATAAGAGCGACCGCAGAGGTTAATCATATTGCGGTGAATTATACTGCTAACTACACTGCGGACGCGAGAATCAAGCGAGATTGGTGGTAAGGCGGTCGAACGGAATTAAGACTGCAAGGGAGTAAAACGAAGACGGAGAGGAATGTTGAAAAGGCTACAACGCTATAATACGGTAACAGCGGTAACAGCTCAGCAACCTGAGGAAACACAGAGAGGCTTGATAATTCTACCGCTCTATATACAGAATTCAAGAAGTACAGCAAGGCATGTGAGGTACATGGCAGTATGATAGGATCTATCAATTGAATGTAGAATCCTATATTGAAAGCCGACCTAACATTAGTTCAGATGGACATTTATTTTTTTTTTTTTTTTCTGCCTACACGATCAGGCTAATTGAAATCTGCTTTAGGAAGTTTGAAGTGTGAACAATCAAAGTCAGACGAAGTGAGAAGTGTGAAATCAGTGATATGAGTGATAAAATAAAAGTTGGATTTGTTAAAACTCTGTAAAATACTCTGTAAAATACTCTGAGAAGTCAGAGAAGTCTGGGAAGCAGGAATAGCTTCTTAAAGCTCTTTAAGCCATATTTAAAGCCATATTTAAAGTTATTTAAAGCTAACTAAAGCTAATTAAAATATAAGAGTTTTGCAAACAACAAATCCTTAAAGCTTTTTAAAGCTGCTTAAAATCTCGCATGCCTAAGTAACGACAAAAGATACGGAAGCCTAAGAATAATTTGAATATTTGAACAGCTGAGATAATTGGACATATTTTGCACTATTGCAGGTATACAACTGCATATACTGTCTCTACCCACAAGTAAATCAGAAAACATGGCGGCAAAAAAGGGGGAAAATAAAATAAACACAAGGAAGGATAAAGATAAAAAAGTCGACTCTAAATCTGAGTCTAAAGCGGAATTAAAATCTGACAAACGCTTGTCAAATTATTTCTCTGCTCAAGAGAAGGATAGGAGACTAAGCCAAGTGGGCTCTACTAAACCTTCAGAAGAAGATATGGTGAATACTAGCCTTATGGAGATAAATGGTCTAAACTCATACAGCAATTCCCCTCCAAGTGACCTCCTTAATATTGATAGAGTCACTCTTAATAACTGTTTTGACTCACAAATGGAAAAGATAAAAGGTGAGATGCAACTTTTTACAACGACCTTTAAAGAAGAAATAAAGAAAGTAAATATAAGAATGACATCCATCGAAGAGAAACTGGAATGTTCAATGCTTAGAAATAACCTTATGGAAGATAAAATTAATTCCTTGGAGCAGAAAATAAATAACTTGGAAGCTAAGATGGTTGATTGGGAAGACAGGTCACGGAGGAGAAATATTAGGATTAGAGGAATCCCGGAAAGTATATCCAACCAAATGTTAAACGCTTATCTGACTGAGCTTTTAAACTTTCTAGATATGCATCTGCAAAATATTCCAATTATATTTGAGAATGTTCATAGACTGCCAAAAGCAAGAAGCCTACCAGCTCATATCCCAAGAGAAGTTATTGCAAGTTTTCATTCTCTTTACCTGAAGACCAAATTCAACCAAGCTTTAAGGCTGAAATCTTTAAAAGACTCAAAATTTGAAGAGCTAAAATGCTTCAATGACCTATCTCTGGCTACTAGAACTGCAAGGAAGAAATTTCTAACTTGCACAGGCAAGCTTAGAGATCACAACATAAGCTACACATGGCTATTCCCTACGGGGTTAAAGTTTTATTATAAAGACAATCTAGAAGCCTTTAAAGAGGTTGATAGTTTACATCAATGGTTATTAACAAATAAGATGATATGAAGCTATTGGGGATAAAACGGATGAGGGAAGCGGAGGTTATTTAATTTTTTATTTTTTTATTTTTTTTTATATAGTGAAGAGAAACACTAAATAGTCTAACCAAACAAGGGGAATATTAAGTACCACAATAATTGTAAAACTACAAGGGTAACTTTAAAATTAGGGACATATATATATAAGTGAAATAGGGATATTAAGCAGAAATATAAATTAGAATATAAGGTTAGATAGTATATCCTAGATTATAATGAAATTATGTTGCACGGGGGAACACAACATGACACGCGTGTAAATAATATTACACACTAGTTTTTTAATATACGACTAAACAGGATACAATATTTCTGTAGAATATTAGAGCAAATTAATATGAGATACAAAGAAAATTCACGGGATGCTTGAAGCAGTGTTAATTATATATAATATATATAGCACTAGTCAAATTAACCACTAAGATAAGCACGATTGATTAAAGATATGAAGTCTCTTGAGGACTGTAATAGATAAGCACTTTATATATTAGATTTCTAATTTTTGAATATATAAGATTTGCACTCTGACTAAATGATTGAGTAGATTATGTCGGTCAGATTGTTTTAAACATACGTATTATATACAGCACTGAATCTAAATTAATCACTGAGATATGCACTGATGATTAAAGTTGTGAAGCCATCTTAGGATGGTAATGGATAAATAGTAAGGGAAGAAGGTAATAAATTCTAGTCTTTGGGTAAGGGGGTGATACCTCTTTTTAAGTTATTATTATCATCTTTCTTTTTTTTTTTATATAGAGCTTTTATTTATGAGGCTCTCGGGTCGATAATTAGGTATAATTCTCCTCTGCTTCCCTCCAACCGCTAACGCGGTTGAGTTTGACTGATTTATACCTTGGGTAGGTTACGATCAGTAAAGGGCTTTGGGATGGCTCCCATGAGAGGAGGGGTAGGGAGCCTTCGGGGGTTTAATGTTTTATGTACGTGCTGTCGTTTTGTTATGGTCTGGTCATATTTGGTCTTTTACATGAGATTGGCTCTATATGAGTTGCCCAATTCTAAATATGATTAATTTAGGTAAAAATAGTAAGCCTGAACTAAGGGGGGTAGATCTAATAAAAAATTGTAATATTTTCTCTAGAGTCTTGGAAGATGAGTTTACTCCCTATAGCTGGACACAAGGGAGATTGTTCAACTCTAAACTGGATTAATAAGGATAAAAATAGTAACTTTGAACCTTAGAGGTTTAAATTCACCACAAAAGCGCAATATCCTTCTTAGGTTTTTGAAAGATGAATCCATTTCCATATGCGCGTTGCAAGAAACACATTGGGAGCAAAGAGGAAAAATACGTTTAAATTCTAAAGATTATCCATTTATTTTTTCCTCCTCCTTATATGATAAAAAAAAAAGAGGGGTTGCGACCCTCATTTCTTCTAGATTAGCTTTTAAATTTATTTATCAAATACAGGATCCAGAAGGTAGATATCATATATTAATTTGCGAAATAAATAATAGGATTTATACGATAGTGAATCTTTATGCCCCAAATTTAGCCCCGATTAAGTTTATTAGGAAACTAATGGATATAGTAGATAGAAATAGACAAGGTATGGTAATCTATTTAGGGGATTTTAATTGTATGCTCAACCCAGAACTAGATAGGAGAAGCTTAATTAACGATCAATATAATAAACAGCTAAAAACCTCTGCTAAATCCTTTAGCAACTTGTTAAAAAATAGGGGCCTTTTGGATCTTTGGAGGATTTTGCATCCTATGGAATATGACTATACTTGTTTCTCTGGGGCTCACCGGGTTTATTCCAGAATTGATTTAATAATATCAGACCCAAGCATATCCAAAATGCTTAAAAAAGTTTTTATTAAAAATATTGCATGGTCAGATCATAATGCGGTAATGATGATTCTGGATGATGGTTTGAAGGATAATAGATCAAATTGGAGATTAAACGATCGTCTATTAAGTATTTCAGAATATTTAAAACAAATTAAGTCAACTACAAATTTATTTTTTGAAGAAAATACTAAAGATGACTTACCATTACCAATTATATGGTGCGCCTATAAGTGTACAATTCGAGGACATTTTATTAAGATGGGGTCCCAGGAAAAAAAAAAAGAAGGGAAATAATCTTACGCACCTGTATATACAACTAGATCAATTAGAATATATAAATAAAAATAATCCATCTATAGATATTACTAAACAACTCTCTATCATTAAAGAGAGTATTAACGATTTATTAATCCAGAAAGCAAATTTTTCATTAGAAAAATTACGAAGGACATGGTACTACAGGGGGAATAAAGCGGATAAATTACTCTCGAATAGGTTAAAGAAGGATTCTACCAAGATGAGGGTAACTAAAATCATTCAAGAAGATAAGGTTCTTTTGAATCCATCAAAAATAGGTCAGGCTTTCCAAGCATTTTATACTAAACTATATAATCTTCCAGACAGACATACCTCAGTTAATCTCTTAGAATATTTAGAGAAGTTAAATCTGCCAAAAATAACGAAATCTCAACTACAAAATTTAAATGACCCTATAAACCTGGAAGAGGTCAACCAAGCCATAGATAGATTGAAAATCTCTAAGTCTCCAGGTCCGGACGGTTTTACAAATAAATTTTATAAATCTTTGAAAGAAAACTTAGCAAATACCTGAAGGGATATATTTAACGAGTTTATGTTGAAAGGTAATATCCCGCCGGAGATGCTGAGAGCTAACTTGGTCCCTATTCTCAAACCACAAAAGTCCTCAGAGTTAATAACCAATTATAGACCTATCTCGTTATTGAATGAGGATTTAAAACTTTACTCCTCAATAATGGCAAGTAGATTAAATGGAATTATGATAGATATAATCCATAGGGACCAAGTGGGCTTTATCTCCAAACGCTCCTCGGCATATAATGTCAGACGTCTCATAGATGTAGTAGATTGGGCCCAATCGAGGAAATACACCCTCCTGATCCTGTCTTTAGATGCTGAGAAAGCATTCGACAGGGTCAGGTGGGATTTCCTCGATGCGGTCCTACAAACTTTTGGCTTTTTTGGGAATATAAGAAAAGCAATACTGGCCTTGTATTCAACTCCTTCTGCAAGAGTTGTGGGAGCGGGATTCAGCTCAGATTTTTTCTCGTTGAAAAACGGGACGAGACAGGGCTGCCCGCTCTCACCTCTTCTCTACTTATTGACAATAGAAGTTCTAGCGGTAGCAATAAGGAAAAACGAGGCAATAAAGGGCCTTAATTTTAAAAATGACTGCATTAAATTAACAATGTATGCTGACGATATTGTATTAACTCTAGCAGATCCCTTAAACTCCTCTATAGCTTTCTTTAATACCTTAGATGAATACGCTTTACACTCAGGCTATAAAATTAATGTCAATAAGTCGACTGCATTACTAATGAATACCCCTCAGAATACAAGGGCAATACTTAAGCAGAGATATGAATTTAATTGGGCGGAGGTTTCTTTTAATTATTTGGGAATTGATATAGCAAATGACGTTAATATTATCATGGAACTCAATTTCCTATCTCTTCTTAGAACTACGGCAAAGAAACTAAAAAATTGGAAAAATTTAGAGATCTCATGGTGGGGCCGTATCAATGTAGTTAAATCTTATATTATCCCAAAATGGGTTTATCTATTTAGAATGGTGGCATTACCGTGCCCGGACAGCTGGTTGACCCTAGCTCAATCCCTATTGAATAAATTTATATGGTTACATAAGCCTCCAAGAATATCCCAAAAACGCTTAGCCTTAAAAGTGAAAAAGGGGGGCCTGGGGGTCCCTATTCTAAAAGACTTCCAAAATGCTGCGACCTTTACACACGCAATCATTACTCAACTAAATGATAGCAAGAATGAGATATGGTACAAAATAGAACAAGATCTTATTTCAACTGAGGGTTCACCGATAGAGTTGTCTGTGCTCTTTTGGCCCCTAAAATTACAAACCGATCATAGAGTAAGCCCCATTTCATCAAGTGTTATTCTGAACAATGTTCTAAGGGGGTGGAAAAAAACTAAAAATTCACTAGGTCTTTATAATAAGTTAATCCCTTCCCTTTCTTTAAGAAATATAGCTTACTATATGACTAATTTTAATGTAAAAAGCTGGATTGAAAAAGGCATATACAAATTTCAAGATTTAAGGGATAGAAACGGATGGATGGATTTCCAAACTTTAAAACAAACATATAAAATAGACAATAAGGAGACTTTCAATTACCTTAGACTAAAAGGCTTTTGTCACCAATATGTTACCACAGAAAGGTGTGATCGCTTAAGGGACATGGGAAATATCCTCGATAGGGATTCTCCAAAAAAACTATTATCTATGGGATTAAACCTATTACAAAAAAACTCAGATGAACCCTTAGAAGCTATAATTAATTCTTGGCAAAGTGATTTGGGAAATCAGATTACTTGTAACCAATGGAGAGAAGCTTTAAATCTTACCTATAAACATATCCACTGTCTTAATCTGGTGGAATGCCATTTTAAAATCATAAATAGGTGGTATATGGTCCCCAGTAAAATCAAGAAGTTTAGTAATTTAGGTAACGCCAATTGCTGGAGATGCAATGTGGAATTTGGGAACTATCTACATATATGGTGGGACTGTAGGTATATACAGAAGTTTTGGAAAATGATCTTATCTAGGATAAAACTTATTACTTTGATTGATTTACCTTTGGTACCACAGATATGCCTTTTGCAATTAGATATCCACCAGGTTAGTGGTAGTTCATTGCCGGTTATCTTGCATATACTACTAGCCGCGAAACTTTCTATTGCAAGGTATTGGAAAATGGAGTTAGTGCCCTCCTGGCCCATAGTTAAGGAACAAATTAAATATCAATTGAAAATGGAAGCTGGGTTAAATATAAAATATCAAGAACGCTATAACTCCTGGTTGGCGAAGTTGGAGGCTGTTGTTGACTTATAGATATATGTCCTAAATTTCTCTGGGCCTAAGTTGATATTGATACTATAGTAAGAGTGACCTCATATGACCATTTGATGTTTTGTCCTGTCATGTCCTTTTGTATGTGAGTTGTTTACAGTGAGATTTTTAAACAACATAGGTGTTTTACTAAACGTAACTATACTACTTCAAACTTTTATGGAAAAAGTAATGATGTTAAGGATGTTATGTGTATCTTACTGTACATGTTTTATACGGGATGTTTTGTTATTTGTATTTTTCTCTGTTGTTAATTCTATTGTGTTAAAAAAAAGAAAAAAAGCGGAGTTGATGTCTCCGAATAAAGATTATATATTACAAAAAAAAAAAAAATACACAACCCAGAATTTTTAAAAAAAAATAATTATTTTTTACTTGGGGTGCCTTGGAAAAATATTAAGGGCGCCTTGAACCTAAAAAGTTTGGGAACCACTGCGATACAAGGTTACACTGTATTGGCAACTATGAAATTGACTTTTTATACTTCAGTATAGCCTACATAGCTCAGAATTAGTGGGAACAGATTCTAAAATCTACAAATATGCACTTCTAGTACCAGTGAGTGCATGTAATTGTCAGACACGGAGACATACTTCCCTTTTTGTTGACCAGTTTTTAACTCTGCACATCTATTTTTTCACATAAAACATTTTTAAGTTTTTTGTATATTTTTCATTCATTATTTGTGGCCGATTTATTCCTTTTCTGAATTTAAACTAATAAAGTGACTTTTATCCAATTTATTTTCAAATAAAAGCAATTGTCCTTACCATAACCCTCTGTGCATCGGAACACTAAGTGTATACAGGATGTTTTTTTTCTTGGTTTTGTTCCAAAATTTATAGATAAATAATTCCAATGATCCAATTAGTGGGTAATGAGTTTAACACATGCTAATGGTGGATCAAAGATGTGCAGTTCATCAAAAGCACGGGTTGCCTACAACTGCTCTTGATAAGAGTGGTAAAAAAAAAAAAAAAAAAAAAAAAAAAAAAAAAAAAAAAAAAAAAAAAAAAAAAAAATCACATACCTGAAACCATCCAGTCATTGTTTAAGAGGGTATTTAGCAGCATCTCTAAAAAAAACAAAGAAAAAAAAAATTTTTTAAATAACTATTAAATTACAACTTTTATGAATGATTAGTTTTCTAGTACAGGGGCTTCGTACATTTATCAGAAGTCACATGCATTATAAAATATTTTGCAGCACAAACACATTGTAACATGAACGTGAGTAAAGACTTGATTAGGCGTACAAGATATCACACAGATATCACACATCTTGTTTGATATACACAAAGAAAAAGGCAGTGGTATGAAGGGCTGCAAACCAGCCAGTGGAGAGGCATGATCCCCATAATGCTCACCTTATTGCATTGCTCTGTTGTACACATACCACTAATTGAGAAACACTGGTGTAGACAAACTCTTTATGATGTGCTTCTCTAAATACATTTGTTTTAATTACAGACAGTCCTCTATTCTGTTTAACGACTTTAGTACGTACTTTGCTGTCCTAAAAATGATGGGCTTTGAATGCTGTTAGAATGGCATGGAACATAGTTTGCATTCGGTGCCAGCAGGGTTAAATCCCAATTATCAATCAATTCTTGGGACTACCCTCTGTCACTTGGGGCAGCTTTTAGTTATTTGTAATATTTGTACATGCACGCAACTGTATGATCCAAAGAACAGAAATGAAGACAACGGTTGAAAACATTTGGACTCACAATGAGTATTTCTTACTGTTGTATAGAGCATAGAAAAAAAGCCATTTCTGTCAAAAAACACATACACACATAACTACGCATGCGGTTCACTACACTGAACAGTATCTAAGAATACACAAGCATTTGTGGCAGAAATGCATTTAGTCTAAAAAATAAATTAATTAAAAAAAAAAAAAAGTTCAGCAAGAACCTTGAATACTAAATAGTTGGTATGATTCAGGAAAGGTCACACCTTTTGCCTAGATAATGAGATGGGTGGATATTGAGCCTCTCATTTTTGAACAGGTTATACTTCATTTCTGTTCAGCATTATATGACATGTTTTGAAAATCATCCAGTTTATTTAAAATAAATCAATAAGTTGAAGTTGTAGGTTATTTTTGGAGATTTATGCAATGGTTTCCAGACACCATTCTTTAAAGGAGTAAAATGATCACATGATGTGGGAGCCACCATAGGAAAGCATGGATTCATTTTCCTATGAAAGCATGGATGTGCATGAGGTCTCCATCGCTTCTGTATGATGTCATAAGTGGCAGAGAGGTAATCAGTGCAGAGGGAGTCTTTGCATCCGAAAAGGTAAGTAAAAAGATTTTTTTTTAAATGAATACAATTGAGGCAGGTGGGTTTGATTTAAATCACTAGTCAGGATTTAAATTATGATTTGTAAATTGAAAGACCCATTCTTGCTGGCAGTTATAACCTTTAATATTTGCAACTAGATGAAGATATATTTAGAATGATAACCTGTCAGATTAAACAGCTATTTCAGAATTAATTTTGGATTAATAGGTTAATCAATCATATTTGGAGAACTACTTGAATTGTGTTATTTAACTAAAACAACATTATATAGCATACATACATTGATCAGTCACAACATTAAAACCACTGAAAGGTGAAGTTAATAACATTGATTATATTGTTACAACAGCACCTGTCAAGGGGTGGGATATACAAGGCAGCAAGTGAACAGTCAATTCTTGAGGTTCATGTGATCGAAGCAGGAAAAATGGTAAAGAGAAAAAAAAAAAACCAGAGTGACTTTGACAAAGGACAAATAGTGATGACTAGATCAGAGTATTATCAAAACAGCAAGTCTTGTGGGGTGTTCTCAGTACGCAGTGGTTAGTACCTACCAAAACTGGTGCAAAGAAGGACAACCGCTGAACCAACATCAGGGTCTTGATGTCCAGGGGAAGCACGGTCTGGTCCGAGAACACAGAAGAGCTACTGTAGTTCAAATTGCTGAAAACACCTAATGCTGGCCATGATAAAGCATCAGAACACACAGTGCATTGCAGTTTGTACCATATGGAGCTGTGTAGTTGCAAACATAAAAGTGACCATGCTGACCCCTGTCCACCGCAGAAAGTACCTTAAATCGGGACATGTATGCCAGAACTAGACCATTGGGCAATGGAACAGGGTTGCCTGGTCTGATCAATTAAGTTTTCTTTTAGATAAGGCCGTTTGTGTGTGTTGGTTTACTGGGGAAGATATGGCAGCAGGATGCACTATGGGAAGAAAGCAAACCGCCAAAGGCAGTGTTATGCTCTGGGCAATGTTCTGCAGGAAAACCTTGTTTCTGTCATTTATGTGGATGTTACTTTAACACCTACCTAGACATTGTTGCAGACCACGCACACCCCATCAGACAAGAAAAGCTTAAAGGCACATACATTATAGTCACCAGAACAACTACAGCTTATTGTATTTGTTCTGGTGAGTAGAATCATTACCTTCAGGCTTCTTGCAGTAAACACTATTTTTTCAGAGAAAATACAGTGTTTATATTACAGCAGCGGCATAATGAGGGAGGGGGTAGGGGAGGCGGTCCACCCCAGGTGTCACTCACTAAGGGGGTGCCTGGTGCAGACTGTCGGGTCCTGGGTCACTGACCGAGGACTCAACACCAGGACGGGGCCCGGCGGCTTGCTCGATATGCCACCGGGTTAGATGCCACTCCTGCGCCCATTGCAGACACTGGTCTGCAGCTCAGCAGTGTGCAGAGCTGCAGACCATGTATCTAGCGAGATCTGATCAATCAGAGCTTTGCCGCGGGTTACCACGGCAACGCTCTGACTGGGTCTCACGAGAGTCATGGTCTGCAGCTCACCAGATATTATGGCCACTGGACCACCAGGGAATTAAGATATTTAGTCCGTCCCCCTCCCCATCACATCACCCCCCTCTCTCTCCCTCACACCCTTAACCACTATACAAACACACTGCATACACACACTTATACATGTGTGTCTGCATGTCTGTATCTGTTTGTTGGTATATGTGCATCTGTATGTGTCAGTGTGTGTATATGTATCTGTTTGTGTGTGTGTGTTTGTATCAGTGTGTCTATCTGTATGTGTCTGTGCTTGTGTGTCTGTACAGGTGTATGATTTTCTATGTAACTGCATTTGTGTACCTATGGGTCTTTGTATGTGCATATATATACACACACACACACACACCTTAGCATTTCGCTAACACTACACACAGATACAACCCTGCATCCAAAGGTCCACACTACATAAATCACACCACCATATTTAGGGAAGCAGAGGGGTTTCGGGTGGGAGGTAGATTTTGGTTTTAACACTATAGGGTCAGGAATACCGGTTTGTGTTCCTGACCCTATAAAATAAATAAATCCTTTAAAGCGCTGTCTCCTGCAGCTCAATCATCTTCATGCTCTGGTTTGTTCAGAATCTGGAAAAGCAAAATGAGCTCTCCTGCTTTATTTAGCCCCCACCGATTTCTAAATTTATAATGAACACGTCTAAAGGAAGAGAATATTCTTTCGAAAGCCAGCAGATGCAGCCACTGCTGTTTAAAGTGAAATAATTTAGGAAAACCATGTGCTTAAGTGACTTACACCAGTTCCCTGGTGTGACTTTCTTTAAAACATCATCTACAAACAAATTATTAAAGGACCACTATAGTGCCAGGAAAACAAACTTGTTTTCCTGGCACTATAGTGTTAATAGGTCCCCCCCACCCTCATGGCCCCACTCCCGCCGGGCTCAAGAGAGTTAGGGGGTTAAACACTTACCTTTATCCAGTGCCGGGATCTCTCGGTGCTGGGGATCTCTCCTCCCTCTTCCGACGTCAGCGCTGAATGCTTTCCTATGGACTGCAGCATCTTCTCACTGTGAAAATCACAGTATGAAGCGCGGAAGCGCCTCTAGCGGCTGTCAGTGAGACAGCCACTATAGGCTGGATTAACCCAAGTGTAAATATAGCACTCTGCAGGGTTAACCCTAGATGCAAGTGGATCTACGCCAGACCACTTAATACATTAGTATTATTTATATGTTTTTATATATTTTTTGTTTTTATAATAGTCTGTATACATTTTAATACTGATAATAAACATATTTGTTATATACTACACTTCCTGCATCCTGCACAAGTGATTCAAGAAAGGGATAGTGTCACCCTATAAACTGACACTGAACCTACATACTTAGAGCCAGTTATAAAAAGGCTCTAAATAAGGTGAGCACTTTTCTGGATTTTATCTACACTGATATATATTGGTATTTTAAAATACTACACTTAGTTTGGACGTTCTTTCTCTGTTTCATCTTATACACTCTGGAGAGCAACAGACGTTCCATCACTGAGAGAGAGGGGTTGTGTGGTCTACCCAAAAGACACAGACGCTTGGAAGTTTAGAGCCTTACCACTGCAAAGGGCTCTAAAAAATGTGAGTTAATCTACATTATAACTCACATATACAATTTAAACAATTAATTTTTTAGACATATTGCACTATTATTTGTATATATTTGTTTTCTTTCTTCCCTATATATACACGGGAATACAAGCATTGTATAGATGTAAGTGCTTTTTTGGCACTATATACACATATTCACCACTTTTAAATTTATCCTGAAGCGCTACACTCATGGAAATTGAGGGTTTAAAGGGATAGATACCTGATAAATCTGAAATTTTCCTTTGTTGTTTTTTTGGTGATTTCTATGTATGTTGGGTTTTTTAGGAGTACCCACAGAGTGTATAGCAGCTAAATTCACTTTAATATCATAATTCTATAGCGCCACCTATCCACAACCTGTGTGTGCACATTTAACCCTATAGTGGTCCTCCCTTAGTTTTTAATTTTATCATAGTTGGCCGTAGAGAATTATGGATACCCATGTCACTGCCATCTCCTCTTCCTTGGCACTTAAGGTTTTACCCTGGTACTGGATATTGACAATGTTCGCGAGAAACGAAGATGGATACTCTGCTAGTCCCATCTCTAATTTAATTCTGTCAATGACAGCATTACATTTAAAAAAAAAAAAAAAAAAATTAAACAAATAAATAAAAATTTACACCTATGGCCCAGGGAAGCAAAGCATTAAAAATAGTTTTTATTCCTAATGCTCCATTGTTCCTTTAAGATTTTTGAAATTTGAAGGTATAAGTATTGGAATGGACAAAAAAAAAACAAGTGTTGTATTACAGATAAGTATGGCAATTGTTTAAATGATGGAGTTTGCTGTTGGGGAGCAGAGGTGTTGACAATAATAGGTGGTGTTCCAATGTTTTAATAATATATGTATATTAATGTGGCAGTACCGGTTGTTTATTCCAAAATGTCTCCTTAAAAGGACCACTATAGTGCCAGGAAAACACACTTGTTTTCCTGGCACTATAGGGTCTCTAGGTCCCCCCTACCCTCAGTGCCCCCCTCCTGCCGGGCTCTAGAGGGTGAAAGGGGTTAAATTTACATCTTTCTCCAGCGCCGGGTGGGGAACTCTCCTCCTTCTCCATATCGCCGTCATCGGCTGAATGCGCATGCGCGGCAGGAGCTTTCCTATGGATGCTGGCGTCTTCTCACTGTGAAAATCAGAGTGAGAAGTGCGGAAGTCCCTCTAGCGGCTGTCAATGAGACAGCCACTAGAGGCTGGATTAACCCAATTGTAAATATAGCAGTTTCTCTGAAACTGCTATGTTTATAGAAGAAAGGGTTAATCCTAGATGGACCTGGCACCCAGACCACTTCATTAAGCTGAAGTGGTCTGGGTTCCTATAGTGGTCCATTAAAGCAGGGCTTGGCAGATTTGTTTGGATTCTAGGAGCAAGCTAAAAAAAAAAAAAGTTAGTAGCCAGTCATTTTCAATGAGAAAATGCAATTCTTAAAAGGGACACTATAGTCACCAGAAGCACTACAGCTTGATGTAGTTGTTCTGGTGTCTATAGCCTGTCCCTTCAGGCTTTCAGTGTAAACACTGCCTGAAAACGCTGTGTTTACATTGCTGCTTAGTAACAGTCACTCAGATGGACACTAGAGAGTCCTGGCTGACTGCTGCACCATGTGACAGGCGCACCTACACGCTCACACTCAGCCACTCTGACAGGCTCCCACCCCCCACAATTGAAAACCATTCAGCCTCCCTACCTTTGGGAGAGCTGAGTGGGTCTTTCCCTGGGGTCCAGTGGGGCTGCTCTCTTCCTGCATGCGAGGGTGCAGTAATCTACCTACATCTCCTCTCTGCTCCCTCGTGCTCTCTGTAATGATGCCAGGCAGCAGTGACATCATATCTTCCCTTCTACACCGAAAGCGCTCTTTCCCATCATACCAGTGGTCCCAGGGAGCCGGAGTAAACCATCAGGACTTCAGCAGGACCTAGCTGTAATTGTCTGGAACTCTAGCTCGGCCGTAATAAGCATCACCTCGGGGTCAAGTTCCATCCTTGTTTTCCCCTACTTCTACTCCAGGGCTTGACGAATTTGTTTGGAATCTAGGAGCCAGTGAAAAAAAAGTTGTTTTTTTTTGTTTTTTGTTTTTTTAAAGGGACACTAAAGTCACCAGAACCACTAGAGATTATTGTGGCTGTTCTGGGGCCTACAGCCTGTGATTATAGTCTTTTTCAAAGAAAATGCAGTGTTTACACTGCTGCCTCCTAAGACCTCTAGTAATAATCACTTAGACGGCCACTAGAGAATCTTGTGCTCTGCATGGAGGCGCTGAATGTTACCCATAGAGAACATGTACAATGTCCTCCCAATGCTTTCGTATGGGAAAGCATTGGCTTAGTGGAGATCATAAAGATTGATCATCTAAACTATGGAGGCGAGACAAACCGTGGCAAAACCGGCAGTGTTGGGGAAAAAAGGTGAGTAAAAACACTTTTCATGTGATCGGAGGGGGGCAGGTACCTAAACAGACACACACACACAAACACTGACACACACTGAAAGAGGCAAACATACACTGACAGACATGCACACACATTTTCTCACATTTTTAATTTTAATCCACCTAGCCTCCTTACTTTTGGGAGAGCGGAGTAGATCTTTCCCTGGGGTTCAGTTGGGCTGCTCGCTCATCTTGCATGTGTGGGAGCAGTAATCTACCTGCAGCTCCGCACTGTCTGTAGTAATGCCAGTGCCGGAATTATATCATATAGAGCAGAGAGGAGCTACAGTAAGATCACTGCTCCCTAGCGGCTGCCCGAGTCTGACGCCTCCACGTAACCCAGGGTGGCCGGCTACAATGCTCCATGAGCCGGCCGCTTCCATACTCTCCAGGGCGGGCGGCTGACCCCATTGCTTGATAAGCCGGTAAAGGGCTGACAAATCCTAGGTGCCAGGGCAAAATTTCTAGTCGCCATGGCCACCTGGTACCTGTGATTTGTTGAGCCCTGTTCTACTGTGTCCAGAAAGTCATCAATTGGAGGGAAGGTACAACAGACACTATGAAACAATCGCTCCCTAAAAGCCAGGGGGAGCTCGCTTTTGCCACTGCACAAGAGCGCCCCCATAAAATGACCGACCATAGGCACTGAACTTGAGGAATTCATTTCAGCCAAGATTCAACGAATGGATGGTCAGAACTTTAATCCAGTGGTATTTAGCCAATTCCTCATGGATCCGAGCACTCTTGCCAGAATTGGCACTTGGACCAAACCTTTCCAATGATATATTACTTGTGGAGGTTTGAGGTTGTTTTGTTCAGTTTTGGGGGGGGTTTTCTATGTAAGGCTCTCCATATCCGCACAGCAATGGCCGTGCGTGCATTACACGCCACTAGAGGAGGACTTAACCCTGCTAGGCAATTAGTGCTGTTTATGAAAAACTGCACTAATTACACTTGCAGGGTTAAGGGTAGTGGGAGTTGGCTCCCAGACCACTCCAATGGGCAGGAATGGTCTCGGTGCCTGGAGTTTCCCTTTAACTGCTCCCCCCCCAACTACCACCATACATGTCACTTGAAAGTCTGGGGGGAGGGGGGCAGCAAAGTTTCCATAACTGACAGTGCCCTTTTCAGTTAATTTTCATAAATTAATGCTCTTGATCTTGGACATGAACAACACAGCATTGTTTGAGTGCTATGGGTAGCTTGCACATGAGTCACTCCCCAACTCCTTCACTTTATTTGATCAGCAGGCACAGCATATAAAGTGGCTCTGTCACCTTATGGAATCTTTGTGTATCTTGGAAACATCCCTAAATATGACATTGCTACTTGGTGTGCAGTGTATTCATAAAGATTTTATCTTTATGAAATTTTTTTTTTTTTTTTAGACAGCCAATTTTATTACTCCATTGAACCAACAGCAGGAACTTGATGGCACAAACAAGAAGTTTCAGTTAGTATAGTAATCTAAAAAAGTAAGCAAGCAATATTTAAAGGGGCACTTTAAGCACCATAATCACTACAAACTGGGTATACTAACTGCAGGTTAACGGCACTATCCCCAGGTTCTATGTCAAACATCAGTAGATAGTGTAAACTAGTGTGGACAAAAATCAATGATTTAAAGGATCACTATAGTGCCAGGAAAACATACTCGTTTTCCTGGCACTATAGTGCCCTGAGGGTGCCCCCACCCTCAGGGTCCCCCTCCCGCCGGGCTCTGGGGAGAGGAAGGGGTTAAAATCTTACCTTGCTCCAGCGCCGGGCAGGGAGCTCTCCTCCTCTTCTCCTTCATAGCGACGTCATCGGCTGAATGTGCATGCGCGGCAGGAGCCGCGCGCGAATTCAGCCAGTTCATAGGAAAGCATTTACAATGCTTTCCTATGGACGCTGGCGTCTTCTCACTGTGATTTTCACAGTGAGAAGCACGCAAGCGCCTCCAGCGGCTGTCAATGAGACAGCCACTAGAGGCTGGATTAACCCAGGGCTGTCTTTTTTTTTTTTTTTAAGAACCCATAAATTCACTCACAATGTCATGTTCTCCCACAGGTTCCTATAAGATTATTTTAGACAGTTTTTTTTCAGTCTAAAAAGATATGATCACAGATGCTTGGATTACCAGTTCTCAAAATGTGACCTTGTATCTGCAGATATAGTGTGTGTTTTCTATAAACACACAAAAATCCGAAAAAGACCTTAACCCCTTAGTGACCAGGCCGTTTTTCTATTTTCTTACCGTTAAGGACCAGGGCTGTTTTTACATTACATTTTGTGTTTAGCCGTAATTGTCCTCTTACTTGTTTACTGTACCCACACATATTATATACCATTTTTCTCACCATTAAATGGTCTTTGTAAAGATACCATTATTTTCATCATATAATTTACTATAAACTTTTTTTTTATAAATTATGATGAAAAAAAAAAAAAAACCTAGTAGACAACCTAGGGTATTCAAATATGGGGTATGTCCAGTCTTTTTTAGTACCCACTTAGTCACAAACACTGGCCCAAATTAGCATTTAAATTTGTTTGTGTGCTAAAATGCAAAAAAAAAAAACAATTATAAACGCTAACTTTGACCAGTGTTTGTGACTAGTGATGTCCCGAACGGTTCGCCGCGCACTCATCATTGAGTAAACTTTGACCCTGTACCTCACAGTCAGCACACACATTCCAGCCAATCAGCAGCAGACCCTCCCTCCCAGACAGCATCCAATGTGAAGCTGCATTCTTAGTGAGCTGTCCAGGAGGTGGGAGGGTCTGTTAGGGAGGGTCTGCTGCTGATTGGCTGGAATGTGTCTGCTGACTGTGAGGTACAGGGTCAAAGTTTACTCAATGATGAGTCCGTGGCGAACCGTTCGGGACATCACTATTTGTGACGAAGGGACTACTAAAAAAAAAAAAAAAGACTGGACATACCCCATTTGCAATACCTTGTGTTGTCTTCTTTTGCAAATGGTATGCCATCATGGGGGTAATTTTAATTCCTGGCCTACCATACGCTCTCAAAGGCAACATAACCAATCTGGCAAATTGAAGTGTGAAAAATCCAGCCTTATATTTGACACTGTAACTTTCAAAAACACTATAAAACCTGTTCATGAGGGGTACTGTTATACTCAGGAGACGTCGCTGAACATAAATATTAGTGTTTCAAAACAGTAAATCGTATCACAACAATGAGATCAGTGAAAGTGCCGTTTGTGTGTGAATAATGCAAAAAACGTCACTTTCACTGACATTATAATCGCTGTGATAGGTTTTGCCGTTCTGAAATAATATTTGTGTTCAGCGAAGTCTCCTGAGTAAAACAGTACCCCCATGTACAGGTTTTAGGCTCTCATGGAAAGTTACAGGGTTAAATATAGCGCAAGCAAATTAAATTCTCTGGACTTTCGACCCATGTTGTCAGACAGGTCCCCCAAATTGTAATCAATAAAATTACTTAATTATGTAAAAATATTACATAAATATGCACATAGAATTTAAAATATATAAACATATTTATTTATAAAATATTTTACCAGGATTGATACATTGAGATTTCTCTCGTTTGCATTGTTACAATACGATACAATATTACAATAGATTTATATACATGTGTGTGTATTGTAACACATAAATAATAAATATATTCAACCATGACAGGTGCATTCTGTGCTGAGGTATATTGCCATAGATCTCTTAAAAGATTTTAGAGTGAATGCAGATTTGACTGTGTCCCTGAGGTTATTCCATAATTGCAGTGCTCTGTAAGAAAATGATTATAGAGCCACTTTATTTTTGTATTGCGGTATGCTAAATATCGTGCTAGTACTGGGATGGAGGTGGGAACAGCTGGAAAGATAAAGAGTGCGTCGGGATTCTAGCAATAGCCAGTTTAGCTCTTAACATGTTACAATAGTGGGTAAAGTAATTACATTCTAGTACAAAGCGGCAGAACGAATTCTATAACGTATTAAGTTTATTCAGGTGGGTTTGCAATGCAGGTGCATACACGACATCCCCATAATCAATGACCAGTATTAGCATTTGTTGCACTGTTTCCTTACTGTAGGGCATTGGCAGGAATTGTTTCTGTACAGGGCACTTAGTTTTGGGTAAAGTTTTGAAGAGATTTTTGTGAAGGTCAAAGGATAGATTGGGGTCTAGCAACCTACCTAGATATTTGAAAGAACAGACTGCCGTCGGTGTGCTATTTGAATTTGTTCTGATACATAGTTGTTGATTTTGTAGTTTACATAATTTAGTTACAGTTCCAAAGATCATTGTAACAGTTTTGTCAGTGTTTAGGAAGAGAGTTTGTTAACAGCTATTCACCTTTCTACCTCTGAATTGGTTTTGGAGCACAGCCTCAAGCTGATGTAGATTGGGTTTTCTAGCGTAGATTACAGTGTCATCTTCATACATGTGTACAGTTGCACACATTAGGCAGATCAATTATAAATACCGTGAATAGCAGGGGGCAGAGTATGGAGCCTTGGGGAACACCACACGTGACTGGAAGAAGGAGGTGCTATCAGAAATGGCCACATATTGCAATCGGTCTGAAACATATGATCGAAACCAGGTTAGCGGACGATCACCAATGCCTGAGTTTTTACATTTTTGCAAAAGAATGCCATGGTCTACTGTGTCAAAGGCCTTGGCAAAATCAAGGTAATAGCTCCAGTTAAGTCTCCTTGTTCCATGGCAATTTGGATGTCATTGCAAACTTTTAAAGAGGGCAGTCGAAGTTGAGTGATTTGGACGAAAGCGACACCAACAGGCACAGATCTAAAATTTCATTTCTCTATAAGAGTGTTTTGAAGATTTGGCAGGGCCTGATCTTTATTTGTGGTCTGGAAAATGAGTGTCATTCGTTATCTTAGCAACGAGGGTGGTAGCACATCCAACAAAGTAATTATTAAAGGCATGTGCTACATCTAGGGGGTGTTGAAGTGTTTGGTTGTCCATTTTGACAGTGGAGTGTTGGAAGTAGATTGTGGGGGTTTGTATGCTATCTATGAGTTTCCAAAAGTTTCTGGGGTTTGAAATTTTATTGTTCAAATTTTCACTAAAAATATTGGGCCTTTGACACTTTTTTTGTTTTGTGCATGCATTTCGCCAATGTCTGTAGGCACAGTGATCATTCGTGGAGCCAGTACGCTTGAACTTTGACCACAGTGAATCTCTAAACTGGTACATTTAAATGAGGTCAGCTGTAACCCAGGGCAGGTGTGTCCCTTTTATTTACACTTTATGCCGAGGGGCATGCAAATTCCAAACACGAAAGAGCTCAGACTGAAAAAATGCTATGGCAGAGTCTAGCTCTTGGATTAGGCTTAATCTTTGCCATGGTATGTTCTTGAGATTGTTTAAAAAGGATTCAAGATTCAATTTTGTATTTTTATTTATATTTACATAGATAGTTAATACAATGTAAAACAAAACTCTTCACACCAGTCAAGCCATAAGACTTACTTTTCCCACAGAAATAACAAATTTGCAGGGATGTTACTACCGCAAAGGATTCTTGGTGGGCATATGCAAATTAGCTTATCAAAGAATCACATTTTTGCCTCATTCTATTTTAGACATGGATTCCTTTGAATCTGTGTTTGCGATACACAACAGCTTTGAAACACAACTTAGGAAAAGATGCAAAGCCAGTGATCCACTCATGTATATACCGTATTTATCGGCGTATAACACGCACTTTTTCTCCCTGAAAATAGGGGGAAAATTATGGGTGCGTGTTATACGCCGGCCCTTTAAATGCTGCAGCCGCCTGAGCGCTCTGTCAAGAGTGGTCAGGCGGCTGCAGTTGGTTCTCACCTCTCCTGTAGGTTTCTGTTTCCTGTACCCGGTCGGACTGACAGGAAGGTGCACACTGAGCGTGCACCTTCCTATCACTCCGGCCGGCCACCGCGGACAGCAAAGCAGCTCGGCCATGCTACAGGGGAGGGGGTAAGAAAGAAGGGGAGTAAGATAAATAGAGGGGAGGGGGGGTAAGAAGAGGGAGGGAGTAAGAAAGGGGGAAGAAAGAGGAGGGGAGGGGAAGAAGAGGGGGGAAGAAGAGGAAGGGGGGGGGAAGTAAAGAAAGGGGAGGAGGTAGGGGAAGTAAGAAAGGGGGGAGTAAGAAGAGGGGAGGGGGAGTAAGAAGGGGGTAAGAGGAAGTAAGAAGAGGTAAGAAAGGGGGTAAGAAGAGGGGGGGGGAGTAAGAAGGGGGTAAGAAGTTCTTTATTTGAAATTTAAGGGTTTTTTTTCTGAAATTTCTTTCTTAAAATGAGGTGCGTGTTATACGCCGATAAATACGGTAACTTCATTCTAAGTGTATTTTGATACAAAAATGTATATATTTAAAATACAGTTAGAATTAAATTACACTTATTTTTAATTTGTATTACTATTATATATATATATATATATATATATATATACACATACACACACACACACACACACACACACGTATATATTGTACAGCGCTGCGGAATCTGTTGGCGCTTTATAAATAGCAGTAATAAATAAATATATATTAATAAAATACATTTAGTATGACTTTTACATTTATTTAATTTATTTTTTATTTTTCCACCAGCAGGGGGACTGCCTGTCAGTTCAGCCAGTCCCCCTGCAGGCAGCACTATGGACTCCTATTGCGGCCATGTGATCACTCTTTCAGAGCAGAGAAGAACACTAATAGCCGGTGGCGATCCGGTAAGCAAGTAGGAATTCCTTGGATGTACTAGATACGTCCGAGGTCCTTAATGACTGTTTTTGTCGTCGGGAAGGGGTTAACTACCAGTTTTTGTCAGACGTACCTAGTATGTCCACAGTCGTTGAGGGGTTAATCCAGCTGTTATGCTGCAAGCCTTATGTACAGAAAAGCAACACCTTACCTCTTAAAGCAGCTCTGTCACCTAGTGAAGTCTTTGCATATTTTGCAAAGACCAACGACATCACTGCTTACTGTGACAAGGCCCATGAGTACAGTACAGGTGAGTTATAGCTAACTGATGCTGTCCCCTATGGGTACCGGCATCTTTAATATTGAGCTCCTGGAGCTTCATCTGCCAACATCAGTGCTATACTCTTGAACAAATGTGAGAGAACAGAACTGATGTCCACGAGTATCCCATTAAAGCCTTTACCTTTACAGATATCTTGTGATGAGTGAGACAATGCCTCATTGCTACAGCTGTCTCTAGAAATGGCTGTGGGGAGTGACAAAATCTTGATAGCAGTAGCTCTCTGCCTTTTCTCAAGCTATGGATTTACTATAAGACAGCATGGTCCCTACAGTGTTTTATATTTTGTGACTGCATTAGAATTTCAAATGAAATTCCAAACACTCATTTATGAACATTTCACAAAAATTTAGATTTTATGAAATGCTCAATTAAATTTTTGAAGTGAGAGCACCACTTTAATTGCAAAAATTCCATAAGTCACCCCCTCCAGAAAGCTGTTCACTATCCCCCTGGTTCAGTACCTTCCTTTCTCCCGAATGTCTACTACCAAAAGCGCCCCTCTCTGGCAGTCATTCAGCTACAAAGCTCCTGAAAGGTCTCCAGCTGTACTTGGCTGCAAACCATCTTGAACGCGAACATGGCCACTGGAACTATTCAATGCTTTCCTATGGGGATTTCGTGACGCTGGGGGTCCTCACATAGCGTGAGGATGTCCAGCGTTGCTTAAAACACTTTTCCAGTAGGAAAGCATTGGATTGGCTGAGAATCTATTTTGATGATCTCAGCCTAGGAGGCAAAGCCAGCTATGAGGAGACCCACGCATTGCTGAAAATATCTGGTTATCTTAAAACTATAGTGTCAGGAATACATATTTGTGTTACTGACATTATAGTGTTCCTTTAAATTTGAAATTCCCTTTTAATTATCACTTTAGTGGATAACCCTGCAAATGTTTTACATATGCTTAAATATTTTGGACACGAATGACAAAGAAGAGGCAAAAGTATGCATACTATATCTCAGTTTGTTAGAGGATTAATCGCTCCCATAAATTATGTGGGTCTACCTCTCTCCCAGGAAATCTCAGAATATCTCCATATTTCAAGAGCAAGCTGTGTGAGTGGTCCTCACAGCCCTTTATCAGTAGGTGTGGGACGAGTAAATATAGTTCCTGCAAGACAGTTCCAGCAGGGATCTAGCTCTGCTGGTAGTTTAAAAAGGCATGACATAACATGGGTAACAAATTAAGGATAAAAAGTAAACCCAAAACAACGTATGATAATGAGAATGAATGTTAATAAGAAGGAAACAAAGGTTACCAATGCTGGTGGTTAGCATTTTAGAGCAACCTGGAGTCTTCAAATCTTAAATTGTCAGTCTAAGCCAGGCTTCCCCAAACTCCGGCCCTCCAGGTGTTGCTGAACTACAACTCCCATGATTCTCCGCCTATTCCATTCATAGAATCATGGGAGTTGTAGTTAAACAACATCTGGAGGGCCGGAGTGTGGGGAAGCCTGATCTAAGCACTATTACAAATATCAGCCAATGAACGATATAAGAAAATAAATAATGTCATTGCTGATGTGGAATGGGGGGCATTTTAAAGACTCCATGCATCCTGTGGACCCAGATAAGTACCAAACCAAAATGTCAAATTACTTAACTGTTTACCATGTTATAGCACCAGAGGACATTATTCTCTATAACCATAGCAGCACCCTGTTGTTGGTGCTTAGAAAATCCATCAAAAGCATAGAACACTAGATCAATGCCAACCCCATCATCATTAACATCTGGATCCTTACTACCAACCGTTCTTTCACTATATCCCAGAAAAATATGAAGTGGGAATAACATAAGGTCATATTTTATATTAATATTTTTTAATATTATCTGTGGATAGAGTGGTATAAACCCCTCCCCCCCCAAAAAAAAAACACCTATATATATTTTTTTAATGATCTATACAGCTCCACTAGTACATTAGCAAGTGACAAATACAGAAATGTTCCAGAATGTATGTTATAACTAGCCAATAAAAAAAAAATATATATATTTTGTCAGGCTTCATTGGCCAGGAACAAATCCCACTCTCACAAGGATATTTACAATTATAACTCTTATATAAATAAATTATAGAAAATGACGCGAGAATTTTACATTTCAGAACGAAATAGCCAAACTAAAAACAAAAAAAACAAACAGCTAACGTGTACTATTCTTCAGTTTCGGTTATTTTGGCCTAAACTCATACTCTTTCAGTTCTTAGCAGATCGTTTTAATGAATAGCTCTGACACATATGAAAATATAGAGTTATTAAATAACTTTTTTTTTTACTTTAGAATGAACAACCATTCATAACAGAATCCCTGATTTGTGAACATTCTACAGAGGAGTATAAATAACAAACAGCATGACAAGTCAGACATTACAACACAATGTGTACATTAAAAACTCCCACCAGATTATGACAAGAGAAATTCTGACATTATGAGCAGATCTTACCTGCCATGGCTGTGCCCTGTGGACGTCCGTAAACACGAATCAATATGCTTCTGATACTTTGTGCATAAAACAAAACTAGTAACAATAAACGATTACAAAACCTTATGATCGCGGCAAGCTTAGGTCTTTTTTACTTGCACCCGCCCCCCTTCCAAACATTGTCAGACGATCCCTTACGGTAGTGCGGAAATACCCAAGTGACGTAAACGAAGAACGCCCTAAAGAGTGCGCATGCGCAATTCCCTCCCCTGTCCTGCCTTTTTATGATATCTTACCAATCACTGCGAAGTGGACCTCTTCCAAACGCCGCTGCGTGCTACTTGACGCTTACGTAATTAGGCTGATACGATGGGCTGGCCCAAGGGAGAGGGTGAAAAGTAGCAGGGAGCACTAAGAACGCAAAAAAAGTTTGTTTTGTTGTGTTCTAAGAGAGTTCCTTGAGAGCCAGTAAAGTCTTGGGAGCCATTTTAAGCGAGCCCTACGATTTACTTATAACATTTTTGGAAAGCAGGATGATATACAGACATCCTTTTTTATTTTTACCAACCTGTCTAGCATTGCGTTAAGCACATTAACCTTGTAAGGACTTTGACAATTGTACATATTCTGACCAAAACTAAACCAAAAATATGAGCTATATGTCTGTTCAACCATAATTTACCTCTTTCATTTTAAGTGCACCTGCGCTTCTATATTATTCTATATCATTTTGTTCAGGAGAAACAGAGCTCTCATTTCACATAAAATATTGAACACTATATATATCAATAAAATCTACAAAAAAAAAAAACTGTGAATGTCATAATACTGTTAGCTTTTACTGCAATAAAATATGCATATCTGTATGCTGTGGTGTCTCGAGTACAACGATGCCCCCTCTCATGCAGAGGTTTCATTGTGTTTTGGAAAGTTACAGGATCAAAGAAAAACTTGCCCATTTCAGTTTTTTTACACATTGAATTTTGCCCGATTGGTTTGCTGGGCCTATTTTGCCTTTGAGACTGTATTGCAACCCAGGAATGAGAATTACCCCCATCGTGCCATACCATTTACAAAAGTAGACAACCCACAGTATTTAAAATGGGCTATGTGTAGAAGACATTTAGTCACAAACCCTGGCCAAAGTTAGTGTTCATATTTGTTTTTTGAATTTTTCACACAAAAACTTACATTACACCTTTTACTGCTCTAAAACACTTAATATTTCTGTTCAGCAATGTCTCACAAGTATAACAGAATCCCCCATGTACAGTTTTTTTGTGGTTTAGGAAAGTTACAAGGTCAAATAAAAAGCTTGCCCATTTCATTTTTTTACACATTGACATTTGCCAGATTGGTTTGCTGGGTCTATGTTGCCTTTGAGACCGTATGGCAACACAAGAATGAGAATGACCCACATCAATGCATACCAAGTGCAAAAGTAGAAAACTGAGGGTATTCAAAATGTGGCATGCCCCGCAATTTTGTAGAAGTCAGTTAGTCAATAACCCTGGCCATAGTTATTAAGTCTTCATATTTGCTTTTTGCATTTTTCACAAAAAAGCACTTTCACTGATGATATCATCGTCATTATAGATTTTACTGCTCTAAAACTCTCATATTTGTGTTCAGCGATGTCTCACCGATATAACAGTACTCCCCATGTACAGGTTTTATGGGATTTTGGAAAGCCACTGGGTTAAATATAGGGCTTGCCAATTTTATTTTGCCAGATTGGTTTGCTGGACCTATGTTGTTTTAAGACCATATACCAGCCCAGGAATGTGAATTACCCCTAGCATGGCATACCATTTGCAAACGTATTCAAAATGCAGTATGCCAAGTAATTTTTAAAAGACATTTAGTCCCCAACCCTGGCCATAGTTAGTGTTCATATTTGTTTTTTTTGCATTTTTCACACAAATACCTGTACTTTCACTGATGACGTCATCTTTATTACATGTTTTACTGCTCTAAAACACTATTTGTGTTCAGCGATATCTCACAAGTATAACAGTACTCCCCATGTGCATGTTTTATGGGGTTTTGGAAAGTTACAGGGTCAAATATAGTGCTTGCAAATGTAATTCTCTTGACTTTCTGCCATAATTGTCAGACATGTTCCTCAATATTTAATAAAATCACCTAATTATTCAATAATAATACATATATTCGAAGGCTGAGCCTATAGGCAAAGTCTGAAGTTGTGGAAGGCGTTATCCGACCTATAAATACACAGGTCTCCCCTTCCTCTGGGCCGATATTGCCTTGTTCAGTACAGAACTATCTACTTCCAGTTCAAAGGTCGTAACACAAGCTACCTAAACTCCAAACAAGCCAGTCATAGCCTCATGCAGCCTACGCAAGTATTTATTTTACTTTACTCGCGTAAAACACAGCCGCCTCACTCTAAGCTCATGGGGCACTACAGTGTCCAGCCCAGCCACGGATTTTCCTGTTGCTGTTCGCAAGTTTTTTACAACAAAACCTTAAGTTTGTTCTTTCGGCCCGCGTAGGGCCGTGCTATCATTGACATTCAACAAGTATTTGGCACACATTCAGCCTTCCACTAACTAGAGTGGCATTCGCAGTTCAGTCCGTATTCAGCTAGTGGGCATCATTGTATAAAAGATTATCGTGTAGAGCTTCCCTATTTCGCTTTCCTCGTTTAACTGAACACAATATGCTTCCCCTTGGTTCGGTATTTTCATGCGACTGAACACTGACCACCCCCCCTTAACTTAAAGAAACAATTAATTCAAGTGCTCTCTCTGGGTGGCCATTAGTATAACCGAATACACGTTCTCTAGTAAATGACGGCCATTTTGTCTCCTAAACGCAGGCAGCGGTATTTACTTGTAGAGTGTAATTATATTTAGGATACTTTGCTTTGTGAACCCTGGAAAATCGTACCGCTGCCTGCTCCTCTCACAGACAAGCCAGGAGAGCGTTTATCGGGGAAAAGACACCCATGAACGAGGGGAACATTTACTCCCTGGGAGCCAGGTGGAGCCTTCATTTGCATTTACATAGGAACTCCAGAAAGTTGACTTGCCTCTACCTCTTTTCTCCTGGAACTATTTTGGGCAGCAGCCACATGTGCGGTCAGTCAAAATTTTATCCTGGTGTTGATTCAGCAATACTACATGGATCTGAGGGCTATTTGCACAACTTGGGCGCTCAGATCTGGGGTATGCAGGGATATTATACCTGTGGGAGTTCCTATCTGTCTTATATGAATTTTGTGGTGTTTTATGTTGTTATGTATTGTACCTCGAGTGCCTGGGAGATAATTAGTTTAAGCAAAAGCAAACTCACTTATCTCCCAGACACAGAGAAGCCTGGGCGGGCTTACTATTGTGTTGACTGAAGACCCCATGTTGGGGGTCGTGTATTTAAACAGGCAACTTGGCCATAATAAACCAGGTCGTTATGTACCCTTCATCAAGTCTTGGCTGATGTTTGGGTATGCGGGAGTTATAATCACTGTTTCACTATGGAACCTGGGAGAATCTACAGCGGAGATACAACTCTGGGTACAAGCTCTCTGTTACACTGGTGGCAAGCGACAGGATTCTACTCCCGAATGGATATCCTGAACCAAGAGATGTAGTGAATGACCCAGCAGTACCAGTACCAATCCAGTAACTCATCGGTGGACAGCACTGAGGAGTCCAAGTTCCAGAGGGATGTCTGATGGTGGCTTAGTATCTTGGGGCCCAATCCCTAGCAGGAAGTCATCATCCAGATAATGGCTAAAGCGACTGTAGCACAGAAAGACCACGAGTCGAAAGCCGGATCGCAACAGGGGGATACAGCCTCCGTACAAGGATCTATGAGCGGACAATCACGGAAGCTGATGGAAGAAGCAGTTAGATTGGCTGGCGAGTTCCACGCCGCCAGAATGACCGAAATCAACATAGGGCGACCAGGTTATCAGCCAAACAACTACACTCCATTGACCACACTACCGAACTGGCCACTGGTACTACACAAGGTAGACCCGGTGCAAGCAGCCGGGGACAACCGAGCCCATCCCTGGCAGATTGTGACGTTATATGGACAAGATGGAAAGGGACTAAGAGACACTGGTTCTATGCCTACTTTAGTGCAACCACACCAGATTAACCCTTCTCAAAAAACGAGACGTGCAGTAGCAGTTAGGGTGGCCGGCTGAGCCATCCACAAGTTGACAACTGCCCGAGTCCATCACAAATGGGGTTCAGGGTCCAAATCCCTGGAGGTCAGAATTATGAAAGACTTGCCAGCTGAAGTTTTGCTTGAAAACTTTTTGGGTTGCTTAACTTCCCAATTAGTGCCACCAAACAGCGAAGGCGCACTACCTATAACCACCCGACTGCAAGCCCGAACGATGAAACCATCGCACTCTGAAGAACCTCAGGTAGGACATAATTCTCCAACCCTAGCCGCCCAACCGGCCCCCTACTGGGGCACCCCTAAGACTTGACAGGCCCAGAGAGAGGATACCACACTAAGTCGGTATTCGATACAGGCAGATGCTCCACAGGGAGATATAGATCAGGAAAGGTTTCAATGGCAAAAAGGGTTATTGTACCAGGTGACTGGAGGTGTAGGGAGAGGAGCTGCCCAAGTGCCGAAAAGACAGTTAGTGGTACCCCGCAAGTACCGTGCTGAGCTATTAAAACTCAGCCATGATATCCCTTTAACAGGTTGTAACAAAAGTAACCTCGCCACTGGTTTTTGGAGGGGCCCGTTTGCCAGCCTCCTACCCTGTGACTATGGCCCCCACAATAGACCTGGCTAAAAAACTTTAAACAGGCTCTGTTCGTGTAATTGGGATTATATGGTTTGTTTAACGAACAGCTGCACAAACCGGAGACCACCCTGGAGCTTGTTAAGCTTAATTGATACATTGTTGCAGTGGTCTAAGTGTTCGCCTGAGGGACCACAAGGTGGCGGACATCTTTTTCGCATGGACCAAAACCGCGAATAGACTTCAGCATGAAAACTTCGCGGTTCCCGGTCGGTCCGTCAACGGCACTTAGCCGCGATTCTGTGGAACTATTTTCGGCTACGGGACCATGCCTGCGGCCGGTCAAATATACGACTTCTAGGATATTCCTGAACCCCTGAACTGATCTGGGTGATTTGGATATGTTGGTCACCCAGATCAGGGCTATCAGGGTGTCAAGGTTAATACTCCCCAACACGCAAACCAGAGAACACAGATAGACATATTACCGGACC